TTAAAAGCGTTGATTAAGAAAGTCTCCACTCAACGGTAAAATACCATTATATTATGTATTATATATAAAATTATGTTGCCATGAATTCGTAGGTATATTTTGTTGTTTAAAATGCAGTTGTCGGCGTTTTTTAGAGAACTCAAATATAAAAATGGTTGATTTTAAGGTTATGTTTGTGCAAAAATTATTTTTTACTCATTTCTTAAAAATGTCCAAACTTAAATATAACTTATATTAGGTAAAGTTATCATTAGTTAATTCTGCACCAACAAATGTACTTACCGAATTGGATTTTTTGTCAGAACATGAAAATGCAACGATTTAGTTCTTGAATTTTATTTACAATTAAAAACACAATAATTCACCACGATCCCTTAGATAAAATACACACACTAACGTAACTAAGCATATAGGCGTTGACTTTCTTAATCGATGATATAAGGCATAATAAAACTAAATTTAATACCAAACCAAAAATTTTCAGTTTTTATTTGCAACACAAAAAATAACGTGCGCAATTTAGCAGTGTAATTAAAACTTTGCGAACAAAATTTGTCTGCCTTGTGAAAAACAAAAAATTTCGTCAAAAATGCTACTTTTCTTACTCAAAACGTAGCCGATTGAGTAACATAAATTATCCTAACTCGCAATACCGACGACTCTAATCATGGTAAAACAACACAAATGAAATGGACTTTTCGCCGGGACACAGAATTAAACGTTAATTAACAGATTAGAAACAGATCAAAAGGCTGCACGCAATGTTAATTCAAACAAAGAGCTTAATCCATATAATGTGAGCGGGACATTGATGATGAATAACAGTCGGTTATAGAGCGACGCTAAAGTTTAAATTACGCTGCCATTCGGTCATTTTAGAAACAACATACGGCGCATAACCTTTTGACGGCAAATTGCGTTTATTCGTGACGACAATGTTGCGATAAATTGTTTAATTTGGCAGCTAAAAAGCGAAGAAATAGGTTTTAATAAAAACCAATAGATGAAGCGTGTTTTCCCTGAAAATATGCCAATAATTTGTGTGCATTGGTTTCGAGAATAACAAAAATAATAGTAAAATCGCCCGACGCGTATTTTCGAACCACACACAAATATTTATACGGTCTCAAAGATCGTAAAACTCTAATTTTATGTCGGTAAATTTAATTTTAGACTTTACTACTATAGTCATGGCTAGTTCGATTGTTATAAAGTACGGCTTAATATAATTAGGCTGGTTGTACAAACTATGAAATCAAATACACAGAAAAAAATTTAAGAATACCTTTATTCTTAAAAACATTTACTTGATTTAAGTATAATTTGCTTAGGTTACGAATACATTAAATTTCTTTTAAATATTAACCTATCCTTAAATTAAAAATATTTTATTTCTTAGCTTAAAATCAAGTACAATTGAAACAATATGATTGACCTAATATTGTCAAGGCTAAAACTAACATTAAACAAATATTAATCTTTCTTTAAACAAGCATATCTTATTCTTGCAGGTTAAATGTTAAGAAAGACTTTAAATGAAATAATCCTATTCTTAATTCAAGATTAACAATCGATTACACCAAATTTTGGAAAATATAAAACTGGATATAAATATAATTGTATTTATTCCAAGATTAGTAAATATTGGTACGACTGGCTTGTTCTTAAAAATATCTCCCACTAACGAAAATGTCAGTTTCTTGTGTTAGTTAATATGTATTGAATTTTTGAAATATTGTCTTTTCTTTTTTTAACTTTTGCTCGACTTTAAAGGTTAGAATATAATGACCATGTTTATTTTAAAGGGTAAACAGTGAATTATCCTATCTATTTTTCTCTATCGGTCTTAGAAAAAAAGAGATAGCATAATCCACTCTTTACCTTTTGAAATAAACATGGTCATTATATCCTCACTTTTATTTAAAGTCGAGCAAAAGTTAAAAAAGAATAGACAATATTTGAAACAATTATTGCTTAACTTACATAAATATACGTTATATTTAATCCAAAAGTAAATATTGTATGGTCAAGAATTATAACATTTGTATCAAAAAATACTTATTAAATTACATAGTGTATATGATAGTTTTTCTTGAGATAAGAATAAGTTAACCCCTGTACCTAACATTGAAATTATATCCAAATAAGTATTCAACCCTATATCCTTTAAATAAGTATTAATTTAAATTAAAAATAAGAATACGTATAAAATTACCTGCAAAAATATTTTCTCGCAAAAAATCGAGGTATTAACAAATAAATTAAATTTGTTTCGGCAACATAAATAATTAAATATCGGTGGGATCCCTGGGGTGAGGGCTCTGCCCTAACGGGGATTCCCCAGCGGGCATTTATCGTTTAATCCAAATAACAATAAATAAGCGATTTTATGGCAGGCAGATAAAAATATACAGGGCGAAGCGCGATCCAGCGCGCCCTCTAATTATCTGTCTGTTTGTTTTTTTGCAGCCTGTTTGTAACTTTAACCGGAGATTTCTGGGTATGGAAATGTAAAACGCGAATGTATAAATTGTTGATTTGGTTAATTTCATTTGAACTGGCTCGTCGGCTGTAATTATGTTTTAGGTTTTCGGTAAACCGAGAACACGTCCGATACAACAATATTAATTACATTTATGAAGTCCGGTATTATTCGTTCAACAATGTTTTTCAATTTATATTACATACCCAATTAACCGTCATCAGTTATTATAAACATAATTATTTAATAAATATATACTTTCTAAAAATGAATTAGTCAAAAATTAAACTACAGGCATAGAAAACAATGAAAAAAATTTGCATTTAAATTTTTTAATTATAATAAAAAAATATTTTAAATAATAAAAATTGGAAAAAAAGTTTCGATTTATAACCTTTATAATTGTGTTTATAAAATGTAAAAATGTGACATTTGACAGTTTCCCCTGTTGTTTCATAGATGGTGCTCTATACAAATTTTTGATTTAAATCATTTTAAGATAATAATAAGTATTTGTCGTAGATAAAGTATAATATGCAACTCGTTTTATAAACTTCTCTAGACACTCGTTTTTATTAAACACTCGCTTGCAAGCTTCGCTCGTGCCAAATAAAACTCGTAACTAAAATGGCATTTTTAAAACTTGATACATAATATACTATTTTCCTCTGTGACGTAAAGATAGAACATTTATTTTTAAATTGTCCTGCTTGTAGTAAAAGCTGTGTACGTATAAACACTATTTACCCAGAAAAGGGCAGTTCTTTTCAAAAAATAAGTACATAATATAGAACCACCAACGTCAATTTATATTCCTTCAAAATAACAATGTTCTAAAAGTAAGAAATTGTATAATAATTGATTTATTATTTAAAAACTTGAAAACATAACCTTAATTACTTACTCTGAGTTTAATGCCGTTTAAAACTTAACACGTTTAGTAAGTGCACAGATGATTATGTTTTTTTGTAATAACTTTCACACAAGCACTTTTTTACGCCTTTTTGTAGAAAAGGTCTTGAAATATTAATGTACTATGCTCCACACCTCAAAGTCCCACCACGTGACCACGTACGGAACGCAGTCTTTTGAAAATTTGGCATTTAAGGCTTTTCAGGTTATGTATCTGTCAAAGTATAGTCAATGAAAGAAATAATATTTATAGTGTTACCGCTTATGTTTAAGCTTTAAAAGTTAATAAATCTTTATAGTATCACAATAACAATGGTTGGTTTAAAAATTTAGGAATATAAATACTGCATTTAATGAAATTCCAAAGTGTAAGGTGCAATATAAGTGATATTTTTGTGCATTGGGTCTACATTTCTCCATAAAATAGTTTTAACTAAACAGCATTTATTAAAAAAAAAATGTAACTTCTCTATTATGAAATAAGAATATCTGTATCAAAGGTAGGTTAATGTATTAGAACAAAAAATATCATCTAATTTTGTATTTTAAGATTAGAAAAATCTATTTTGACCAAAATAAATAAGAGTGTGTTAATATGGTCATAAATAAATATAGGTATACTAAATAATTGTTGAATATAGTTCAAATTAAATTGAAGCTTTTATACTTTTAACGACAAAACTTGTGCATACCTCTCGGCATACCTACTTTAAGTTAGATTATAAGAAAACAAACAATTTTTAGAGAAACTTGCTAGGTGAAAATATTTAATACTCCCATGACATGTGATTTATTAAAATTTTTAATGTTATAATGATTTTTCGATGTATATCAAATTCAGTCGAAGCTTTTTAACTATTTGTATTGACAAAACTTTATGTAGGTACACTTTAAGCTGGATAAGAAAAATTATATAAAAAAAATTATATATTATACAGTCTTTTAAATAATCCAAAATACTTATTTATTTTGGTCAAAATAAATTTTTCTAACCTTAAAATTACAACATTAGATGATATTTTTGTTATAATATATTAACCTACCTTTAATACAGATATTCTTATTCCATAATAGAGAAGCTAGATTTTTTTTTAATAAATGCTGTTTAGTTAAAATTATTTTATGGAGAAACCCAGATATTTCGACCAAATGCACAAGAATATTACTTATTTGGCACAATACACTTTGGAATTTCATTAAATGCAGTTTTTATATTCTTAAACCAACCATTGTTATAAAGATTTATACATACATAATATTATTTCTTTCGTTGACTATACTTTGACAGATACATAACCTGAAAAGCCTTAAATGCCAAATTTTCAAAAGACTGCGTTCCGTACGTGGTCACGTGGTGGGACTTTGAGGTGTGGAGCATAGTACACAAAACTTGGTTGGGAAAAAGTTGTCTAATTATGGGAAATTATGAAAGTAGAGCTGATTTTTGGTTATAGTTAAAAACTGCTCTAACTTTAAAGGTCATTTTCGGATTCAGGGGTCAATTTTAGATGGCCCACTATTATTGACAAATGTAACCACAATCCAATTGATTTGGACGTTGCGTTCGACATGTGCAATTATCGTCGTGTGGTTTGCTCTGTTGCAGAACGCTTCGGCTCAGGCGGCTCTGCAGGCCGCCCAGGCGCTGGCCATCACGCAGAACTCGTCGGCGGTGGCTGTGACGCCGTCGGCCGGCGGGACGCCCGTCGCGACGCCTCTCACCAACGGCCAGGGCCAGGACATCCAAGGAGGTCCCAACACGGTGCTGCGCGTCATCGTCGAGCACATGATCTACCCGATCAGTCTCGACATACTGCATCTGGTAAGAATTTTTTGTAACGTTTTTACTGTTCGTACACACACAAATTTTCGATGAATTTCAATCGCAAATAACTTGTTTATTTGATGTCGGATTTAAACGAATATTAAAGAATGTTGTAGATAAATTAATGGACAATCGCTCACATTTCAAAAATTACTAAAAAATACACGTACGTTTATAATATACAGGTTTAAACAAAAAGATGATTTTCACCATAAGTTTAAGACACTCTGTAGAGTGGCAAAACCGTATATCGTTCTAAATTAAGTTTTATTTATCAAGTCACATCTATTCTTAACAGTTTTGTTTTTGGTTCACCTCGATATATTTATTTTTGTGGAAAATATGGATTTTTTAAAAAACATTGCAATTTCCAATATTTTTCTGTATGAAGAACTAAGGTTGCTATGGTCCATCCATATGCTATGGAGATTGACAGTGACAGTTTTGTTGAATCATCCCATACTTGGACATGTCATATACAGCTTTCAAAAGCTATCAAATTGTTTTTTGCAAATTAATGTTTAAATTTTGAGGTGTCTTCTCACTTTAAAAAATGGATTGTTGCCAGAGCCATTAATTTAATCCAGGATGGACGGTCACAGTATTACGTGGCAAGTGTTTTAAACGTCACAAGAAGTAAAGTACAAAGGGCAACATCAGTCGGAGACATTTTTAAAAGTAAGAAGACACCTCAAAATTAACACATTAATTTACAAAAAACAATTTGATATCTTTTGAAAGCTGTATATGACATGTCCAAGTATGGGATGATTCAACAAAACTGTCACTGTCATCCTCCGTAGGCTATGAATGGACCATAACAACCTTAGTTCTTCATACAGGAAAAATATTGGAAATTGCAATGTTTTTTTAAAAAATCCATATTTTCCACAAAAATAAATATATCGAGGTGAACCAAAAACAAAACTGTTAAGAATAGATGTGACTTGATAAATAAAACTTAATTTAGAACAATATATATATATATATATATATATATATATATATATATATATATATATATATATCTTTTTGTTTAAACCTGTATATTATAAACGTACGTGTATTTTTTAGTAATTTTTTAAAATGTGAGCGATTCTTCATTAATGTATCTACAATATTCTTTAATATTTGTTTAAATCCATCAAATAAAAAAGTTATTTCCGATTGAAATTCATCGAAAATTTGAGTGGATCGATTATTTTGCCTGTGAGTGTAAATTCAGCGCCTTCTCGAACATTCCAGCGAGCTCCACACCGCTCTCAAACGATATTGAGGGTGAAAAAATAAAAATATGTTCTTTTCGCATTAAATCTGATGAATTTTGAAAGAAAACATTCCAAAAAAAACTAAAAAAAAATTTACTAATTTTACAATTTAGATAGTACCTACAACTAAAAGCGTAGAGAGTAAGCCACTTTAATTGCTAAAATATTGTCTCAAAATGCACAAAAATGAAGTTTTTTTGTGTTTTCTTTTCATAATATTTAAATTTGCACTGTTATAAATAACTAAAATGTATTCTTATTATTAATTATGTTATGTAACTTTTTAGATATTCCAACGATTTGGAAAGGTCCTAAAAATCGTCACATTCACCAAAAACAGTAAGTGGTCCAAGAAAAATTGTTTGAAAAAAAGTTACATATTTAATTCTTTCAGACTCATTCCAAGCCCTCATCCAGTACCCGGACACGCAGTCTGCGCAGCAGGCTAAACAATCTCTGGACGGACAGAACATTTACAACAGCTGCTGCACGCTGCGCATAGACTACTCGAAGATGTCGTCGCTGAACGTCAAGTACAACAACGACAAGTCGCGCGACTACACGAACCCGAACCTGCCGACGGGCGACACCAACGACCAGCTGGCGCTGGGCGGCGGCCTGGCCGGCGGCCTGGGCGCCGACATCCTGCTGCTGGCCGCCCAGCCCAGGCTGGCCAGGGAGCGACTGGCAGGTAAACAAGATTTTTTTAATTTTAAATAAAAAATTACCATACGCGAAAAAAATATTCTAAATGTAAGAACACCTTTATTCTTAAAAAAATTCACTTGATTTAATTTTAATTTGCTTAGGCTACGAATTCACTAAATTTCTTTTAAATATTAACCTATCCTTAAATTAAAAAGATTTTATTTCTTAGCATAAAATCAAGTACAGTTGAAACAAGATGATTGACCTAATATTGTCTAATAGTGGCTAAAACTAACATTAAACTAAATATTAATCTTTCTTCAAACAAGCAGATCTTATTCTTAATTTAAGATTAACAATCGATTAGACCAAATTTTGGAAAATTCCCTCTATTGTCTCGCAAACAAAATCAACGTGTATGAAGGTTTAAAAAAATCATTGCAGTATATATTATATAAAGGGGACATTCCACATTCCAAATCGGATGGTTAAAAAAAAATTTTTTTGATTCCTCCAAACAATAATTTTTAGAGAATTTTGAAAAATCGAAAAAAAAATAGAAATGATGGAAGGCCCACTACCGGACCAGGCTGAATAGTTGTTGAATAGATAAAAGTTGAAAATAAAATTTTTTCGCGAAAATCGAATAAGACACACATTTTTAAAAACACGATTTAAACTTTAAAACTCAAAAATCTTGACTTAAAACGCTTCAAATATTTTCAATATATTTTTTTTCGAAAAGTACAATGAACATGAGCGAAAAACGAAAAAAAACAGGTTTTTTGAAAAATTGATATCTTTTGATCCCGTGATCAAAAAAATCTCATAATTTACTGAGAAAAGCTCCTTCAAGGAGTACTAAAAAATAAAAAAAAATTGGAGGAATCAAAAAAAATTTTTATTTGAAACATTGTAAACAAGTTATGTAATAAAGACAATAACATAAACCAATATCATTTTTTTAGGTTAAGTTAGTCAATAATTGTTTTAAATATTGTTTATTCTTTTTTTAACTTTCGCTCGACTTAAAAGTTTTGTATTGTCTGCTGAAGCAGAAGGTTGTAGCTGGCCTTCCTTGAGACGACAATATAGGACTCGAAGCACAAAAATACGCTGGTCAGTGCCAAATAAGCAAAATCTACAATAGATTGATTGATTCACGAATGGTTTCCACGATGGATGGTTAAAATAAATAAAGAAAATCAAGAATACAGCCATTCGCCATGATGCATGGTTGGAATGACCTATAAGATGGAGGATAAAAAGTATAAAACATGTGCAATGGAAATCAAACTGGTATTAAATATTTAATGGTTAAGAAGAACTATATGGATAATTGTAAAATTGTAAGAATGATGTGTGTGTATTTTTGGACAATGTAAAACGTGTTGAGAAGAACTGAAGAAAGAAAATAGAAGTATGATTAAATGAATATATAACATAAATGGAAAATGAACTGGTAAAGAATTGATTAATTGGTTTAATTAGGAAAACTACATGAAAAACGAAGAAAATAATTGAAAAAAGTAACAGTAAAAGAAGACTTAAACTGATATTAAAATAAACAATAAATAGTGAGAATATATGTATATATAAATGATTCAAGGGATGAGTTAAACTCATACTCTCTTGATTGAGACCCTTGTTCATATTAAATTTTTTAAACATAATGAGCTGGCCAAAATAGCTTTTAAGTAAGCTAGAGGCCATTGCCCTGAACACAGTGATCTGTGTTCAGTTTTAAGAAGAAGAAGAAGAAGACTTAAAGGTTAGGATATAATAACCATGTTTATTTTAAAAGGTAAAGAGTGGATTATCCTATCTATTTTTTTCTATCAGTCTTAAAAGAAAAGAGATAGCATAATCCACTCTTAACCTTTTGAAATAAACATGGTCATTATATCCTAACCTTTATTTAAAGTCGAGCAAAAGTTAAAAAAGAATAGACGATATTTGAAACAATTATTGCTTAACTAACATAAAGATACCTTATATTTAATCCAAAAGTAAATATTGTATCGCCATTTGTATCAAAAATACTTATTCTTAAATTAAGCATAGTATATATTTTATTTGAGGGTGCTGCATTTAAAATAATATGATAGTTTTTCTTAAAATAAAAGAAATAGTTTACCCTTGCACCTAACATTGAAATTATATCCAAATAAGTATATGAGGAGTGAATTTTCAAAAGGCCTTATTTCCATTTTTACTTTAATGTAATTTTTTGACAAAATCCCAAAGGTATGGTTAAAAGGCATATATTAACGGCGAAATATGACAGCAGGTCTGAAGTATTATTAAATATTCATCAGAATTTTTTTTTAAATAATCTATATGGCCCTAACCTATACATGTTATAGTCATTTTTTTGAAAAATTGTTGCAAATGGAAATACGACCTTTTGAAAAATCACTCCTCATATGTTAGTTCTTGCAAATAAGAATAAATCAATCCTGCAACTTGTTTTTAAACTTTTCTAGGCACTAAAATTACATTATATACTATAAAATATGGAAATTTTATTTTATACTGGTTGAAATATAAAAATCCTGTAAAAGTAGATAAAAAATTGAATTGTTTTGTTAACTATTCAATGCATCTTAAAAAAATTGAAAAGTATTTATTTTTATTGGTAAATTTGGTAAATTATCCCCACATACCGTTGTTTAGGTTTTTAATAATAATAATAATAATGTTTATTAACAGCAAATTGCCACAATATAAATAGGTACAATAATATAAAAAAAGTTACAATAGTAATAAAATAAAAACTAGAAGGTACAAATAAATATCACAATAATTAGGTACAAAAATCACATTTTAGTGAGTGAGATTTTTTAAATAGTTTCCAATCCTATTTTTTTTTTTTTTTAATTTATATTAAATTTTAAAAAATTATAATTTATAATAATTATAATTATAATAAATTTCAAAGAATTCCATAAATTTAAAACAAACTTCTGGGAATTTAATTGTTTGTATAATTTTATAATTATGTATTAATTTTAATAGTATTATAATAGTTGTTTTATCAAACTTTTAACTTTTATTTTAAATTAAACACTGAATTTTTTTAATATTTGTATTTAAGTTTATGGAATTCTTGAATGATATTTCTCCGTTAACAATTTCGAGAAAAAATCAATAATCCTATAAGACGGTTACTTTTTAGACTCCATACTGGCGGGAGCCCCGGGAGTACTAAGCAGCCCCTTTATGCACGGTCTGGCATCACCGCTGGCCGCCCCGTACGCGGGAGGCGTCGCGGGGGGAATCCCCGGATTGGGGGGATTCACGTTGGGCCAGACCGCCCCTGGACTGAGAGGCCTGACCAACCCCACCCTGGCCCTGGCCACGGTGCTGCTAGTCAGCAACCTCAACGAAGAGGTTAGTAATCAATTTTTCTTTTTATGTTTACATAAAGTATCTATACAGTTCTAACATTTGTAATAATTTGAACTGTAGCAATAATTTTAACATTTATTGAATCAATTTACTTAATATTGTATATAGCATTAATCATCCGTCATTATTTTGGACCATACGCAAAAGTATTACATATTTTTACAACAAGAAGGTTTATTTTTCTCTATTCATTTGTAAAATACAAAGCGTTTACTAATTGTTAATTTAACACCCTATATAATCAATCTATTATTTTTATAAAAACTGACATAAATGGCATAAATTAAAATATGCAATACTTCTTTACCCCATTAGACTGGGTCAAAAAAATCGACTATTTTAGATTTTATTTCCTGAGCGCGTTTTTGTCTCAGAACTCCCAAACCATTGAGATTAACAAAATTGACTTAAAAATATTTTTTAAGGAAATTAACTGCTCTACAAAAAAGGTTTGATTGAAATTTCCCGTCAGATGAAACGTTTCCTTACAATCATGCCTTAAAAATTGCTATAGTTTTACAATTTGATCTTTTAACTTTGGAATTTTGTAATTCTTCTAAAAATCAAGTCAAAAGTCTCTTAACATTTTTGGCTAAATTTATTCCATCAAAAGTTGAAGTCAAAACGAAATTCTTGTTTTTTCCGCTGTAGATTATTTTGGGTTAGTTAAATAATTTTTACTGTTTAATCGTTTAAATAATAAAAATCATGTTGTTTTTTTATTGGAAATTTTTCATTAGTTATACAATACACATTTATAAAGAAAAAAATCAAATTATCATCCATAAAAAAAAAATCTACAGAGGAAAAAACAAGAATTTCGTTTTGACTTCAACTTTAACCGTGAATAACTTTTGATGGAGTGAATTCAGCCAAAAATGTTAAGAGACTTTTTTTGTAGAGCATTTGTTTTTCTATATCTATCGGTTTTTTCCGTGTACTAATTTTGTACATGAATTAAAAAATTCCAAAGTTAAAAGATCAAATTGTAAAACTAAAAGGTTCATCTGACGGAAAATTTCAATCTGACCTTTTTTGTAGAGCGTTCAATTTCCTTCAAAAAATATATCCAAGTCAATTTTGTTAAACTCAATGGTTTGGGAGTTCTGAGACAAAAACTTTCACAATAATTTTTTCTTCTGTTTTAATATACTTTACAAAAAAAATAGTCGATTTTTGGCCCAGTCTATACCCCATACTTCTATAAATAACTGTTGTTGGAAATCCTTATTTGACAAAGACCGTTTTTGATGAGACATGCTATATATTGAATAAGGCTTTTTAAAATCATCAATCTCTTAATTTGGATTTATTTAGTTTAGAATTGTTGATAGAAGCTAAAATGGATATATGTAGATTTAGATAGATATAGCCTTTTTTTAGTAACTTTATTAGATGCCAAAAGAATATCTTTGATAACACTGGTGTCCAAGCAAAATGTCAGTTTTGCTAATATTCAAAATTAACATTTTTTTTTTACAAAAATTGATATTTTTTGGACCAGTGTTAACTTGTCAAATATACAAAAAAACATAATATACCTACTACTTATAAGGTTCGTTTTTTGTACTAGTTGGTAAATATCACTTTTGTTAGTGTTAATTTTAATTAATACCAGCAATGTGCAGAAAGCGAAGTTTGCCCTGAAAAAAGTAAAACAAAATATGTTGTTGTCAAGAGAATAAATCTAATGCTGTTTTTCTTTTTTTTACATTTGCCGCCTCCTACCTTGGTGGCCTTATAATAAAAAAAAATAAAACCGCCTACTTCTCTGTGCCACGTTATACATCCTACTGTCATCTTTCTTCTTACGTAGATGGTCACGCCTGATGCTCTCTTTACACTATTCGGTATGTTTTTTCACACTTTTATAAATATCGGCCTTTTTGGTCTCCATAATGGGCCGCATAATTTTAAAACATCCACTTTTCGTGCGTTTAATTTGTGTAGTTTGCATATTTAAACAAACAGAGTTTCAATTGCGTTTACCGTTCCCGAGAAATTTGGAAAAAATAATTGTGACGTTATATCCAGAAATCTGAACTTCAGATGTGTGACTCTAGATGGCGTTGTGATTTCTATGAACAAAAACAAGATACATTTTGACGTTTCAAAATCTTTAAAGCAATGAAAATTGTCTTTTAGATGTTAAATTGACAATTTACCAGTGACATTTCTTCCAAATATCTCGAAAAAGTTAAATGAATTGATAAAAACTTTTTAAGTTGCAAAATGCACGTATTTAACCATAATAAGTGAATGTATAAAAATATGCGCCCAATAAAAAACTCTGTTCTTTTAACAAAAACCAAATTAACTAAGTAACCCAATCAATAACACTTTTGTATAAATTTTATTTTGCCTTAACAAAACTTAATTTTAACTCGAGACATGCGCAGTTTAATTGTGTTAGTGCCAGCGACATCTATGCATGTACAGAAACATTAAAATAACAGAGTTTGAAATCCATTTTACTTAAACTGCTTGATTAATTTTACTGTTGTGTTTAAGGAATTTGGATGTTTTTTTTTTAATTTAATTACATTTTATTTTAATTTTTGTGTAATTTGTGATTTTCTTGCATTTTTATTTAATTTTAAGCTTACCGCTTAGACCATTAAAATAATTACCAAAAAATTATCAAAGCGTTTACTATTTCTATTATTTGTTTATTATTTTATTTATTGTTGGTAGTTTATCGTATGTGTTTTTATTACTTTCTATTTGTTATGCATGATTTGTGTTTTTTAATATTATATTTTATTTAATTTATTTATTAAGAATTTCTTTATCCTCTGTGTTTCATTATTATTAGAGTTTACGTAGACTTTTTACACGGAAATTCACTGGTAATTTTTCGCCGATTGCGATTTTAATTTCCATGTAATTTTAGGGGTCTACGGCGACGTGCAACGGGTGAAAATTTTGTACAACAAAAAGGATTCTGCTTTAGTGCAATTGGCAGAACCGCACCAGGCCCATTTAGGTAAGGACAAACTCAATAATTGCTTCAAGAAACTAACTTTTAATATAATGAATATAGAACGTTGTATACAAATTTCGTAATGGATCGTTAAATATTCCATGAAATATTAATAATTGTTGATGATTGGGCTTTCAAGTATATTATTACACTCGAGTTTATGCGCATTATCTCTCGTATAATAAATTATTTTTTAAATAATTTACAGGCAATCAACAAAAATTATTAGTAGGTATTTCATGAAATACTTTTTTTCATTTAAACATTTAAAACAATACCTAATCTTAAACTTTTGCCAACAAAAATTAGAAGTTTGTTAAATTTATACTAAATCTAAATCTATTTACAAACGGTTGTATAAAGATCGATTTTTCTAGTCCTAAAATTTAAAAAATCATCAAACTATTTTTAACCTGAGCCCCGACCACTTAAAAAAACAGAAAAAATCTGAAAGAGGTAAGAAAAATTTTTTTTTTCATGTAAGGTTTTTTTACTTTTTTACCCTTTTGAAGGTACTCACAAAGTTTCAGATTTTTAACTTTGTGGTTATTTCTTAATTTTTTACCCTTCAGAAGGTACTTCCAAAGTTTCATATTTTAAGATTAATTTTTTTAACCTGAGCCCCAATTACTTAAAAAAACAATAAAAATCAGAAAAAGATAAGAAAAAAACATTTTTTTTTCAAACTATGTTTTTTCTTACTTTTTGACTTTTCTGAAGATTCTCCCAGTTTCATATTTTTCACTTAATTTTTAACCAATTAACAGAAAATCAGTAAAAGGTAAAAAAACATATTTTCTTCTTTAACAAGGTTTTTCTTACTTTTTGAATCTTCTGACCACTTAAAAAATAAACAGAAAATCAGTAAAAGATAAGAAGAAAACATATTTTTCTCTTCAAACCAGGTTTTTTCTTACTTGTTTACCTTTTTGAAGATACTCCCAAAGTTTCAGATTTTTAAATTAATTTTTAATATGATAATATGATAACAATAAATAAATTAATTAATTAAACTTTCTTAAAAAACAAAAAATCTGAAAAGGTAAGAAAAAAATATATTTTTTTTTCATGCAAGGTTTTTTTTACTTTTTTACCCTTTTGAAGGTACTCGCAAAGTTTCAGATTTTTAACTTCGTGGTTATTTCTTAATTTTTTACCCTTCAGAAGGTACTTCTAAAGTTTCATATTTTAAAATTAATTTTTTTAACCTGAGCCCCAATTACTTAAAAAAAAACAATAAAAATCAGAAAAAAAATAAGAAAAATACATAATTTTTTTTTCAAATGATGTGTTTTCTTACTTTTTGACTTTTCTGAAGATTTTTCAAGTTTCAGAATTTTCACTTAATTTTTTTAACCAATTAACAAAAAATCAGTAAAAAGTAAAAAATTATATTTTCTTAACCTTAACAAGGTTTTTCTTACTTTTTGAATCTTCTGACCCCTTAAAAAATAAACAGAAAATCAGTAAAAGATGAGAAAATAACATATTTTTCTCTTCTTTTTTACCTTTTTGAAGGTACTCCAAAAGTTTCAAATTTTTAAATTAATTTTTAATATGATAATATGATAACAATAAATAAATTAATTAATTAAACTTTCTTAAAAAAAAACAAAAAACCCAAAAAAATATTTTTTTTTTCATTCAAGGTTCTTTTCACTTTTTTACCCTTTTGAAGGTACTCACAAAGTTTCAGATTTTTAAATTAATTTTTTATATGATAATAATAAATAATATAATTAATTAAACTTAAAAAAAAACAAAAAATTAGTAAAAGATAAGAAAAAAACATATTTTTCTCTTTAACCCAGTTTTTTTCTTACTTTTTACTTTTGAAGGTACTCCAAAAGTTTCAAATTTTTAAATTAATTTTTAATATGATAATAATAAATAAATTAATTAATTAAACTTAAAAAAAAAACAAAAAAATCTGAAAAAGGTAAGAAAAAAATATTTAGATTTCTTAGCATTAATAGACAGATTATTATCACACATATATTCAAAAAGACTTTAAGGTCTTTAACAATTACATATAACATGGTGTCATCAGCAAAAAGCTCAATTTTACAATTTCTCACCACATGAACAATATCATTAACTTAAAGTATAAATAAAGTGGGACCCAGCACTGTTCCTTGAGGCACACCAAAATTTAGGATCCGACAAATGACCATTAAACTTAATATTAATAATCAATCTTTAATTTTGAAATGTCTGATTAATTTTTGAAAATATCATGCAAACAATTTTTTCTCTACGACTACTTAAGAATAGTAACATTGTATTTTAATTTTTGATCATAGAAAGGATGTTTTTCTGCAATACTGTGCAAGAATATTCCTACTCTTGTTTAAGAATGGTCACAAGTAACGACATCTCCTGGCTGTTTACTAAACGTAAAAAATTTAAAAATATTTAAATATTACTGTATTATTTATTAATTAAAAAATAATAGCAGTTGTATAATTAAGGTTTAGGCACAAAAAATTAGTTATATTTATTGTTTTTCAAATATACAAATCAAAATTATAATAAATTTGATATTAAAATGATAAACCAGTTACCTACTATACCGGCTTTGAAGTTTTGACAGATTCAAAAAGTTTAAAAAAAGACCTTTAAAATGTAGAAAAAGAATAGATGTTGACAGATTACTTGTAAAATTAGTTTTGTATTTGTTACAATGTTATTTTTTTTATTAGTTAGTGTAAATAACTATTTTTAATTATAATAAAGATTTAGGCATACCATTTGTTTAAATTTATTATAATTTACATTATAAAATTGTGACGGCACAAAATGGTTTGACAATACAAAAAACTTAAATGTCAAAAACTGCTTGGTTTCTTTTCTCTGTTTAAAATTATATAAGCGTTACTATTCTTACGTAGTCGTAGAGAAAATAATGTCTGAAACACGTTTGGAATAGCATATTCCACTCTCGTAAAACCGTCACAATCGCCTTCGGCTCGTGTGTCAAATTTTTCCTCGAGCGGAATATGCTGTATTCCAAACTTGTTACAGAGTGTACTATTATGAATAAAGAGATTTAACTTTTTTGCAGCCATAACCCACATGGACAAGCTGAAGGTGTTCGGCAAGAACATCCGCGTGATGCTGAGCAAGCACCAGACGGTGCAGATGCCGAAAGAGGGGCAACCGGACGCCGGCTTGACGAAAGACTACAGCCAGAGCCCGCTGCACAGGTTCAAGAAGCCGGGCTCGAAAAACTATCAGAACATCTATCCGCCATCCTCTACGTTGCATCTGAGCAACATCCCGGCCACCATCAACGAGGACGACATCAAGGAGGCCTTCACGAAGAACGGCTTCAGCGTCAAGGCGTTCAAGTTCTTCCCGTAAGTGTTTTTCAATTTTTTTTCTATTGGCCTTTGTTTTCCGGATATTGTAAAAAACGTTTTTTTTTTCGATTTGTAATTAAATAAACACATTTCCTCACTGTACTGTGCAAAAATACAAATAAATATAACTTTTTGTAAAATAGGTTACATTGACTAGTTATTTAACCAAATCGCTCGACGAATTTTTTTTTAATAAAATGAAAAGTGATCTAAAATTACTACTTTTGTGAGGTATATACACAAGTAGAAATTTCACCACACTTTTAATTTTATTTTAAAAAACTCGTCGATAGATATGGCTTAAAAACTAGGCCAAAGTCAAATGATGTTATATTTATATTTTGAAAAAAAAATGTTAAACGTTTAGTTAATAACTATAAAATAATTGTAATGTGAACATTCTTTAGATTGATTACTATTTTAGCTATCATTTAAAAGAAAATTAAAAATGACAATTTTGTAGAAGTCTAGGAGTTACTACATGGATTTTGTTTTTTAGGTATATTTTGTTGTTTTTTTAAGAAAAATGTTGGTTGTGACCAGAGATATAGAGGTCTATGTTTCTGGTTGTGACACATTTTAAAAAGAGTTTAATAAACTAGAACCTAAAAATATATATTTTTAAAATTATTTTTTAAAAAAGAATTTTTTTTTAGTACAGTTACCTTATTTTATGTTTATTTAAGATTTAGGAGTTTTAGGAGATATATGGCAATTTTAGGAGAATTTTAGGGGTTTTTGAGATTTAAGCCAAATTTTTGGAATTTTATTTTGAAAATTGCCGAAATTTTGTCAAAAAAGCGATTTTATTTCGTTAAAAGTAGGTTTTTAAGGGACTATTTAGTTGTTTAATTTTTTTTAGCTACATGACCAATAATCCTTGGTTAAAATAAATGATTAAAAAAATAAATTGCAAATAAAAAAAACGTTTTCTTACAATATTACCGAAAATTTTTCGAAAATTGAGCAAAATGACGGTTATTAGAGCATACAAATTACTCTAGAAAAGTACTTGGCTCCCATATGGAAATTTGACAGGTTTTGTCAAAAAAATGCGGGTCAGTTTGTGTGAATTTACCTTAATTACAAAAATGACAACCAACAATAATTAAGTAACGTCAAATTTACAATTTACATTGTATTATTGTCATTTTTATAATTAAGGTAAATTTATACAAAATGTTGACAGAACCCGGCAACCAAAGTGGCAAGCAAAACATTTTGTCAATCAGTACAATAAGGCTTAAGCCTGATTTATAGATTGCATTCCTTATAAAAGATGAACAATACAAAAACCGTTGTGCTGTTTATTAGACTGGGCCAAAAAAATCGACAAACCATTGAGTTTAACAAAATTGACTTAAAAATATTTTTTTAAGAAAATTGAATGCCCTACAAAAAAGGTATGTTTGAAATTTTCCGTCAGATGAACCGTTTCCTCACAATCATGCCTTAAATTCCAGGTAGGTACTGATTTTTACATGAATTACAAAATTCCAAAGTTAAAAGATCAAATTGTAAAACTATACCAATTTTTAAGGCATAATTTTAAGGAAACGGTTCATCTGATCAGCTGACGGAAAATTTCATTTAGACCTTTTTTGCAGAGCATTAAATTTCCTCAAAAAAATATCTCAGAGTCGATTTTGTTAAACTAAATGGTTTGGGAATTCTGAGACAAAAACTCGCCCAGTCTACTGTTTATATATTTTCCCTATTGTTCATCTTTTATGGGAGGAAGGAAGGCAATCCATAAATAATTTAATAAGCCTAATTATTAGGCTTTAGAACTTGACGTTGATATATTAATTAACGTTAACGTTTGTTCGGCAGGAAGGACAAAAAGATGGCGCTGATCCAGCTGCCGAGCATGGAGGAGGCGGTGATCGCGCTGATCAAAATGCACAACTACCAGCTGAGCGAGTCGAACCACCTGAGGGTGTCGTTCTCGAAATCGAGCATATAATACAGCGAGAGGAGGCACTCGTAGCGCCACCTAGAGGCGGTTCCGGGAACCACCCACCACCGACAAAACACAGTATTCATTCCATACGCTCCATGTCCCACGGTCAAGAGATTCTACTGCTACTATTGACGCGGGAGACGTGGCAACGACGTGCTAGCCAACTGCGGCGCTTATTTATTATTATTATCAATATATTATTACATTTTAATATATATATATTATTATTATCGATGATTATAGACTGTTTTTTGGCAGGTTAAGCTTTTGATGATCAAGAGGATCCATATCAATGTGTTTAAGTATTCTTATTATTAAGTAAGTTATTACTCTTAGTATTATTTTATTTTCTTACTTTGTATTAATTACCGCGTTCGACATTCAGTATTGGGTGGCTTTAAACGTCGAAAAAACTTTTAGGGAATAGGTTTTAAGACGCTGGATGTTAATTTTTGTAAATTTATAGAAGAAAAGTGTTAGAAAAAATAAACTTTATCAAAAATAAAATGGAACGTGTGCGCGGAAAACGAAACGCACGGACAAAACCTACACATAGTTTTAAATGGCTAGTATTTTGTTAGGCGAGTTTTAGCGTGTAAAGCTGTAGTTTATAGTCAGTGACTAGTTTTAGGGTAATCACAGGGTGTAGCTGTACCCTAGAGGTGGCGCCTTATTTACGCATTGACCGAAATTCGCCTGCGACTCTCAAAATACCTACTCAACTACGTACTCGACTAGGTACCAAATCGGGAGGACGAAAATCAACAAATTCGGTTTTTCGCGAACGGAAATCAATAAATCGCGTTAATGTCTAAATAAGCGCCATTTTCTTTGCAGATGCAGGTAATCATGTTTGTTTATAATCTCTATGGTAAGTTGAATCTCAACCAGCAAACATAACGGTAAAGGTTCTATAATGGCCCTTTATATTTTAAAGGTTTAATATGGCAGATTAAAGGTACAATTTAAATATCACAAGGCAACAAAAAAAATATTAATGGGTAAGTATCTATTATGGTGGAATAAATATTATTTACAATCAATTTTTGCAACAATTTCTAAACATTTTTTATAACTTTATTCACATTAAATTGGTAAAGTTAAATTTTTTAGTACACTGCGCGTCAAAATAATTAAAAAAATCTAACTCTAAAACGCCTTTACCAATCTTTATAAAATTTTTTATAAAAATACTTATATCTCAGTGTACATGTTTATAAAAAAATTTAAAGCCCTTTTATTTAATTTAGGGATTTTTTTTAAGTAAATAAAAAATATACTGTGAAACACCGTATTTTTGTACAAATCAAACGAACAGTAACGAAGATACAGCGCTTCAAAGTCGTCAAAAATGACCACTTTTCCGCAAAATAATCAAAAAGAGGCCATTTTTACCGCTGTATCTTCGTTACTGTTCGTTTGATTTGTAAACTAACGAAAATACGGTCTTTAACAGCATATTTTTTTATTTACTTAAAAAAATGTCCTAAAAGTTATTTTCGAACGTTTTTTTATTATTAAATAAAAGGGCTTTAAAAATATTATCTCGAAAAAACTTTATGCGTTAATTTTGACGCGCAGTGTATAAAACATTTTCTACCAAAATAGATTTAATATTTTATTCTACAAAATTATTGGTTTAAACTCGGTAAGTTTTTAATACAAAAATTCTCACATTACATTTAAATGTTAGTTTTAAATTCTAAAGTGGTAATTTTTGGATTAAAAATTTATCGAAATTTAAACCAAAAACTTATTTTTAACAAATTTAAATTGATACATTGCGTTTAAATGTAAGTCGATAATTTTTAATTCACAAAGTGTAACCGCGGCTTTAGCTGACTGCTAAAGCTACGTTTACACTTTGTATGCGTTAATTTTGTCGCGCAGTGTATTTAAAAATAGTGTCAACATTTAAAATAAAAACAGATACAGAACATTTTCTACCAAAATATTTTAAATATAAAATGTAAATGTAAAAATTTAACTTTAAAATATTGGTTTAAAAAAAATTAGTTTTAATATTTTATTCTACAAAATTATTGGTTTTAATTTATAAAGTCATTTAAATGATTGTCGGTAAATATTTAATACAAAAATTCTCACATTACATTTAAATGTTAGTTTTAAATCCTAAAGTGGTAATTTTTTGATTAAAAATTTATCGACCATCATTCAAATGACTCTCGAGAAATTTAAATCAAAAACTTATTTTTAACAAATTTAAATTGATATATTTTCAACACAAACATATTTACATTGCATTTAAATGTAAGTCGATAATTTTTAATTCACAAAGTGTAAACGCGGCTTTAGCTGACTGCTAAAGCTACGTTTACACTTTGTAAATTAAAAATTATCGACTTACATTTAAATGTAGTTATAAATTTTGTGTTGAAAATTTATCAATTTAAATTTGTTAAAAATAAATCCTAAGGTTTGAATTTAATTGATTGTCAATACATTTTTAATTCAAAAATTATCACTTCAAAATTTAAAACTTACATTTAAATGTAATGTAAGAATTTTTATATTAAAAATGTATCAACTTTTAAATATTTAAATGATTCTTTACAAATTTAAAACAATAATTTTGTAGAATAAAATATTTGATCTAAAATTTTTAAAGCTTAAAACTTTATATTTAAAATTTTTTTTGACTATATTAATTGTTTTGAGTTTAAAACAAATTAACCTTGTAAATTTTTGTTAAAACATCATTTAAGTGCTAAACTTTAATCTTCACTACAACTATTATCTAGTTCTAAAATTTGTAAAAATAAAAATGCACCTACTTACTCATTAAAATTTAACAACCATTAGGTATTATTATTATTTTTTTATGTGATATAATACACTATTAAAACTATATGAATTACGCTGGGCGTCATTTTTAAACCAAAGGATAATTAAAAATTCATGTAAGTTTTATATACAGAAAACATTCAATGTTTTTTTAAAGTCTCATTAACTTGATACTGGAAATTGCCATAAATGGTCTTTTATGGTAAAATATACAAATATAATTCTGAAAAAGGCCATTAAGAGACCTTCTATAAAACTTATTATTAATAAAAAAACTATGAAACTATGTAATGGGCCATTACATAACCAGACTTATGTTTGCTGGGAACTTATAATTTCTCTCTTATTTCCCCACCAAACAACATGCTTGCCTGGATCTTTTAAAATTAAATATATATTTATAAAATATATACATTTATCTCTATCTATATACTATACACTTTGACAATCATAAATCATAAATTATGTTCTATACAATGCAACATACTGAAAAACGCGCGTGATTTAAAATTAATTTTCATGTTTATCTCTTGAAAAGTATAAAAAAAAATAATCAAAATTGTCGCCCTTGCAATATCCCGCTAAGAAAATTTTGAAAATATATTTTTTTTTAGTACACCTTTAGGCCTAATGTTTTATAATTTTATAAACCACAAAATTTTCTTAGTTAAGTTTATTAATCAAGAGGACTCTAAATTGATGTGACATATCGTATGAATGCATTTGCCAAATTATGAGTCAATATCTACAATATTTTAATGTCTGAAAGATATATTTTTTTAATATCTTCTGTTTACTTTTTTTATTATGTCTACGCACAACGTGTCTTTCATGTTTTTAACGACTTTTTACTTTCTGGCTTCTCAGGTTTATTTTTAGTTTGTATCTTATGCATTTATTCTCTACTTTATTTTACTTTAAATGATATTATTATTAAACATTTTGATTTAAGATTTTTGTTATTTTTTTTTACCTTTTATTTATTTTGCGAGTTTGTTACACAACAATTAATAAACTATAGTCAGTGATGAGGGACCACAATTTTTACATCAGACAATATAAGAAAACTCTAAAAATTCTAAATAATTTAAAATCGCAATGACAATCATTCATTTGTGGCGTAATAATAAATAAAATAACTCGACGGTTGTGCGAAAAAAATAATTTAAATTTTATGACCTCACTTTAAGTTAATTAATTAAACAAGGGAACAAGCTTGAACAATCGAAATTTTAAGAGGGTGGTTTAAAGAAAATGTGTTGTGTAACAAAGTCATTTAAGGATTTCTGATGAGTTTTTCCTCTACCTACCTAATTAATTAAAACAGGGTGTTAAAAAAAGTGACTATTTCCTATAAGCAAAAATATGTCTCTACCTACTTATTAACTGGGTTGTAATGTAATAAAATTAAGAATTTATGAGAGTGTTGATTAATTTTAGAAGAAAACTTGCAGAAATCGTTTATTTTTCGTTATTTTTTTATCAGTTGAGGGTGTGAACTGGCGCACACGCTAAACATTTAAAATGCACAATATGTAAAGCATTTTTTCTTTATTGGCAATAGGTAAATATTTTTTGTGTTGTTATTAATAAAAATTAAATAAATAACAAACGCTATGGCCTAGTGCCTGTGTACGTGGGATCAACTAAGAACAAATCATGAATAAAATTTTATCTATTTAACATTGCATTCAAAACATATATCGACATAGGCTACATATATCTATCTATTCACATTATAATCTATTATGTACTATTTACAAACATAGGTAACTTTAGAATAACTTAGGAAATAATTAGCTTAAACTATGGGCACAAATTGAAGTTTACAAGATATATTTGAACTTGTTTGCACACTTCATATTCTTTACTACAAAATTCTAAATTGAGAATATACATTTCCACTCTTGGGCCGTTTCAAGCCTTAAATCACTTATCGATTGAATGATCTTTAGCTTTGTAGGGACATTGAGTCGATAATAGGGCTTCCGGACATATCTATTCACTAATTTTATCTAAAACTTTATTATGCAATAGCTCAGTCACTAATTTGCCGAAAAATTATTTTTTTCACAAAAGTGACCGGGATATATCATTGGCTTTGATTCCATAAAACAAATGGGTGCCAAGATCAGTATTAAACAAAAAAAGAACGGCCAGTTCTGTTGGTAATGTTAAGTTGTTAGGACTGTTGTTTTCAGTAAAATTTGATATTTATTTAGTTATTACGATACATGTATAACATGTACTTAAATACATATTATATCAAACATTATTCTGAAAGTTTTAGAGTTATTCTTTGTCATTTTACAATAAAATATTTAAAAGTAAACCCCTGTGTAATTATTTAAACAATCCTATATTTTGCCCTAAAAACCTTTGTTACGCACCTTATTAATCTCCTTAACAAAATCCTATAGAAAAATCCAGAGTATTTTTAACAAAATTCAGTGATTTATGCTTATAGGTTATGCCATAACCTATACGCATAGCAATATTAATATATGGCTGTGGCCAATAAAGTGTAGAATTCTTTGCTGGGAACACACTATTGAGAACAAACAATAATAATATACATAATTTTATTGTTCTCTAAATATGTAAATTTCAAAATGTAAACAAACCATAGACATGTGAATATACTCTATGATGTCTATGGGACAAACCCAGATTGACAAACCTTAAAAAAAGTATTGCCAACAAAATAAAACTCATTATAACTGTTGTTGCCATGACAACACAGAAACAAAAAAGATAAGACTCTTTATAAAATAAACAAATCCTTTAATTTTGACAAGCCCACAGAGACGAGCCGTACGATTCTGGTGTAACCAGGCCAATGTCGGAGTAACTCTCAAAAAATCGATTTTTGGGGCCGTATTTTCGGTGAGTACAGTTGAAACCATTTTATTGATTTTAAATCGCCCTTGTAGATTATTTATAGTGGGTTTTAAAACCGATTTCGCAGTCTGCGATTCAATAACAGATGCCGTTATTACCGACATTATAATTCTCAGCTGCATTAAATAATCAATAACAACAGTTCCAAGAGTTATTAATACATTAGTTTAAAAATGGAGAAACATTACAATAGGAATTTTTTTACCGTGAAAATAGTGTAGTAGAAAAGTGTTTAGATGACATCAATAGTTGTTTTGAAAATTTCGCAGCTGTCAAAGAGTAGGAATCCCATTTTCGTATCCTTGGTGACTGCCCTAGCAACCAATACAACAACATAGCAACATTAGGTAAATGCAAATTGACTGGTTATTTAATTATTTTGCACTGTTTTCACAAGTTGCACATGTGTTGTTTTAATGTTGTATTATGTTGTAGTGCTGCCTATTTTTTATTGACCTGTTTAGAGCTGAAATTTTTATTTTGACGTTTTACAAATGGCTCCCTTAAACCATTTAATCCGCCTAATATTTCCCCAGATTGATCATATACCCCCAAAAGACAACTCTAAATTAGCAATATTAAAGTTATTTACAAATCAGAGCACATCAGAAAGTTAATTAAACCAACTTCCAAGGATATGAGCATTAGCCATAGTAATTGGGGAGGATTTAATTGGTAATTACTTTTCAAAAAGGATCATTTCAGATATTGGGATTAATTTTAATCACGCTGCAATTGAGTACCCAGTCAAATTTTCACAGAAGGTGGCTCCCATTACCACAAAAACCTTGATATCAAGACAAAAATTTTTTGAGATCGCAACTCCTAAAACTTTGTCCAGATCAACTCATTGATCTTTCGCCTGCCACTTGTTAAGCAATGAAAGAAGGCTTCCATCCCCTAACCGTAGTTGCCATGGTGTGTCGCTATAGCAATTACTTTTTCACTTGATTCCCTTTTCTGGGAGAGAACATCACATACCCCCAATTACTGCAAACTTGTAGCTTGGCCGTGTTTACTGTTATTTGTATTTTATTATTTTCACTTTGCCGATCAAGTTTCCACAACAGGCAGATTGCGAAGGCCAATCATTAATTGAAAACTGTTGCTTGAAATTGGTATTAGTCAGAGTTTGGGTTGTGTTACAAGATATTGATATTTGAAATAAGTTTATTTTATTAATAAATGTAATTTGATATAACTGGTTAGATTTTTTTTATAAAAAATTTTTGTTATTTTGAAGTTAGAATAATCAATTTTAAACAAATGGAAGTAGTATTTAACAGTTATATATACTATGCTACACACCAAAAATTTCCACTAAGGTTATGTATCTGTCAGTTTAACGCCAATTCCGTCCTATTTTCTTAGTATTATAAATTAAGACCTTTGACCAATTTAATTTGGAACCATCTATAACTTTTCTAAAATTATTTTAACAATCTTCAGAAAGTTTAAGTGCTTATTTATAGTTTATTTTTAAGTTTAGGGTACCTACCTAGTTATGAAATAATAATTTTTTGTTCCAAACTAAATCGTTTTTTTTAAATATGTAAGCATGTACAATGTAAAAAAAGATTTTTTTGTGAATATTTTGAAAACCTGACGTTCCTTTGTTTTTGTTTTCACCATTTAAATTTGCTAATTTAATCAACTGAAGCTCCAACTCACTATTTTGACAATGTACAGGGTGATCCCCTATAATGTCGCCCCCCTTTAACTTTTTTATTTTAAGTGTCCCAAAAAATTTAAAAGTGTGGTTATGTAGGTACTAAAAAATACTTTTTTTCTACGTAAAAAGAAAATTGGAAAATTAATCAGTATACAGGGAAAAACAAAAAGTATATTTTTTTTCAATGGATCACCCTATATTTGAATTTATTTTTCGATTCCTTGTAAAATTCTGAGCATAATTTATATACAAACCATATACCTAAATTCAACCGTTTCTGAAATATTCGCATTCGAAATGTCATTATTAAATGTTTTTTTAAACTGTTAGAAATCAAGAAGCCTCAGTATACCAAAATTTTTATTGAAAATAAATTACTATAGTGACATTATGTCAATAAGTGTTGTTAAATAAGTAAAAATGGCCTACTCAGACAGAGAAAGACAAACTATTTCAACTTATTATCTTAAAAATAATTTAAATATTTCAGAAACGGTTAATTTAGGGATATGGTATGATATATGAAATATGCTTAGAATTTTACAAGGAATCGAAAAATAAATTCATATATAGGGTGATCCATTGAAAAAAATTTAACTTTTTGTTTTTCCCTGTATACTGAACAATTTTCTTTATAGGTAGAAAAAAAGTATTTTTTTTCAAGCGGCCATGATATACAACCTTATATGCCTGTATAGAGATAGTTGAAGTGCGTCTTTTTCATTAGCGGCAGACAAAAAACTCAAAAAAGCCTAGGGATAGAAGTAAATCCATAGGTGTCTCAATAGACGTCAAATAATAAAATTAATTTAGCATTTCATACAAAGCAATCACGATGTATTAATTATATTAATTATAATCGCACGGAATATTTAGTGATAATTTATTAAATTTTAATTGAACGAAACAAAGAACAACTAGTTTATTAGTATAATATTATGATGATAGACGAGTCGCCAATGTCGGAACTCCAAACAAATGTCAGTACGTCAAAATTAATTCAAGCGCAGCATTTTGACAGAGCAGTGTTTATTTTTAGTTTAGGATATTTATCGGCATTGTAAGTAAGGGTTTTTAGTTTTTAACAATAATTTATAATGCTTTTAGCCAAAATTTTATACCACATAAGTTATGAGTAAATAAAATAATTCTATTGCTTATCCTATTTATATTACGCCCTTGAAAAAAAAATTGTAAATGTTATTTGGAGTAGAAGCTCTTTTTGTGCTTCGTACAGTTGCCTGCCTCAGCTACGCTTCGGCCGTCAATCTCTGTACTCACCACAAAAAGAGTCACTTCTACTCCTTATGACATAATCTACTATTTTTAGTTTCTACATAACCACACTTTTAATTTTTTTGGGACACTTAAAATAAAAAAGTTAAAGGGGGGCGACATTATAGGGGATCACCCTGTACATGCATGCATGCATATAATTGTTAGGTTAGGTTTAAAAAAAAAACATATTTTTCAATAACTGTCAAAATATTCCAACTCCTATAAACAGAAATGCCAACTACTACATTGGCTACCAACTTTATCAATTGTTTTAAATTCTAAATAAAAAACGAACTTTAACATGTTATAATAAAACTTCTATGAACAAAAAATCATGTAAAAATGCAATTCAAGTCAATGCTGCAATGGCATAATAATTTTTGAAACCCCCTTTCCATTCAAAGTAAAAACTCAACTTGGCGCTTGATAGCTACCTAAAAGAAACAAAACCGATACCTTAAATAAATAAGCGTTGCGGTGCCAGGTAGTGTCAGTCCGGGCACCCCATAGAATGCCGGCCCGGCAAAACACTTTCCCACATTTTATCAACGTGCACCGGGACCACTGGCCCTTCCACATGCACGTCAATGAGTCACACCGCACCGGTGCCTTAACCCTCTTTTACCTTACGCAACATGTAACGTCGGCCAGGTGAATGTAGATAATTAGAATTTCGAATTTTTCTCTTGCAAGCTCTAATGCTTTGCGTATGTTTATTATGGGGGTGGTTAAATGGCGACGGTGCCGTTGTTTGCCAGGTGCATCCAACATGTGCCTAGCACAGGACAGGGTTATAAATGCAGATGGTTGTTTTCAAAATTACATTTCGTCTTAAAATATATAAAATTAAAAAAAAACTGTAATTATACCCATAGAAAACCAGATTTAAGTGTACTTGATTATTTGAAACCAGGATAAAATATTTTCTTAACATAATATTTTGAAGTTTAAAATTTTAAAGTATCAATAATTGTTAAGTTTAATTAAAATAATAATGTTTAAAATAACGTCAAAAATGTTTATTGGGATGGTTACTATATTTTCGTATAGATGTCGCTTCATACAAATATTTAATTTAAATAATTTTTTAAATAATATTAAGTATTTGTTGTAGAAAATCTATAGTATGCAACTCGTTTATAATTTTTCATTTAATTAAGCACAATCAAATTGACTTGATACATAATAATATTATACTACTATAAAAAATATATACTAATAATGATTAAAAAAAATCTAAGCACTCTGTTATCTAATAATCATTAGGTAAACAATAAGTTTATATAAAAAATCTCTTTGTGATGTACGTTTTTGATAAATAAATTTAAAGTTAACTTGAAATGTTTTTATATATTATATAATTTTTTTTAACATTTGAGGAGTGATTTTTCAAAAGGTCGTATTTCCATTTGCAACAATTTAAAAAAAAAATGACTATAACCTGTATAGGTTAGGACAATAAAGATTATTTAAAAAAAAATTTATAATGCCTAAATTTATTAGGTTTATTGTTTTAAGTCCTTTAAAAACAATATTAAGTTTTACTTAATGTTTTCATTGGCAACGCTGTGTGCATAATAAGCTAAAATATGTACCACACATTTAAAACGGTTGATTTGTAAATTCAAATAAGGCAACTGCAGGGCCGTATTATTCAAAGGGCACTGGGTTAATTATATAAAAAAAATTATTTTAATAGTTGATGTTTTTAAATAACTATTTTATTTTTTATAGTTACTCAACTTAAATACTACCCAACTGGGGTTACTAATTAGTTATTAATAACACCTTTTGTCCTTTAGCAATTATTATTGTAGTTATGCTCACTAATTACTAATTTCTGTATAAACTAATTAGTACCTAATAATTTATATACGAGTGGGGCCTACTCTAAACATTGCATAGGGCCTACGAAAGGACTAATTCGGCCCTGCTTGGCAGATGTAGTTAATAACAGTTTTCTGTTTAATTCAGTTCCACCCCTGGACAAAACATTTTTTTTCGTAATTTTTTTGTCGGTTCGCGTTCGATCGCATGGTATCGCGCGTGTTTTTCCCTACTCCGACAGTTCAATTACAATATCAAGCGGCCCTTTTTGAAACACCAAAAAACGATTAAATCAAACTAATAATATTAATCCTTTGCCGGCCCTCTCCTTATGTACAAGGATTAAACGTGGTAACTTTGGTGGCTTCTGTGTATTGTTTTTTTTGTTGTTTACATTGTGGTTGTGTTTGCAAATAGTTTGTGTGTGTTTGGCTTTCTTTTAATGTTTGCCCAGGATACCTGTCAAGTGTTTGGTTTATATATTTTGGGGGCACTTAAGGGTGATTTATAAAGGTTACAATTTTTGAAGTGTAAGTTGGTTAAGAGCTGATTAATTAGAAGAAAGTTAGACCGAAATAGTCTGGGTCAAAAAGTTTTTAAAATATTAAAATTATTGAAAATAGAAATTATTTTAATCAATGATTTAAATCTGTTTTAAAAAAAGTTTCTAAAATCTAAAAACAAAAAAAACAAAGATCTAAAACTAAAGCACACTTGACTCTACTTAATAAAATAATAAAGGACCATGGTTTATTTGTTTATAAAGTAGTGCCAATATAATATTATTATAGTCAAGTTATTTTTAGTAGTACACTTTATTAAAAAAATAATTTTTAGTTGATTTTATTGATTAGTTTAATAAAAATCATTGTTTTTGATTTTTTTTTTAATCAAATTTTTTTTCAAACCCTTTAATGAACCATAATAAACTCTAAATAGTATATTATTATATGAAAGATAATAAATGCTGTTATTCGCGAGGATAATTCAATAATTTTCAAAAATAAAATTTGACATCTGTCAAATGGTTAACCTCACTTTTTACCAATTTTAAATATTATAGTCGCCTACTTCCTATTGGTTCAAATCACTGTCAATACGGAAATGGGCCAATCACTGATACCTAACAACGTGAATAATGAGTTCATTATTTCCGTTGTTATGCAGAGAATTTATAATGTTTATCATTATATACGCAAAAAACAATATTATGCAATAAGAGTGGATAAAAGTTATAAATGTAATCTTAATATTTATTATTGAGAGTGTACTACTAATAATACTACTAAATTATTAAAAAAAAAATATCGTTAAATAAATTGAATATAAAGAAAATACATGTCAATATTTAACAGAAATGCTATATAGCATAAACTAATTTTGAATTTTAACTGCCATTCATTGTTAATGGTGTGATGAGAACAGATAGACAATCAATTAATTAATTGCCTATTTGTTGTGATAATCAATTATTGCACATCATGTTGCCAAAGGCATGCATATTCCTAAAGTAAAAATCCTAAAATATATTTCTTATGGGATAAAACATTAATTCCTTATAAAACCATTGTTAAATTGTTATAAGATTGGTCATTTAAAGTTTATGAATTAGTTTAGGTTGTTTTTGGTAAATTAATTTTTCATGATGATATTTATTTTCCTAGAATATACACATATTAGGTATATTAAATTTAAAAAAATAAAGGAAAATTGAAAAAGACCCGAACCAGCAAGGAAAAAGTTATATCAAATAAACTTGACAATATTTATTGTCAAGCATGCACATACTTTATCCTCCACCATAATAAATACTGAAAATTGTCCTTTTGAATCAAACAAGTGTATCATCATACCGACGGAGTGTGCTCTAGAGGAACAAAGAAAAATAGGAAGCGTAGTCCTAACCTTGTGATTGGCTGTTTCAGAGAGAAGGAGCAGTAGCCTTGGTGACGAAGCCATGGCAACTACAGCTCGCTATGCTGCAGGAGGCAACAACGGCAGTGGACCTCCTACCCCTACACCTGCCACCACACCCCCGACACAGGCCCAGGCCACACAGCTTATCGTCCTCCCTGCCAGTTTGCACCAGGTAAATGTCCATCGTGCGTCTAGCACTATTTTTGGTGCTCCAGTTTTTTAGGTAACAAAGAAAGTGATCTACTAGCTTAGTTTTGCGCTGTTTTGGATTTAAATGTAGGCATAATGTAAGTTGTGATTTACCTTGCATTAAAGTAGCGTCTTCATTGCCTATTTCCTTTGTTTTGCAGTTTTCAAATGAACTATTTTTCTCGATTTTTACACCTAAAAAAATTACATCAACAATAAATTAATTTAATAAATAATTACCATATACTTTTATTTATTATAATTATTGAACAATTTTGTAATTACACTTAATAATAATAAACAATGTTTTTAATGACATCTTTAAAAACAACAAATCAGCCAACAGAAAAAAAGAAAAAACTTCATTACCAACCGTATTTTCAACCAATCAAATCAAATTATTTAAAAATCGCATAACCTTTGAAAGAAAGCGCGCGTTCCTATTGGACTAGAATACCGCCATATTTAACATTTGAATATCAATTTGCATTTCCCTGTTGTAGACGAGCACAAGTGGAACTTTGGTAAATGGAGTACCTGTAATAGATGTGTCTGCGTTAGAACAAGCCGCAGAATCCAGCAACGAAAGCACAGCGACTGCAGAGCAGCACGCAGATCGCCACGAAAACGATCCGCTAGCGACCAGTTCGCCGCACTTCATAACTGTCACAGGTAGGTACCTAATTAATTGTTTTAAGTTTGACAGGAAATTTGTTTTTTGAAATTTACGACTTGCGACTCGAAAATTTCAATAAACACCCTCGTGGCGGGCATGATTTTCGAAGCATGGATTTCAAGAGCACGTGCAAACTTAGGTTGTTGTTGTTTCATTAATTCACACGTATTTCTTAGTTACTAACTCAATTTTTAACAACGCCACGTCACCAGAAGCTGCAGCTAGATCTTACGCTTCTTTGACAACCGTTCAGCCTGCCGTAGGTAAGAGCACAAGGCAATATTTTTTATTGCATGGTTGGTATTTGTGGCAATTAAACGCGGCGAAAATCTGCATGGCTTCTGTTTGACGGTTGTGATCCTAAGATGTGCTCCAATAATTCTACTATCTCCATTTTAAGAGTTTCAATAGATATTCACAAATAATTTCGGATTTATTTACAGTACAGATTCCAAGAAAATAATTTGCCCATAAAACATTCTCTCCTGTTTTACTGCTTCTATAACGATTGTTAGTCTGTTTTCAAGGGATAAATTTTGATTTACACAGAAAAGTTTGAGATTTTTTTTTTCCAATTGGACTCGTGTTTTTTTTTATTAAGTTGGCAGCTTATGCTAGTTTGATTTAGTATTTTTAGTATTTAAAAAATGGTACTCCTGCCGAAGACCTCAATTAAATACTCTGACAATGTCAAATTGACAGTAATATTTATTATTGATTATTTCCCTCATTATAATATGAACCATTCAAAAGCCTTGAATTTTCGAATAAATTTCGTTTAAATAAGCGATTAAATCACTAGAACTAATTAACAGCGATTAAATTTTAGCCTCCATATTGAATTTTTGTTTACGATTTTATGGTGTTATTTACAAGTTTTAACAAACATTTTTTAAAAAACAATAAAGTTATCTAGTTTACGAAATATCAATTATTACTTATTACATACCTTAAATTAATGGAATTTTCTTTAAAAAAATATTTATAAATTTTGACACATACGTCAGATTTTATGAATTGTCAAATAGTTTCCTTTAATTCGAGAAATAATCTAGACGTAGGTATATCACTCAACCTATAAATTTAATCTGTCAAACTATGCTCAGTAAGTTTTTTATTTGATTTTTCTTTTTGGAAAATGGTTTCATGCAAAATAATTAAAAATAAAACCCTCAAAAACACTGTAAAAAAAGTAATTTTAAATTTTGTGTTGCCAACTTAGGAAACAAAAATATGAAAGTTTCAAACCCTATTTAAAAACCCGATTAACAATTTTTATTGTTTCTTAATTACTTTTTATGTTATTTTTAGTTTTTATTAATACTCTAATTTGTAATTAAGTATTTATTTGTTAATTAAAATACAACATTTTTAATTTTACTACATTGGCACCGCAACTGTAATTTATTTATCAAACTCTTTAAAATGATATAAAACCTAAAGATCATTTTCTATAGAAAGTAACGTCGCAAATTTTTTGAAATACTGTACCTGTAAGCTTGTTTCTATTGTTATTCTCTCCCTCATTAAATTTAGAAGGACCGGTTCGGCAAAAGCAAAGGCAGTGGGTAATTGGCACTGATTAAAACTATAATCCTTTGCGATTGCAATTTTAGAGTGATGTGCCCCATATCTCCCCTTTTTCTCGCAGGGTAGCAAACTCTCCAATTAATGAATTGCTTGCTACCTGGCACGCGACACCTGTCGTGGTATCACGTGTCTTATTTTTGCTGAGGTGGGTGCATCCCCTACACCAAATGCACTGTATCTAATTCGGATATACAGGGTGATTTTTTTAGTCTTTATTCAATTTAAGCTATGTTCCATGAATACATGTATTCACAATAAGCCGTGAGACGAATATTTAAAAAAAATATCATAATTTTTGATATGAAAAAACTATTTTAAAGTTATTTTTTATTTTTTTGATAGTTTTAATTTCACAGGTTATATTAGGTTATTATAATTTCAATGACATAATGACATAATTCGTACGTTCTTGATATTTGTTTGACCCAATGTGACAAATTAAATTAAAAACGTACCAACCATAAACCACAGAAGTCTTACTTACAAAAACACTAATGACAATTTTAACATTTTCTTTTGAAAATTAGACCTTAAGTTAATATTAAAAAAACACATTCTTGGGCATATAGTTTTGGGGTTTTACTGTCTCTTTTAAAGCACATCTCTTTAACAATGTTGTTCACCCTGTATGCGTGGGTGCATCCCCCAATCATAGAAAAATATCCGCAGTTAATCCGTCATAGGTACTCGTCACGTGTGATCTCTATGGTAGCCAGGTAGGGTGGATGCTGCTTCTTATTGTAGGCCGATTAGTGCCGCCCGAACGAATTTTGCATGTGTATTTCTCGATCACGTCACCTCTGATTTTTCGCGGCGTTCAGTATCCGCTTGAAGTTTCCATGGTAAACAGTTGTGATGGACAGGTCGTGGACCAACAGTCAAAGATGCTCCTATAGCAACCACGGTAGTAGCTGTTCTCTTTGTTTGTTTTTATATTTTATTTGTTTTGTTTGTTTTGCTTTTTTTTGTATATAATTATTGTGTTGTATGTATACATTTTAGTATTTAATATTAACAGTTTGTAAAATTCCTGTTTTTATTTTTATTTATTTTTGGGATTTTACCATTTAAAATTCTATTTCAATACCTTTTTTATTGTTTCGTATAATTTATATTTTAGTCGATTTTGTTTTTTTGTTATTTATTTTTTATGAATAGGCGAACTTTCCAATTTTTGACAAAAAATAAGTTTTTATTATTTTTAGTAGAATTTTTCATTCTATTTTAATTGAATATCTTATTGTGCGGTTTTTTTTAGTTCTTTCAAATTTGTTTATACTATACCATAAGTTATGGTCCTTAACAATCTTTAATACTATATGCCACAGTGGCAGAGTTATTCGCCTCGGGTAAAGTTGCGCATAGAGCGGTGAAATTTAACACATTTTGTCAAACAGGTTTGTGTTATCTTTCATAGAAAAATAAAAAAAAATTGTTTATAAATAAGAACATTTTTTTAAAGATTGTTATGGTATAGTATTAAAAAAATTGAATGAACCAGCGTATAAAGAGTTAAATGTTGGATTTTAATACTTTGATATTTAATTGACTAAAAAATCCAAAAATCGTTTTTGCTTAAAATATTAATTTTTTAACAAAATATCGTAACAATTGTTAATTTTTAATATCACATTAATTTAATTTTAAATTTATTGTAACAATATGTTTTATCTACTCCTACATTGACGAGCTGTGACTTTATGGCGTTTTATTGACGGGCTGAAGTTAACAACAGTGGCTTTTCGACATTTTACGTCACGGGCCGAAGTTAGCTTTATTATAAATTGGGAAAAAGTGAGGTTAAATTCGGGTGACAGTTGACAGAAGTCAAAATTTTAACAAATAAAATTGGCTTTAAATTCCGTTTTGTGTTCGTCGTAGATAAAGTATAGTATGCAACTCGTTTATAAACTTCTCTAGACACTCGTTTTTATTAAACACTCGCTCGCAAGCTTCGCTCGTGCTTAATTAAACTCGTAACTAAAATGGCGTTTATAAAACTTGATACATAATATACTATTATCTATTTTGCGTTCATAATGACTTCATTAAAACACCGCTTTCGGTGCTGTAATGAGACACTTTATCACACCCAAAATTTTAATTTTATAGGTTGGCTATACTTTAAACAGCATAATATTTTGCATATTGGTTATAATATTTTTATGATTTTTCCAGTACCTACTTACGAGACTTTTCTGGCAATAAATTTTGTTTAACCCCAAAGAAAATCCTTTTTTTCTTCTTTAACATTAACATCCGCTTATTGTAAATAAGTGAATTAAGGACGGCATGGCGAATCGATTTTGACATTAACGTCAAACCAATGCACAGTGTGTTAAATTAACAATCTAGCTAGACAAAACCTAATTTTAAAACAACCTGAAATTAAGACAAATTTAATTAAATAAGCTTCTTCAGTTCTCCCTGTTATGATTTCCATTACTTAGAACGTACTGTAACAGTGTATTCAGCACTATGAAGGTGCCAGTTCCGGGCGTATCATTTTTTATAAATATACTTAGCCGTGTATGTGTTGCAGAAAGGTGGAGTGATTTTGACATTGTTTCAAGTTAAATCAAATTTTGAACTGTGCCGCTATGAATCTAGGTATATATTACTTATTTTTTATAATTAGGGATTTATAATATCAGTAATCAGCAACAGGCTATAGATATAGAAATTCACTTGGTGTTGTTAAATATGGACAATATTTATTAAGCAATAAGTATTGTAATCGAGCAATATCGGGTGCACTATCAATATTTGTTTTGTTTTATAACGTCTAAAGATTACTTATGTGCCTTTATTTATTGCCCCAATTTGCCTCTTCTACAGGGTGTAACCAAAAACCGGCTCACTCCTTTTTTACTATTAAATTTTGGAATAGAGTTGAAATTTGGGAGCAATAATAAAGAGTTAATTTATAATTATTTCAACCTTCAATAGATACCACAAAACTTCCGGTTTCCCCGGAAATAATGCCAACTTTAGTTTTTTCAATGAAACACTATGCATGCATATGCATATCTTTGCATATTTCAAATCAGGAGAAAATTTTGAATTCGATACTTACACTTTCGCGGGAATTTTATAATGATCTTAATTTTTTTTTGTAATTTAAGTTTTCCATAAGTGTAATTTTTGTGGAAAACACTAACCGAATTTTTATGACATTGGTTGGTTTTGATTGGGGAAAACATATGTATTTAAAAAAAAACATTAGCAGCCACTCTGATGGTATTTAAAAAGTTGAGTTAATTAAAAAAACAATTTATCAGCAACATTTACTATTTATGCATTTTACTGCAAATTTGGATGGTAAAACTAATTGATTCTCCAAATTGCAGCTTTCTGGATTGAAAACTAAAACTGGACAAAAATTCAAGGTCAACTGCAAAATGGTAGCGAATGTGCATTTATCGGATTCAAAATTTTCTCCAGATTTCAAATATACAAAAATATACAGGGAAAAACGAAAGTTGACCAATTTTCGACGAAACCGAAAGTTTATTTTTTATTACAAGGCGCCGGCCATTTTGTAATTAACAAATTTAATTTCTGCATTTTGGATGTCAGATTTGGATTCAGTGAACCCAAATACTCAGCTTCCAAAGAAAATATATAATTTTTTATGTCATTTAGGTTTTGTCTAGTTAGATAATCAATTTAACACACTGTGCAATGACTGTGATACCAAGTATCTAAAGTAAAATTCGACCAAATTAAATTTAAGGTATAAAATTAATTTTTTTTATAGAATTTTTGCAAAATATATTAAATAGCATAAAGAACTCATGTCATAAGACCTTATTTCCTTGATATACTAGTATCATCCTTAAAAATGTATATACGGTTGCCAAAAATAGGACTTAATAATCAACGTATTTTGGTATTAAAAAACCGAAAAATAAGGTTACGTTTAACAAGCCAAATTGTTTACTTTAAAGACCTGTAGCAGCTAAATGAAGTAACTTTAATATTCAAAAGATAATATTATTATCTAGTAAATAAAATATTAGAAAATAATATTTTCTTAATATATTTTTTGTTTTAGTTGCCGACGGAGACGCAGTGGCTTCTCATCAGGGTTACCACATTCAATATGTCGAGCCGGAGATTTACGCGTCGCAAACTAATGGTGGGCAAGCACAAATGTAAGTTAATAACAACCTTTTTGGTAAAAAAAATTTTGGAAATCATTTTATTCTTTCGTAGGGCGTATCCGGTGTATACAGTGGGCGAATCGGGTACCCTCTATTCCGCCGGTCAAGGTCAGTACTACGCGGCCACAAATACCGGCGCCACAGCGGTCACAGGTACCGCGGTCGGTTATACCGCCGCCGGCGGTCACTACGTGGTCCAACAGACCGTCGAGGGCGACCCACTTATAACTTCTTCAAGAAACTCGCCGCAAACTACAAATGCGGTAAGTGCAATTAATTATTTATCTTCCTACATTAACACTTTTAGATTTGGTTTGTAGATTAAATAATATAGTTTATATATTAGTTTGGTATAATAAAGGTTTTTCTTTACCTGATTCATTTTGAGATTTTATGTTTTTTATCTCCAAAGTATGTAATATATGGGTGAATAAATTGAGATGTCCCCCAAGTGAAAATGATTATTTTTTATTTTTGGTTGTTTCACTGTAAGTCTAACATAACATAAGTGGTTCTGCACTAATGCAAGAATTTTAAGAAATCATGCATTTTGAATATTAGAGCTTAACGGAGGTTAGGATTTCGTATGTTTTTTTAAAACATCCCTTTGTATATTTGAAATAAGTTATTGTATCTTTTGACACCTTAATATTTTTTAAAAATACAATTGTACATACATAAAATATTAGATATTACACTTCACGGTGGATAGGTTTTTAAATAGCAAATTAATGAACTTAAACTTTTGAATTATAAAACAGCAACACTCTCATCTGAATATAAATTCTAACTGACCTTCAGGAATCACATGCATCTATAGTGTCGTAAACAGAGGTTTTTGCTTATTAAAAATGATTAAAGCGCCATCCGTTGCATAAAATTTAAAGCAAAAACAGATTCACGGAGGATAGAATCAATTTTTGTAACACCTGCATAAATGGTTATAAAAATTATTTTTAATAATATTTTATATTTGATTCGATTGATTTGGATGTGTTTAATTTACTTAGTGAACTGATATTTTTATTATGCTTTTACTACCTCAGATATTTCAAAACATTTAGGTTAACCTAGAAAGAGTAACCTAGTTTTATTAAATATCACGGGGGATATTATGTGAGATTCACCCATATATATTCCTAAAATGTAATTTTTCGTTGATATATTACATTCTAAAAATACAAGTATATGGTATTAAAATCGCCATTTTTCACGGGGTATGTAAATTACCCTATAAAATATATTTTTTAAATATGGTGCCCACAGAAAACATACAAAATAAAAACTCAAGAAGTGTCAGTTATTTTTCTTACTAAATCCATCTAAACTCGAAGAAATAGCCACCGTCTCCAATTAATTGGCAACCCTGTTGTGCACACAAATTAATCTTGAAGTAGCCTTTATTTTACCGAGCCCAAAGTATTTTTTTTTCGCCATGGCAATACTTTTTCGGGGTTGCTTTTGTAATTACTAACACTTGGGTGCAGGATTCGAGTTACGTGGCCACGGCCACGGTGCATGCCTCTTCTTCTTCCGGCCAGATAAGCGACGACGTGGGATCGGCCCTGGGACACGCCACCAGAGTCTCCCCCGCCACTGTAAGTCCACCCCCCACACGCAAAATAGTTGTTTGTGCCGTCTGTCTGTCTGTCTGTCTTTGATTTCGTTATTCTGTGTGTAGTATTTTTTGCGGCTAAAAATCGGTTACTTTTTGAATGCTGGGTGTCCCGGAAATGGTTCACCCCCCACCAAGCATTAGAGGAGGCCATTATAAGTTATTTAAAAAGTCAGAGGTTTAATGTAATTATCAATTTTATTTATTTGATAAGAATATGAAACCTGCTTATTTTATTAACACCCCACTAGGGTTTTAAAATTTCCTGAAAAATTGAGCCGGTGGAAAAAAAGGTTTTTTTTTCGGAAAAAAAACCGGAAAATTGGTACATTGGTAATTAATGTAATATATTAAAATATTGAATACCTTTTGACATAAGGTGTAAGGGAAAATTATTTAAAAAAATATTTTCCGAAAGACAAATAAAAAATATGCATTACAGGCCATTTTAAGTTATTTAAAAAGTCAGAGGTTTAATGTAATTATCAATTTTATTTATTTGATAAGAATATGAAACCTGCTTATTTTATTAACACCCCACTAGGGTTTTAAAATTTCCTGAAAAATTGAGCCGGTGGAAAAAAAGGTTTTTTTTTCGGAAAAAAAAACCGGAAAATTGGTACAGGGTGATCCCCTATAATGTCGCCCCCCTTTAACTTTTTTATTTTAAGTGTCCCAAAAAAATTAAAAGTGTGGTTATGTAGAAACTAAAAAATACTTTATTTCTACGTATAAAGAAAATTGATAAATTGATCAGTATACAGGGAAAAACAAAAAGCTAATTTTTTTTCAATGGATCACCCTATATATGAATTTATTTTTCGATTCCTTGTAAAATTCTAAGCATATTTCATATATCATACCATATACCTAAATTCAACCGTTTCTGAAATATTTAAATTATTATTAGGATAATAAGTTGAAATAGTTTGTCTTTCTCTGTCTGAGTACGCCATTTTTACTTATTTAACAACACTTATTGACATAATGTCACTATAGTAATTTATTTTCAATAAAAATTTTGGTATACTGAGGCTTCTTGATTTTTAACAGTTTAAAAAAACATTTAATGATGACATTTCGAATGCGAATATTTCAGAAACGGTTGAGTTTAGGTATATGGTTTGTATATAAATTATGCTCAGAATTTTACAAGGAATCGAAAAATAAATTCTAATATAGGGTGATCCATTGAAAAAAAATAAACTTTTTGTTTTTCCCTGTATACTGATCAATTTTCCAATTTTCTTTATACGTAGAAAAAAAGTATTTTTTAGTTCCTACATAACCACACTTTAAAATTTTTTGGGACACTTAAAATAAAAAAGTTAAAGGGGGGCGACATTATAGGGGATCACCCTGTACATTGGTAATTAATGTAATATATTAAAATATTGAATACCTTTTGACATAAGGTGTAAGGGAAAATTATTTAAAAAAATATTTTCCGAAAGACAAAGAAAAAATATGCATTAGAAGTTTTTTATATTTTTTGTGATACGCCACTGGTTACACACTTGTGTTGCCAGATTTTGTTTGAATTTACCTTCATTACAAAAATGATCCAAATTAACAATTGCATTTTTGATTTTGTAATTAAGCTAATTTTAAACAAAATCTGGCAACTTTTTTGACAGAATCTGGAAACGCTGGTTGTTACCAACCGTAACATAATAAATTAAATTAGGCAACCAGATTAGCCTAAAGTTCCTAGTCGATCAGTGGTGTACTTTTTGGTAGGATAAAGGTTATTATAAATTATTTTTAGAATTTAGAAAAAAAAGTTTCAGGTGCTTTTTTATGGACCCTAAGGAACTACCCATTTTAATATATTACATTAATTAAATTAATTAATTAATTAAATTCAATGTTTAGTTTTATTTTTTTTCTAAACTAAAATATTGTTAAGTTCTTGATTGCTTTAAATATTTTCATAAAAAATCAATTTTTCCCAAAAAAGACAATTTGTCCAAGGCTTGGGAAAAAACCATTTTTTTCCTCATTTTTTCCGGTTGTTTTTCGACACTTTAAAACCCTACCCCCGCACATATTTTTCTAAAATGGTCTTCCCTATAGCTTGGTGTGAAGATTGTGCGCAATTAACTGGACACCCTGTGTAATTTGTATTTTACGGTTTTCATGCTAAAATCAACAGCTGGACGAAAAGGTACTTATGAATTAGTTTTTTCAGTACCGTCCTTAAAATCCACATTAGTTTTTTGCCGTCTCAAGTTTAAAAGTTACCATTAAATCCATTTTGCATGTATTATTTTTCCACATTGTTTGGTAAAGAAATTTTTACTTGTGACGGCATTATTTCGATGTTCCTAACATTCACGAAAAAACTGCATGAATTTTATGAACATCGTTGTTAACAGGTGCAATGGTTATTGGAAAACTACGAAACCGCAGAGGGCGTGTCTTTACCGCGCTCCACCCTTTATGCGCACTACTTAAGACACTGCGCAGAAAACAAGTTGGAACCTGTGAACGCTGCGTCGTTTGGCAAACTTATCAGATCCGTTTTTCTTGGACTAAGAACTCGCCGATTAGGAACAAGGTAAAGAAAAACTATTTTAAATAATTTATTTGAATGGTGCATTAAAATTTTCCCTTGAGCCATGGTACCCCAACATTTGAAGGAAATGTTATTAAAGAAAAAAAATTTATTTTATATGGTTTTTTAATCAAATAAAATATATTGATTTAAAGTAAATATTATTTACTAAATACCAAATAAAATATATCAAAAAAGTGGTAAGAAAAAGTTGAAATAATGGGTTTCAAATAAAATATCTTGTTTTAAATCCATTTATTCAAAAAAATAAAATATCCTGTTTTAAAGCAAATATAAAAAAAGAAATGCAAGAAAAATGCAAACATCTGTTTTCTAAATTTCTTATTTATTACAAAATTGTTTTTACAAATAATTGCAATTTAGTTGCCAAATAAAACCCTAAATTGGCCACCATGGAGCCAACATTGAATAAAACTAAACTAAACTTGTGAAAAATATTATATTATGCTATGGTATAATTGGTTTTCTAATGCTTTTGGGATGTTTCAATCCCGGGCTATTTCATTATCAGCATGCTGCAGTTTGAGTTTCTGTTATGGACTGTCCTTGAAGATCATTAGCTTCCTTGTCTTGGCACATTTACTGCACAGTGCAAAAAGAAAGATTTAATTTTGTTTTTCAAATTTTATTTTGCAGTACTTGATTTCTTAGAGTTTGAGTTTATTCTATCTTCAAAGGTTCTTCCTGGTTTTGTCCTATTTCTTATACATGTATGTAAAGAAACTATTTTTTATATTGTTTTTTCAATTTTATTTTAATTTCTTACAAAGTATGTACTTTCTCTTTTGGTAGATCAGCTGTTAATTGTAAAGTTGGAACCGTATCCACTTTTAAATACTTTTTTATGGGAATGTAGTTTGTATATAAAACAAAACAAAAAAAATATTATATATAATTTTTTTAAATTATCTGTGTATACAAAAGAAAAGTACTACTACTATTTAATTGTTTTAAAAATAAATCTACTTACTATCCTAACCATCAATTTTTTCGAGCCCAAACTAAAGAACATGAATTGTATTTCCGGGTTTTTTTCTTTATACTATTTTAGTGCTTTCCTGCTAAAAAGGATCTAATAGGAAAATTCCAGTTGAAAGTCAGTTCTGCTTACGTACTTAACAGAAATAGTAAGTGGCTAAGTAAACACTAAAATTTCTTCTTCAATTTTCTTAAAGTCGCTAAATCGGTTTTTGGAATTCTTCTGCTAGTGTGTCAGTGTATTTAATATGAGTTAAAAATAAACAATCTGTTTTTCTATTAAAGACTTTTAATTTTGTTTGAAGTCCTCTATTTGAACGAAATATTGTCTTTTTTGTAAGGGACTAAAGAAAAAATGGAAAACTGGTGAACAATGCAGTTGATAATACAGCCTTGATATAGGCAATCTCCGCCATCTTATTGGTCGATTCTGATGGTGTGACTCGGATTGTGAGTTCTTATTGGTCGATTCGGAGGATTGTGTTTACATTTAGTCCAGCTTGGATTTGAATAGACTTTAGTTAATTATTTGACCTCTACGTTCTATCATATCGATTTTCGATTTCCGTCGCCTTCCAAAATTTTCCTCTCAAAGCGCCAAACATCTTTTCAAAGTGTAACTCGAAAAACTATTTCAGAGGTAACTCCAAGTACCACTACTACGGTATACGCGTGAAACCGGGAAGCTCCCTGATGAACATGGACGAAAGCGGTACCAGGGTAGTGCTAACCTCGAACAGCGGATCGGGTAAAGCCCAAGGTACGGTGCGACCTTTCAAACGCAGCTCGGACGCATCTGACTCGATCTCGATTAGCGTGCTCTCCCAACACGTCACCTACTTGGGGGACGGAAGCCACGCCATACCGGCGTTTCCGGATATGCACTTTACCGACCCGTTGCCGGACGATTGCGGGTTCGAAGACGTCGATACTTTAAAGTAAGTGGAGGCAAAATGATCTCTATAGAAAGTACAGTCGTACGCAAATAAAAAGCGGTACGCTTTTTATTTGCATACGACTGTAATATCACTTTCTCAGGTCTATTTATCGCGAACATTTGGAAGCGTTTCTGGACGCCATTCTGAGCTTGGAGTTCTCCACCGTCGAGTCTTTGTGGAGGGAGTTTTGGAGGTCGCAGTACAACAACAATGGCGACGAATGCGAAGAAGAAAAGTACTTGTCGAAGTCGAAATTGTTTTGCTTGTGCAGTTTGGAGCCCGTGCAACACTTTATGCGACAAGTTGACTTGGTGTTTTATCAAAATCTCATACAGGTTCTAGTGCCCGATGTTTTGAAGCCCATTCCTGCTACATTGACGCAGTCCATACGTAATTTTGCTAAAAGTAAGTACACTTCATATGCCACTGATAAAAAAATAAAATTTTTAATAAATTTTGTTTGAATATTTTAACTGTAAAATGTTTCTCCAAAATTAACAAAATTCACATTTACCATGTGCTCAGTTAAACAAATATGTTTTTCCTATTTTCTTGTTCTAAATGTTAAAATAAACATTTTGGTCGATTATGTTCGGTATCGATGTAGCGAATCGAAAAACTCACTCTTTTTTTAATAATAATTAAAAAATTTGACATTTTTTAATTTTTGTTAACAGGTATTGTTTTAATTGTTTTTGTTTTACAATGAAGAGTAAGATAACTCCTCATTGTATTTTTCCATTTTCACATTAGTTTGATAAAAAAACATTTTGTATCTCACTAATAAATTAATATAAAGCTAAGCCCAATATATATTTTAATATGGAATCAAATGCTCTACAAAAAGTTTTTTTCGTAAACCTATACATTTAAAAGATATCTGAGGTTAATGTTTTCGTTTTTTTAAATTTTTTAACTTACACAGTAGTTAAAATAAGTTTTGTTTAATATAAAGTATATCCCGTATGGTCTAGTGGTCTTAATATGACAAGGTTTTTTTAACTTATTCCCTGAATAAATCATTGGTATAAATGTTGTACCTAATGCATTTATTTAAATGACAAATAAATGTTTTAAATGTATGTTATTCAAGAGGCTCAAATACCGCAATACTACAAAATTTTATAAACAAAAAGTGAAATAGTTAAAAGCTTACTTTAATCGAAAAAACTAAATACACTTTTTTGTAGATCAGTTAATTTCCAACAAAAATGTCTACAACTTATTTTTAAATCCTAACTATTCTAAAATATTAAATTTAATTTTTTTTTTCAAAACTGAAATTTTGACTTAAGATTCCTTTTGAATGGCTAGGCTTACAAAAAAGATTCATTTTTTGTAGAGCATTCAATTTTCTATCAAAATTTTTATTGGGTTTAGCTTTATATTAATTTGTTATGCCTTTATATAAAATTCTATAAAAATCAGTCTGTCGTTAAATACTTCAAAAAATGGCGAATGCGCCGGGATTAATTAAAATTTAATATTTCCACCGGTTTCGTCTGGGCTTTAATGAATCAGTCAGGATATGTAATTTAAAATTACAAAATTGCTAATTTTATATGTTTAGATAGAGATGTAAAAAACTGTTTTTTTAGATTTGAAAAAAATTATGGGAAAAAAACTAGAAAAAAAAATGTTTTTTTACTTCAAATCCGCTACAATAAAGCATATTCTGTCAATAAATAACATCAATATTAAAAAATTCAGTATTTTTTCAATATGAAATTTTAACCAAAATGTAGTTTAATAATAAAGTGAAATTTAGAATATTATTATTGAAAATTTTTCACGAGACTAAAAAATTTGATTTCTTATTGTTTGGTAGCTTTTACATAAGAAACCAATAACAATGAATTCTATTAAAGGTAATTGAAAAGAAACAGTTTTTTTCAAGTCACATCTTTTTTTTAAAAAAATATATGCTAATAAGATACTCCCAAAAATTCATATTTTTAATTTATTTTTTAACCTGAGCAAATTCTAAAAAAGTGGGATAAACTCATAATTTTTTTAAAAACATTTTTTCAAACGAAGTTTTTTCTTTTTTACTATCCTGGAGGTACTCCCAAAAATTTAGATTTTTTATTAATTTTTAAACTGAACCTCGACCACTTTTAATAAAAAAATTGGAACAAATCCTAAAAAAGTGGGAAAAACTCATAATTAAAAAAAACGGTTTTGTTTACTATCCTGGATTTAGTTTTGGCCTGAGCACCGAACACTTTTTAAAAAAATAATAGAATAAATCCGAAAAAAATTACAAAAAGTCATAATTTTGTATAATTTTTTTTTAAAACCAGGTGTTTTTATACTTTTTTTTCTCTTCTAAATGTACTTCCAAAGTTTTAGATTTTTAAATTAATTTTTAACCTGAAAAAAAATGACAATAACGTCAATAATAAAAAAATAGTATAAACCAGGACCAAATCTGCAAAACCAGGACAAAACCAGTACACAATTAAAACCAGAACCTGTCCTGGGTAAACCAGGACGGTTGGTGGTCACCAGTGTTACAAGTTACAAGTAACTAGATACAGTATCTAGATACTTTTTATGTATCTGTTTGTGTAACTAGTTACTTATCCCAATCTAGTAACTATAACTGTAACTAGTTATACAAATTCTAAGTAACTAGGTGTGTTAAGATACAAAGATACATTTTTAATTAAACTGCGACTATTATTTATTGAGACAAGGAAAACACGTCCACTTCCACTTCTGACACAATTTTTAATTTCTGAACGCATGTTCATATTATATATGGTCATAGTGATATTATTATTATTATTATTATTATTATTTAACGAATTTACTTCCGTTGAGTAAAGAAATATACTAAACTGGTTATAAAAGGTTTTAAAAACCGTGGTAGTACAGTTAAAGTTTGTTTACAATTTAAATTTAAAGAATCTTGTTTCAAAAATGAGTATTATATGTACCTATATAAAAATAAGTACTTTTTTTATTTCTATTTTAAATTTTTTAAAGCAAAAAATAATTTGTATGCATCTTAAAGTATCTAGATACTTTTTGAAGGTAACTGTATCAGTAACTAGTTACTGCAATAAAATCTGTATTTGTATCTAGTTACAAATTTTGGTAAGTAACTGTAACTGTAGCTAGATACTGAAAATATTGTAACTGTTACAACACTGGTGGTCACCCTATCAATATAGCATTTTGGAACTTGTGTTCAAGATCTGGAGAACTGGCTGACTAGCGCGATGACTGGCGCGCCCTCCGGCATGCTGGCCGCCAAACTGTCGGCCGTGTCGGCGTTCTCGTCGAGCCTGCGCCGCTACACGTCGCTGAACCACCTGGCGCAGGCGGCGCGCGCCGTGCTGCACAACGGCACGCAGATCGCGCAGATGCTCACCGACCTGAACCGCGTCGACTTTCACAGCGTGCGCGAGCAGGCCTCGTGGGTGTGCCAGTGCGACAACGATCTGGTCGCGAGGTTCGAGAACGACTTCAAGCTGACGCTGCAGCAGCAGAACTCGCTCGAGCAGTGGGCCTCTTGGCTCAAGAACGTGGTCAAGAGCGCCTTGAGGCCCTACGAGGGCAAGGCCTCCTTCTCCAAGGCGGCCAGGCAGTTCTTGCTCAAGTGGAGTTTTTATAGGTGAGTTTGCTATTTTTATTTTAAAAATCTACCTATTGAAACCTTTTTTTAACTCTTTTTTAATTTAATTCTTTATTAAAATAATGAGTAATGTGTTTAATTTTCATTATGCATTACTTATTTTTTTAATGAAAATTAATTACTCATTACATTTTTTAACTCTTTTTGAACCCTTTTTTGTACTCTTTTGTAACTTTTTCACTCTTTATTATTTTCACTCTTTATTAATTTTCATTATGCATTACTTCTTTTTTAATGAAATTAATTAATCATTACATTTTTTAAATCTTTTTAACTCCTTTTTTAACTCTTTTTGAACCCTTTTTAACTCTTTTAACTCCTTTTTCACTGCTTTTTTAAACTTTTTTTACTTATTTTTTGTATTCATTTGTAACTCTTTTTTTAACTCTTTATTAAAATATTGAGTAATGTGTTTAATTTTTATTATGCATTACTTCTTTTTTATTGAAAATTAATTATTCATTACATTTTTAACTCTTTTTTAACTCATTTTTAAACACTTTTTAACTATTTTTGTACTATTTTTTTCACTCTTTATTAAAATAATGAGTAATGTGTTTAATTTTCATTATGCATTAGTAAAGCAGCATTACTTCTTTTTTAATACAAATTAATTACTTATTACATTTTTTTACTCCTTTTTGAACCCTTTTTTAACTATTTTTAGTAACTCTTTTTTTAATTATTTATTAAAATAATGAGTAATATGTTTAATTTTCATTATGCATTACTTTTTTTTAATGAAAATTAATTACTCATTACATTTTTAACTCCTTTTTCACTCCTTTTTTAATTTTTTTTAACCCTTTTAAAACTATTTTTTGTACTCTTTTGCAACTCCTTATTAAAATAATGAGTAATGTGTTTAATTTACATTATACATTACTTCTTTTTTAATGAAATTAATTACTCATTACATTTTTTTAACTCCTTTTCACTTCTTAAAAAAAATTAACACTTTTTTATTTTTTTTAAACTAATTGTAGTCTTTTGTAACTCTTTTTTAACTCTTTATTAAAATAATGAGTAATGTGTTTAATTTTCATTATGCATTGCTTTTTTTTAATGAAATTATTTACTCATTACATTTTTTTAAATCTTTTTAAACTCCTTTTTTAACTCTGCCTGAACCTTTTTTTAACTTTTAACTATTTTTTGTACTCTTTTGTAACTCTTTTTTTAACTCTATTAAAATAATGAGTCATTATGCATTACTTCTTTTTTAATGAAAATTAATTACTCATTAGATTTTTTAACTCCTTTTTTTAACTCTTTTTGAACCCTTTTTTAACTCTTGTAATGTAATGTATTCTTTTTTACATTACTCATTAATTTTTTAAGGTGTAATGAAAATATTTCTCATTACAATTTTTTTTAAGATTAATGTATTCAAACTACATTACCATTAAAACAAATGACGATTGCATTATTTTTAAATTAACATTCTAGTCACTAGTTTGCAATATAAATTTTTACATTTTTACAGTTCAAAATATGTTTTTTTAATAAAAGTACTGAATTATAATAAAAATCTTAAGCTTCTAAAAAACCAAAGGATATTATAAAAAGGTAAATTTATAAAAATGACTGAATAAAAAAATCAGAAAATAACATGAATATTTGTAAAAAACATAACAAATTTATATCAGTAACTAAATTTAAAAAAATTATATGAGTAGTTTATACATAAAACAATGGATATTCAAAACATTTTTTAAATATAAAATACAACTGTAAAACTTTAAGCTTAAAAATATTGATTTTTAAAAATTTTTGTTAAGTATTTTATTCTTTCTACAAAATTTTCGGTTTAAATTTGTAAACATTTATCTTTACATTTTAAAGTGGAAATTTTTGGATTAAAAATTTATCGACTATCAATTAAATGACTCTTTACAAATTCAAACCAAAACTTTTTATTTTTAACCATTTGACAAAGTGTAAACGTAGCTTTAGCAAACAGCGTCGTGACGGTCCTAGGAATATTTCGTGACTACCATAATTTCGTTTATAAAGTAAATTATTAAAAAATTTTATCAATTTATTTGATTTTTTCAAATAATTAGACAATCCTATCTTCTATGGTTTTCTTTTCTTTTTTTGTGCTCTTCTCTTTAGACTTTCACTGCATTTAACATTTTCTGTTGCTTCATTTTTTGTTCCCATTTTCTGAAAGGAAAGCAACTCCCCTTACCACTTTCCCAGCAATGTAGCTCCTTAAAATAACTTCTTTTTTATGCTTAAAATAATTTTTTTCAAGCCTTTAAAAAGACAATATATATTTTTTGCACCCCTTCAAAACATCTCGTTTTTCCCAGTTCCATGGTCATCAGAGACTTGACACTGCGTTCCGCAGCCAGTTTTGGCTCTTTCCACCTCATCAGATTGCTCTACGACGAGTACATGTTCTATTTAATCGAACATCAAGTCGCAGAAGCCACCGGCGTTGTTCCCATCGCCGTCATACTCGAGGGCATTGTAAGTAGTTTAATTTAACGAGACAACCTCGTCTTCTCTGCACCTTGGCAGACCAAGGTGCCGAGACGTTTTATTTTCGAGACCAATTGAATGTTGTTTTTTCTAGAAACAGGACATAATGCAAAACAACTTGAGCGTTTACGGGGACAACGTTTGCAACGGGGGAAACTCTAAATTGGGTTGCGTCAGCCCTTCGGAAACCAAACGTCAGAAAATTAGCTAGCCGCCAAAAAAAGACGCCAACACTTACGTCGTTGCTTTACCGTAGTAGATCAAGTTTTTTTTTCATTGGTACGTTTGATTTAGTTTTGTTCATTGCAGTACGCGCACCTTCAAAATAACGTGGGACCATTTTTGCTTTAGAAAATAGTTTAGGGGTTTATTAATTACATTTTGTTTCTAACGCAACAAAAACTCCCATTTACTACCACCTATTTATATTGTGCAATTTATTTGTTTGGCCGAAATGTGCTGGAATATAAATATAAATATTATAAGTGCCGTCAAATTATGTGTGACAAATAATAGTTGTATATAATAACATAAAAAATGGCGCTAAAAAGGAATTTGTATGTTGTTTAATAGACGTATTCATTATGATTTACCTTAACGCACTTTTGAATGCACCAAAAAGTTGTTTATTAAATGAAAAAGACATCGAACATTTTTTTCAAATCTACACTATGAACTCTAGTGAATTGATCGTGTTTCTAGTAAGAATCAAAAGTTAACTGTGTACAGTAAACTGGGCCAAAAAAATCGACTATTTTTTTTTGTAAAGTTTAACAAAATTGACTCAGATATATTTTTTGAAGGCAATTGAATGCTCCACAAAAAAGGTCAAAATGAAATTTTCCGTCAGATGAACCGTTTCCTTAAAATCATGCCTTAAAAATTGGTATAGTTTTACAATTTGATCTTTTAACTTTGGAATTTTGCAATTCATGTAAATATTAGTACCCGGAAAAATCCGATAGATATTCTTATGGGAAATCAAATGCTCTAAAAAAAAGTCTCTTAACATTTTTGGCTAAATTCACTCCATCAAAAGTTATTCAAGGTTAAAGTTGTTAACTTTTGATGGAGTGAATTTAGCCAAAAATGTTAAGAGACTTTTTTTTAGAGCATTTGATTTCCCATAAGAATATCTATCGGATTTTTCCGGGTACTAATATTTACATGAATTGCAAAATTCCAAAGTTAAAAGATCAAATTGTAAAACTATACTAATTTTAAGGCATGATTTTAAGGAAACGGTTCATCTGACGGAAAATTTCAATTAAACATTTTTTGTAGAGCATTCAATTTTCTTTAAAAAAATTCTTAAGTCAAACTTTCACAATAATTTTGTTTGTCACCCCAAACAATATTTTCGACTTTACAAAAAAAATTGTAGATTTTTTTGTCCCAGTCTAGTCTACAGTAAAACTTCGATTTTTACTGATTGGTAGCGTGTCAGTACCGAATAGTGTACATACATAAATTAATTTATTTTTATTATTCATAAAATGGACTGACTTTTGTTGATTGTGAATCATATTTTTTTATTTGTTGTTGTTGTTTTTGTTTGCCATAATAATACATTGCATTTATGTTGTAAATGTTGAGTATTTTTTTAAGCTTTTCTTCTTCAAAGCGGAATTGAATAACGCAAAGCGGTTTCAAACCTTTACGCAAAAAAGGTACCACCTTCTAGTCATGCCGATTTGTGTTATTGTTAGAAAGAATAAAAAAATGTTATCGTATTGTGTGGCGAAGAATCCCAAAGGCCTCTGGGCCGTTTCAAGCAAGCGGACGATTTATAAAAAAATTGCAGGCAATTTATTATACACTGCGTGTTTTGGATTTAGTTAATTTTGACGCTCAGTGTATATTATTTTTGCATAAAAATTGTCAAAAATGTTCTTGTTTTATAAGGCTCTACAATAAATAAAAGGAACGCAAGAAATAATTTTAATAATGGACAGTTGTGTATGGGACAAGAAAAATCTTTTTCTGTCCCATCCATATTAAAATTATGTCTACTTTTATAAAAAATTTCTTGCGTTTTTTTTTATTTAATAAAACAAGAATACTTTTGATAATTTTGACGCCAAAATAATATACAAGGTATCTATCCCTGAGATGCCTGTACAAAATGATACCTTATATTCCTAAGGCCAAAATAATGCGATATAACTTATATACAGGGTGTAAAAGTTTAAAGTTATTTTTCGATTTTATTAAATAACTTTGAAAAAAACAAACGTTTTGCACAAAATTTGATTTTTGGGGGTTTTTCACGCTGATAAAATTTAATTTCTTAAAAAAATTAGTCTAGGTAAGGTGTTGTAATAATTTGTGCAAAAACGTTTATTTTTTCCAAAGTTATTTTTTTAATAAAATCGATAACAAACTTTCAACTTTCACACCCTATATCTTGGTTATTATCAACTTCTGTCTATAGGTAAACTAATATCGCATTAGTATAATGGATTACCTGAATTTTTTTTTTACAAAAACAGTTTTGTGATTCGCTTGAAATAAACTATGAAAGAAAAAAATCGACGTGTAAAAAAATTATCATTTTATTACAATGGTGAGTAGATAGGTTTTTGCTCAAAAGTATAATCCATCCATAATAAAGTTTATAAACTAGTTACAGATTACGCAGGGTATATGAAATATTCCTCTCTAAGCAGTACAACTAAGTGTTTGATGTAACTCTTGATTTTTCTTTTGCCATTCACATTTTGCGACACGAAATAATCGAATTTCCTTAATATAATCAAAAAAATTATACAATCTTTAAATTACAGGGTAATTTGATATACTAAATAAATTAAAGAAATGTCAGGAAAAAACTATTTTTGTTTTTTATCCATGTATTAAATTTGCATACATAGATTAAAACAAAAATGTCTTTTTTCCTCAATCAATTGTTAACAGTGTCTTACTGCATTGTATATATTTTTAGTATGTATATAAATATAAGTAAAAATGTATTTTTAAATCGCTCATAATTGACGTAAATTGCTGCCTTGAAAATCAAGTGCCATGTACGAGCTTTAACTCAGCTAATACAATGCAGTATTAAAAATGTGAATGGTAAAAATAAACAAAAAACGCCTCATGTACATTATTAGTTAATTGAATAATTTACATAAAATTTGTATTTTCAAATATGTGTGCCGTTGACATGACGTGAAATGTAAAAAATTGTAGTTGAATAATAGCTGAATATAAATAAACAAATATTTTACAAAACGTATTACTACATACATGTGCTTAAATGCGTGTGATTTGCACTAAGTTTATATAATTTTCTCGATAGCGTAAGCCTAGATTTTTTAAGGACTGCAGTAAGTTAAAAAAAAATCAGTGTATTTTTGTAGTTGTTATAAATATGATATATATCTATAGAGGCATCCGTTGCTGCTTGCAAAAATAATTTCAACCAGTTTGTTTTGCAAATATATTATTATTAAAAATCGGCCACAGAACTGTATTATTGGTTTTATTCAAGTTTGTGCTAAAAAAATTCTAAACTTTTTTGCCAATATTGCATGGAACTGTTTGGGACAGATAATAATTTTGATATTTTCAATACTATGTAATTATGGTTAACAATAAAACCTAGTCTTGTGTTACATGTTTTTTTATTTATTTTATAAACCGTTTCAGAAAAATAATAAAATTGAAAGGTAAGGTCATCAACATAAGAGTAATGGAAAAATAATATGTTTCCATTCCTCTTGTATATATATAATTATATAATATATTATATAATATTATACAGGGTGTTATGTAATTAATGTTATATATTAAAAAGGGTTGTTCCTTAGGGACCATAAAGAAGCACCTGAAACTTTTTTTTTCTAAATTCCAAAGTCTAAAAATAATTTATAATAACCAAAAAGTACGTACTGATCGACTAGGAACTTTAGGTTAATCTGGTGGATTTATTATGTTATGGTTGGTAACAACAGTTTCCAAAATCTCTCAAAAAAGTTGACAAACATTGTTTAAATTTAGCTTAATTACAAAAATGACAAAATTAACAATGCAAATTGTCAATTTGGCGTTTTTATTAATTGTTGGTTATTTCATTTTTGTACTGAAGGTAAATTCAAACAAAATCTGCCAACTTTTATGACAGAATCTAGTGCATTTCTTTTAAATTTTAGGTTGTTTTCAAATTGTAAATATCTTAACTAAGGGAAGTGCTTTTGGATTTATTTACACAAATTAAATGTTTAAAGTTTAACATGTGAACTGGTCCCAATTTCATCTGAGTAAACAGAGAAAAAAACTGATGAAAAAATTAATTTTATGGTTATGGATTTCAAATTTCAAAGGTACTAAATTTTCTAATCATTGCTTAAGCTAATAGCTGGATCAGTAAATAAATACAGAAGGGTATTAGAGCTTTAAGGGCATAAAACTTTTGTATTTATTAAGTTTTTATTTATTTTTTGCAAGAAAAATTTTTAGTAACAATTTTTTACATCTGGCAACGCATAGCTACTTTGTTGGTTGGTATCTATGTACTCACAAAATACAGGTGTGCAGAGATAAACAAGTGTGTAACCAGTGGCGTATCACAAAAAATATAAAAAACTTCTAATGCATATTTTTTTCTTTATCTTTGGAAAAATGTTTTTTTAAATATTTTTCCTTTATTCCTTATGTCAAAAGGTATTCAGTATTTTAATATATAACATTAATTACATAACACCCTGTATTATTATATTGTATATATTATAATGTCGAAAGGTTGCGTTATTTAACTCAGGACTTTGACAATATAAAACTTAATTTTCATATTTTGCTCTTCATCATGAACAATTAATTGTCAATAAAGGGTAAAGGAATAATTTTATTGTGTTCTTGTTCTAAAAAAAAGTTTATAAGAAATATTTTGTAAAATTTAGTCTATTTTACCTAGGTATCGACGTTGAATTTCCGTCTCATCAACAAATTACAAAAAATGTAAAATAATCTGGTTGCCAATCTAAATAATGTTTAAATTTTTACATACATAGGTAGAGAAAAACACTATTGAACATTATTGTAACTAAATTGTTTTTTGCGTCATTATTTTAAAAATGGAAGGTTTTACACCCAAAGATTAATAAATAAATATATATTATGCAAAAAACAATTTAGTTACAATCAATAGAAATGTTTTACAGTGTTTTTCTCCAATTTTTTGAAAATGGACCTAACCAGCGAAATTGTAAGCTGCGCCATCTATCCCTGTAGGGCGGAACTAAAGTTTAAAAATTTTTGGTAGCGATTCAGACATTTTTACATACATAGATGACGCTTTTAAAACACATGCTTTTGTACGTATCCTACCAGGTTTTCAGCCTTTTTTCTGTTTAAATTTTTGTTCGATTTGATTTAAAATATTTTTGTATAAAGTTGTGTTAATTTTAGTTTTCTTAAAATCAAGACATTTCGTTGAGAGGTGGTAAATAAAATAAGGGGTTAATGAACATTTTTATTTATTTTTTTATAAAACACCTTAAACTAAATTACTTCATAAATTTGGATTGATTTTCGCTTAAAATAACAGCGGACGCTTTGGCGTCCAAGAACAAAGTGCTGACTTCCTCAACATCCGCTTTTGTGATGTTCGCTCTGCCGTTAATTTTGGCGGTGAGGAAAGCGGGCGTCAAAAGTTGAACGGCAAATCTCAAAGTGGCCTTAACGCCAACCTCCCCGAGAATCGAGAGAGCTTCAGCTTCGATCTCGAGCCCCTCGGTGCTGGCGCGCAGCTTCAGGATCTGCTCCATCTCCTGCCTCTGGTACGGCTTCGTTCTGATGATGAGCAGCCGGTCGAGGAGATCCAGGGGAATGCCGTGGGGGGAGTAAATGTCGTCCGTGCCCCTGATCACGCACCGGCCGCGATTGGTAGCGAAAATCACTATGGGGGCTATAGTGCTTTCCAGAGCTCTGTGCAGGTACGTGAAGGTTTCAATGTCGAGCATGTGAACCTCGTCGATGAACAAAACGCCCGGAACCAGCTCCGCGATCCCCTGGTCGATGTATTTGTCGACAATTTTGTTGATTTCCTTACGCAGTTTATCGGTGATTTCCGTTTTTTTGGGCTTCAATAATTGCCCCATCATCGATAACACGTCCTGCCCCCCTTGTGGTTTTGCGTTTGCTGCGTCTAAATCGTGCAAAGTTACGTCCTGAAACGAAAAGTTACATCCTTAAGCCCGTTTCATATAGATGCGAATTGCAAAATGCGAAAAATGCTCCCATTGGTCCATTTGAATGTAGGGGCGGGAATCTTGAGATTGATCCTATATTTACTAATTTGGCGTTTTACATTCACATTAATGCAATCATACCTACGCCATTTTTGTTAATTTCGTTTGTATCGTAGTGTTTGTTTTGTTGAGTTTTATTCGAACTGTTAAAGTTTTTTTGTTTTTGGACAAAGAATTTTTTGAGGTACATTTATGTTTCTTATTTTACCTTTAAGTAACTTTACTATTTTAGTACCTATCTAAAAAAGCATGGAAAATATAGCCTAGTGAGAAAACAATTTCCCTAAAATAGTTCTCATCTATGTGAAATATGACTTGCGAAATGCGAATATTTCGCAATTCGCATTTCGCATCTATATGAAACCGACTTTATACGAGGTTCAATGGGAATTTTCTCTTTTTAATTTTGTTTTTTTGTTCGGTAATTTTTATATATATTATTTTTTAATTCATTGAATTCTGGAAATAATTGAAAATTCTCAAAAAACACCAAACTTTTACCGTATTCGACCAAATTACAAATTATTATTATTAAGTTTTTTGTAAAATTTTAGGAGAAATAAAGTATGCAAATGAATTTCTGTAATTAAATTAAAACACTGCATTCAAAAAATAAGAAAAAAATAAATAATTCTTTTTAACAAAAATCTTTTGTACAAACAAGTTACATTGACTAGTTTTTTAGCCAAATCGCTCGACGAGTTTTTTAAAATAATATTACTACTTTTGTATATATCTGAGGTATATACACAAGTAGAAATTTCACCACACTTTTAATATTATTTTAAAAAACGCGGCGATAGATTTGGCTAAAAAACTAGACAAATACAGCAAAACATTCTAAAAATCCTTTTGTTTGATGTATACAATGGTACCTATGTTTTTGTCAAAAACAAACAAAATATGGCTAAAAATGACAATTTTGTAGAAGTCTAGGAGCTATTAAATGGATTTTGTTTTTAGGTATATTTTGTTGTTTTTTAGGTATATTTGTTTTTTAAGAAAAATTTAGGGTGTGATATCATATATCATTCTAAAAAGAATTTAATAAACTAGAACCTTAAAATATAAGTATATTTTTTAAATTACTTTTTAAATAGGAATTTTTTTAGCACGACAACTACCTTAGGTCAGGTTGTTAATTTTTAGGAGTTTTAGGAGATTGATGGCAATTTTAGGAGAATTTTGGGAGTTTTCAAGATTTAAGCCAAATTTTTAACATTTTTTGTTTTGCCATATTTGACATTTGTTTTCTGTTATTTTTGACATTTGTCATTTTGTAATTTGTAGTTTTTGACATCTGTCTGTAAGAAAAATTTAGGTTGTGATAGGTATATCATTTTAAAAAGAATTTAATAAACTAGAACCTAAAAATAAAGGTATATTTTTTAATTACTTTTTAAATAGGATTTTTTTTAGCACGACAACTACCTTAGGTCAGGTTATTAATTTTTAGGAGTTTTAGGAGATTGATGGCAATATTAGGAGAATTTTGGGAGTTTTCAAGATTTAAGCCAAATTTATAACATTTCTTTTGTCGTTTTAAACATTTTTTGTTTTGCCATATTTGACATTTGTTTTCTGTTATTTTTGACATTTGTCGTTTTTGTAATTTGTAGTTTTTGACATCTGTCATATTTGTTTTCTGTAATTTTTGACATCTGTCATTTTTGTAATCTGTAGTTTTTATCATTTGTTTTCTGCCATTTAAAACATTTTTGCCATTTTTAACATAATTATAAAAAAATATAAATTAAAATATAATAAATATGTACCTGCACAACTTCTTTCTTTTTATGTACATCTCCTTTGGGTAATGGAACATATTCTTCTGCCTCCAAATCGAATTCAGTTGCATATGCATCAGATCTACCTTGTCGTTTAACAGCCCCACTGTTTGCTTCAATATAAATTACATCTCCAACCTCAACTTTCTCCTTCTGAAGAGCCTCGTAGATGCTGGGATCCAACTTCAACTGTTTACTGCCCTTTGCAGTTCTTAAACCGATTATAACATGACTCACTGTTTTACCATAACCTTAAAAAAAACATTACTTATTATTATTAATTAACTTTATAATTGTTGTTTAGTTACCTCCAGCAGGATTCTCTGTTTCGACAGGGGTCAACTCGCTCACTTCACCTTCATAGACTTCCTTTGTTTCCCTGATTCTTAACCCGATGGCTCTCCGAAAGTTCTCCATTAAAACTTCGGTCTTTTTGATTTCGGAGCTGAACACTTCTGAGCCCACCATCGGGCAGAATGGCACCTTGTTGCCCAATTCCTGGGCGATTGCCAGAGCCACAGCGGTTTTGCCTGTTCCAGGCGGTCCAGCCAACAAAATAGCCCTTCCTGCCATTTTCTTGCTTTTAATCATGTCCACGACGATACCAGCGGCCTGTAAAGTTAAAACGATAAAGCAAACGATCGAAATCGATGTATTTTGAAACCTAACCTCCCTAACTTGCTCCTGTCCAACCAAACCCGCTGCGAATTGTATCGCGAAGCCGCGTTCGTCCAAACCCAAGCCCTTAATGTGACTGTGGGCACTTATCCTTTGGGTTTTCACCGTACTTTTTACTTCTTCAACCTTCATCTTGCTTCAAAACGCTTAAAACACGAACGAAACAACCCGCTGTTTGATCAATTTAAGCAGAGATAAAAATTTAAGTTTCATTATTTGTATGTTGGTATGGCAACAACTTCACAGGGAGTTACCAGAATGTTGGTAGAACTGAAATTTGAATATATTTTCCATGGAGTCTACACAAGGAGACCGAACTTAATAGGGGAATATTAAATCGCACAAATTAAGTCTTTTGCTGATTGTTGATGCAATTGTATCAATGGTCGATGCGTGTTGACGTCTGATGTTTTGGTAGAGGTAGAGTTTATTAATCTATGTTGATAACGTTTCGAAACGCTACCGATCGGTACAAATCAAACAATAAACCAGAGAGAAAGAAGGTTAATAAATAAACCAAAGAGTGGGTGTTCTTTGCAATAAACGGAACACCAGTGCCCTCTTATCTTAGAAATATGTTTGTATGCATGAATTTAAGTTTCATTATTTGTATGTTGGTATGGCAACAACTTCACAGGGAGTTACCAGAATGTTGGTAGAACTGAAATTTGAATATATTTTCCATGGAGTCTACACAAGGAGACCGAACTTAATAGGGGAATATTAAATCGCACAAATTAAGTCTTTTGCTGATTGTTGATGCAATTGTATCAATGGTCGATGCGTGTTGACGTCTGATGTTTTGGTAGAGGTAGAGTTTATTAATCTATGTTGATAACGTTTCGAAACGCTACCGATCGGTACAAATCAAACAATAAACCAGAGAGAAAGAAGGTTAATAAATAAACCAAAGAGTGGGTGTTCTTTGCAATAAACGGAACACCAGTGCCCTCTTATCTTAGAAATATGTTTGTATGCATGTTCGGACTCCTTGTGTAGACTCCATGATATTTTCTTAGACAAGAAAGCATGTATAAAACCATGCATATTGCTGTTAATTCCTCGCATTTATTGAAACAAAACAACACTTACACTATGGAAAACACTAAAGCCCGCTGCACAACAGCCCGGTAACAGGAACGGGAACGGGAAAATAAACGGTAAAGGTGGGAGAGACTTAGCGAACCCTATCTATCAACAGTGGTTTTTTACTCTCTCCCACCTTTATTGTTAGGATTCCCGTTCCCGTTCCCGTTACCGGGCTATTGTGCAGCGGGCTTAATTTGGAGAATTTCATACAATTAGGCAAATACACGGTTGCCAAATTTATTTGCTATCGCAACTCGACCTCCGTAATGGCAAACAATAGTAAAATGAAATATACAACTTTACCCATATTAAATATTAAAAACTATATTCTTTTCTAACAAATATTTCTAAATATCGTCACCCAAATGTGTAAAGCTTAATTTATAGATTGCATTCCTTCCTTCCTTCCGTAAAAGATGAGCATTACGAAAACCGTAGTGGTTTATAAATTCCCGTACGAGAATCTATAAACAGCACTACGGTTTTCGTATTGTTCATCTTTTACGGGAGGAAGTCCATTTTTTCCGTTTTGTACAAATGGCAATAAAATGCTAAAAACTGAAAAACTTCGCACATTTAGGTGACGATATTAGTATTAACATTTCTTAAAGTGAATGAAATTATTTTTTATAGTGGCCAGAAAAAAACAAAAAGTGAACGACTTTATATTTTCCTTTAGAATTGACCCATTAACATAGCTGTAAGAAAGAGGTAAATCAATAAAACAAGAACTTAGAAATACATTTTTACTCATAGAATCGCGACTATCTATACATTAACTAATTAATAAATACTAAAAAATTAATAATATCGTCGGCATTTTAAAGCCAATATAATTTAGGATCGTCTCTACGGACCTGCAATTTCACAACGTGTCTATAAATTTTTAAAGCGGGTCCCAACTTCAGTTTGAGTTGCGTTAAAACGTCCATCCGTCTTAAAAGCAGCAAAGACCGTCCGTCAATTTCCTAAAACCACAAGTTGAACACCAACCAAACTCGAATGAAAACAACTTTACCTGCTCGCGGAAAATTTTGGCCTCCCGCGGAAAATATTGCGCGAAATACTGGTAAACCTCCTCGTAAGTCCAATTGGACGCGTCCGGAATGGAGGGATCAATCGACGGGTCTTCGGCGTCGGAACAATCCGAACCGTTTTCCGGAGAATCCCGACTCTTTTCGGGACTCTCCGAAGGACTGGGGGACTCCACCGGAGACCTATAGTTAGAAGGAGTGGACTCTTCCGAGCCAGACATCGAATCATTGTCATCTGAAATCCAGAATTGCATCCAGTTTTATAATAAACAACAAAAGCGATATGGCAACCGTAGTAGGCGTCGACTAAGAGAAATAGCGTCCCTAGCAACGGTAAACAAGTGCTTAGCAACCGTTTGGTTGCTATGGAAAGCAACCACACGGTTGCTATGCACTTGTTTACCGTTGCTAGGGACGCTATTTTTCTTTGACGTTTTTCGAAATCAATAAAACAACCGCCGATTCATTTTTATTAACATTAACAATAAACCACTTCAACTATTTAATTATATTTATGTATTTTACCGTTTGAGTTTGATTTACGTCGGAAGGGATTCCCGATATCGCTAATAATCAACTCGTCAGGTTTTTGACAGTTAATGCAAAGCCACCTTTGACCGTTCTTAATTTTTTCCGTGACCGCTGGTTGGTGACAGCTGCCGTGATAAGCGTCTGCGCACACCGAACACACAATTAAATATCCCTGTAAATAATCGTAATTACCTATACTATAATTACAAATTGTTGAAAAAACTTACTGCATCTGAAGTCTCGACGCAAACCACGCAAGTTTTGCAGTGTGGACATTGCCACGTGTTATCGGGGTACATTCTTAACATCATGTCGTCTCCATTCAGACAACTGAAGTGAGCTAAAATTAACAATTAAAAAAATATTGAAAAAAATCCTTAAATATGCTACCTTTGTTGCTGCATTCTCTGCAGGCCACCATTCGATCGTTTGGCCCCCTTTTATTCTGGTTATGGCACACAGAACAAACACCGCCTTGTTCTCTGCCATTGGACGATGTTCTCGAGTCAGGTCTACTAAACTCTTCCTGCATTTTGTTTTTTTCGATTGTGGATTTATTTAGAGAGCCAGCGGGTCTGCCCCTTTTCTTGGGCACATGATTATCCGACGGGTCAAACACCTTTTTCACTTTCTAAAAATCATTTTTGAGGTTAAGTTTTATTGTTATTTTAAGTATTACGATAAATAACTTAAAGTTATAGTTGGCTTATTTGAAATACATATCACTGATATTTTGTTTAAAACAGTACAGTAAAACCAAAACAAATAATTAAAAACCGTGTTGCACCAAAATGTTACCTTCTAATATGACAAAGAAATTATTATAACCTAATTTTGTGAAGTAAAATACTATTAAAATGTTAAAACTCAGAATGCAAATTAAATAATATTACCGTCTTGTATTTAGTGGACATTATTTAAATAAATTTTAGAAAAATAATAGACTTTTGACAGCTAAGTAAATAAATAGCAAGTGATGCAACGTTGCCAACTCATAATCATAGAAAAGTACAATATGTTGAGCCTGTGTGCGTGGTCTTTTAATTTTTATTAAAAAGAATTAGGTTTCAATAAATAGTTTATCTGCAATGGGTTAATTTTCATAAAACAAATATCTACAAATTTACTACAGTTCATTTTTTTTTATCTGGACTCGTGTTTTTTTGTTAGGTTGGTGGCTTATGCCAGTTTGACTTGATATTTTTAGTATTTAAAAATGGTACTTCTGCTAAAGAATTTAATTACTTTGACACTGTCAAATTGACAATAATATTTATTATTAATAATTTACTTGTCAATTATAAATAAAAAGATAATTTGCCAAAAATAATAGCAACGAATTCGAATGTAAAAGCCCTTTTGAGGGCAAAACTTCATTTTGATGAAATTATGCCAAATGCCACAATGGAAGAAAAAGTACATCGCCTTATGGACATTTTTGGAGTAAAAAAGTAACGAATTTGGTTTTATAAATATTACATCACACATTATTTTCACATTATTCACCATTGGACAAAAAATTTTAATTTCTTTTATATAAATTCTTTTCAAAGCGAAGATTATTATCCGCCAGGAATGCTTTCTCTTCTGGGCCGTAAAGCAACTTATATTTAACTACGAATTTCGACGACTCAACTTGACAACTGCACAATGTAACCTACAATAATTTATACATAACCACAATTAGATTTATAACTAGGTTAGTTTTTAATCAATGCGACCAACTTGATAACTGTATTTACCAACCAAAACCATAAATTTGCAACGTTGCCGCAGTCCAGATAAAAAAAAATGAATTTAAAATAAATACAAAAAACTATAATTTACTTATTTAAATAAATTATTTACATTGTTTACTGCAAAAATTTGTATTCAATTTCAAGAAATATCATTTCATTAAACGCAAATCGGGTAATTGACTTTATTGAAGTGACTAACCTTTCTTCTTCCTCCCACCCGCAAATTTTCGCTGTCGATTCTTTTATCGTCCGAATCCATGCTATCGTCAACACTTTTGTGGCTCTTGTACTGGATTTTGTGGGGTATAGATTTTTTCTTTTGTTTTAGCTGCTGGTAAAATTGCGGCGGTATGTTGTAAACGTCATTTTGCGGACTGGAATCGTTGAAATCGCTCTGACTTGAGTTTACGAACGATTCGTCGGTTTTCCAATTATTGGACTCGAATTTGAAATCTTCGGAGTTGACGGGCCCCATCAGATAGTTCCCGTTTTTCATTTTGATGAGCCCCCCGTGCTCCACTTCCTTCTCGATCAAAATGCTGATGTACTTTTTGGTGTAGCGCACGCTGTCCTTAGATAGGATGTTCCCGATGATTTCGTGTGCCGGAATCCCGAGTTCCAAATAGTCCGGTTCCTGCACTATTAGCTCCCCGAACGCGTTAGTCAAAAGTTGCGCGAATTTCCTGTTGTTCACGGTTTTGTTGATATCGGAAGCGACGTTGCTAGATTGCCCGTCGCGGTGTTTGTTGCTCAGCGCCAACTTTTTCGCAGCGTTCCTGTAACTTATGCTACCCTTGTACTCCACTTTCAGCACCACGTTGTTGTCTACGCACCACTGCAAATCGTTTTTCGCCTCCACCGAATTCACGGCGAACCTCCTGAACAAGTAGTTGCATATTCTTTGGATGTCTGGTCGGGCCTTACGCCGCCGCAACTGGTCAATTGCCTCCAATATGCGGCCGGTGTTGTTTTGAGACATCGCGACAACACCGTCTCCGCCCGCTTGATATATATTAATAATAAACAAAAAGACGAATTACCCGAGTAGTTTTAAACGAGTTTTGTAGACAGTTGGCGCAAGAATAAGTTGCAGACAATGCAACAAATAAAATGCGAGGTGCACGCGCAGGCATGCAAACTTTTACCTTAAGCGATCAAACACCGTCCACACACTTTAACAATGCCCACAACATATCACAACATCCTTCACGTATTATTTGCGATGCGTTTGAGCGTCGTCCGTCGCGTAATTCGGCAATAAAAGGCTGTAAAAGTGGACCGCACTTTTAACGCACTAGCATCTCGCACGGGATTGTGATCGCTTTTGCGGCAGGGTAGTTGAATACGCAGATGCGCGCGGCGTTCAACCGCCTGGCACTTGTTTACGCCTTTACGTTTTTTTTCATCTCGATGCTACGGCCTTTTCTTTGCTCTGCTTCGAAACCAAAGAACAGGCTCAACGTCTCACGGAATACGGCGCACCTGACGAATAAAACACGCGTTCAATCTGGCCAGAAATGTCGCCTTTATCAATTCGAGTGTCGACAGCGTGCGCCATTGACTTCGGTTTTAATAATAGTTTCAAATTATCACTAACATTGGTGGCGGAAAAAGTTTAGGAATAAAATCAAGGAAATATGCCGTTGGCACGGTTCAAGGCGTTTCAATATTTTAATTGCATGATATCCATAATCATCGCTATCTCTTGATTCATGATTTTTTAATAAATTATGACAATTTTATTAGTAGCGTTGAGTGAAGGATTTTAATCAATGGTAGTAGGTACCTACCTATTTAAAGTATAAAAAAAAGATAATACCTACAAAAGATTTAAAAAAAATTCTAAAACTTTTCGAAAAAATATAATAACGTACAGTTCATTAAAAAAATTTTTGTTAGGTTGGTGGCTTATGCCAGTTTGACTTAGTATTTTTAGTATTTAAAAATGGTACTTCTGCTAAAGAATTTAATTACTTTGACACTGTCAAATTGCCAATTGACAATTATTAATAATATATACTATTGATAATTTACTTGTCAATTATAAATAAAAAGATAATTAAGTAACGAATTTGGTTTTATAAAAATTACATCACACATTATTTTCACATTATTCACCATTGGACAACATTTACGTTCACAAAAAATTTTAATTTCTTTTATATAAATTCTTTTCAAAGCGAAGATTATTATCCGCTAGGAATACTTTCTCCTCTGGGCCGTAAAGCAACCTATATTTAACTACTTTTTTATATGATTTTACTCATCCAAGCACCACCAAAGCCAAATTAATTGCATTTTTAACTACGAATTTCGACAACTCAACTTGACAACTGCACAATGTAACCTACAATAATTTATACATAACCACAATTAGATTTATAACTAGCTTAGTTTGTTTTAATCAATGCGACCAACTTGACAACTGTATTTACCAACCGAAACCCTAAATTTACAACGTTGCCGCAGTCCAGATAAATAAAATTAACTTTAATATGTATTAATTTATGGGAATTCTTAGAAACAATGTGTAATATAATTTTTGTAGAAAATTAAATTATGCACATTTTTTGTTCATAAGATTTTTCTGTACAATTATTATTAAAAAATATACATTTCTACTAATTTTTTTAGAATTATATTTTTTGTAAAATATATCTCTAAGTGCCAAATTTTCAAAAAATATTATTAAAAAACATTCATTTCTTCTGATTTTTTTTAAATGAAAACTTTAAATGAAAATTAATATTAACAAAGATTAGCACCTAGGTCCTAGACTTATAAAGTCGAGATTTTGTAAAACCTTTGTTGCGTAGATACCTGCCTATAATATAATAACATCATAAACAAAAATGTCTATGATTAACAGGTGCAATTTGTAATAAAATATTGGGTTGTATTCTAAAACAAACAAACGACGATAAAAACTACAAAATCGCTTCTCTAGAGGGGCGTTTTTTTGTTAATTTGGGCTCTTGTCAATGACTCATTGCTTTATATTCCGAGAATTAAAAATGTTAACCTAATAACGTAATAGGAGAACATAAACATTTGTGATTCAAATGAAGGTCTTGAAATTGCTTTGCAAGCATTTTTATTAATTTATCGGTCTACCTACCTACCTCTAATTGTGTGAAGATTACTTAGTAATTTGATAAGGTTTTGTAGTTACTATTTTTGCATTTATTATCTATGATTATGTTTATTTATTGTTTATCGTCAAAACGTATAAACATTCATGACTAAAAATCAATTCATTTTAATTATTATAGGTGAAAAAAATAGAAGAAAAGTACAAAAAATGCTTTGCATATTTTTATTTCTTATAATAGTCAACAAGCTTTAAAGCTAATTAGCTTTACCTATATAACATTTATTACATTTACGAAATTTCGTATTAATTAATACTTATTACAATAATACCTACATATTTAACGAAAACATTACGTTTTACTATAACTAAGTACCTACTGTATACTAGAAACATGTTAAATTATTTAATTTACAAATAAAGTTTTTCTAAAAAAATAATTGCTGGAAAGACACAAGACAAAATCGATTAGTTTAATTCTCTACAGTTAAATAAATACTTAACTATATATTCACAAATGCCGATAATCGAAAAAAAAAATGTTTAAAATAACTTAAGTGACTATGGACTTAAATAAAAGTCACTTAAACAGTAAACATACACATATATACATCGATTCTACCTATAGAATGTTATAAAATAAACGTAACCTTGCAAGAATATACATATCACATTTGCGTAACAACAAAAATAAAATGCTATTAACACATTTGAATTTCCGGAATATAATAAATAGGTACCTAATGTGTAAATTTTTGAAAGTTGTGATTTTCATTGTTTGTTATTGTTATTAATGATTTCAAAAATTTACTTGTTTCCAAACATGTGTAAAATTAAAAATCCTACAAAATGAATACCAACATGACATACCTAGAACAAAAAACAACAGAGATATCGTCGAAAAAGTCAAATCCATGGATACCTGCGATAAAAAGGTTTTTTCTAATTGCAGGCTTAATTTTTACTAAAATATAATAAATGACGTATCATTTTAAAGAGAAATTAATTCTCTTTAAGAATATTACTAAATTGTTGAAAAATATTAATAACAAAAATTTCAAAAATTTACTTGTCTCCAAACATGTGTAAAATTAAAAATCCTTCAAAATGAATACCAACATGACATACCTAGAACAAAAAACAATCGAGATATCGTCGAAAAAGTCAAATCCATGGATACCTACGATAAAAAACGTTTTTTTGTAATTGCAGGCTTAATTTTTACTCAAATATAAGAAATTACATATCATTTTAAAGAGAAATTAATGCTCTTTAAGAATATTATTAAATTCTTGAAAAATATTAAAAACTAAATTTTCAAAAATTTACTTGTCTCCAAACATGTGTAAAATAAAAAATCCTTCAAAATGAATACCAACATGACATACCTAGAGCAAAAAACAATCGAGATATCGTCGAAAAAGTCAAATCCATGGATACCTACGATAAAAAGTTTTTTTGCAATTGCAGGCTTAATTTTTACTCAAATATAAAAAATTACCTATCATTTTAAAGAGAAATTAATTCTCTTTAAGAATATTATTAAATTGTTGAAAAATATTAAAAACAAAATTTTCAAAAATTTACTTGTCTCCAAACATGTGTAAAATTAAACATCCTTCAAAATGAATACCAACATGACCTACCTAGAACAAAAAAACAATCGAGATATCGTGGAAAATATCAAATCCATGGATATCTGCGATAAAAAACAAAACAACGATTTAAGTGCAAAATCAAGTCTGAATTAAGTGATAAATGTATTTTTATGTATTTAGGGAACTACAATTGTCTAAACATTATCTATTGAAATAACTTATTAACATTATTAAGTTTATTGTAGGCCTCTCAGATTTTTAGGCATACTGGATATGCTATTTAATTTCCGAAATTACAGTAAATAAAATTACTAATTGATGTTTTTATATCTTGTTATAAGCCCCAGAATGTTGGACTAATATTTTAAAACTTCTTACTTTAATACTAACTCATTATTATTTTTTTGAAGACTTTCTAGTATGAAAGTGTTTAAAATTTGAAAAAGTTTTAAAACATTTCCGGAATATTCCGCTCCGATCTAGAAAAGAAATAATACATATTTTAAGATAAGTATTAACACCAGAATATTTAGGAATCGTTAATTATTTTAAATTTTTATCAATTGACTATTTTTGCCACGTTTGTATTGCCAACATTTTCAAAGTGCACTATACCTATTCTATCTAACAATAAATATTTTTATATGGGTTATATGATTAACAGATTAATATATATAATTTTTATTAAAAAATAATCATATTCTCTGTCATAAATATATTGTTATTTACACTTGAAGCTATAGCTTTAATAAACCATAAAATTTCCTTTAAAAATATGTATGTGAGAAAACTTTTTGGATAAATATTTTGTTTTTATTTGTAATATAAACTCTGAACGAATTTTAATATTTTTATCACAATCCATTGTGATTTTTATATAAATGCAGTGTCTGTTTTCTTGAAGTTTGCGACTCTACTTTCTATAGAAAATATACTTTATGGAAAGCAATAAACCAATCAAAAGCCTTGAATTTTCGAATAAATTTCGTTTAAATAAGCGATTAAATCACTGGAACTATTTAACAGCGATTAAATTTTAGCCTCCATATTGGATTTTTGTTTACGATTTTATGGTGTTATTTACAAGTTTTAACAAACATTTTTTTAAAAACAATAAAAAATAAGTTATCTAGTTTACGAAATTTCAATTATTACTTATTACATACCTTAAATTAATGGAATTTTCTTTAAAAAAATATTTATAAATTTTGACACATACGTCAGATTTTATGAATTGTGAAATAGTTTCCTTTAATTCGAGAAATAATCTAGACGTATATCACTCAACCTATAACTTTAATCTGTCAAACTATGCTCAGTAAGTTTTTTATTTGATTTTTCTTTTTAGAAAATAGTTTCATGCAAAATAATTAAAAATAAAACCCCTCGACCGCTACGCGGTCTCGTGATTTTATTAAATTATTTTGCATTCAACATTTTCCAACAAAAACCAAACAAAAAACAACTGAGCCTAGTTTAACCGATTAAATTCATAGTTCTCGTGATATAATATATGATTATTTTCCATAAAAAGTAAAAGATCGTTTCAGAGTTTATATGTCCAATGTTAAACGTACAACCCACATCTTACAGGCTCATATTTATGCCATCCCGGGGTCCTCCAAAGCCCCGTCCTCCTCGAGCTTTGTGATCAGTTTGATCACCCTATGCCTCTCGTCGGTCTGTCGGACCATGTCGATGAGGCCGAGCAACTTCGAGATGCCGATAAAAATGCTGAAATAACGTTAAGCCTGATTTATAGATTGCCTTCCTTTCTTCCGAAAAAACGCAGTGCTGTCTATACAGGGTGTTATGTAATTAATGTTATATGTTAAAATACTGAATACCTTTTGACATAAGGAATAAAGGAAAAATATTTTAAAAGGCATTTTTCCAAAGATAAAAAAAAAATATGCATTAGAAGTTTTTTATATTTTTTGTGATACGCCACTGGTTACACACTTGTTTATCTCTGCACACCTGTATTTTGTGAGTACATAGATACCAACCAACAAAGTAGCTATGCGTTGCCAGATGTAAAAAATTGTTACTAAAAATTTTTCTTGCAAGAAATAAATAAAAACTCAATAAATACAAAAGTTTTATGCCCTTAAAGCTCTAATACCCTTCTGTATTTATTTACTGATCCAGCTATAAGCTTAAGCAATGATTCGAAAATTTAGTACCTTGGAAATGTGAAATCTATAACCACAAAATTAATTTTTTTCATCAGTTTTTTTCTCTGTTTACTCAGATGAAATTGGGACCAGTTCACAGGTTAAACTTTAAACATTTAATTTGTGTAAATAAATCCAAAAGCACTTCCCTTAGTTAAGATATTTACAATTTGAAAACATAACCTAAAATTTAAAAGAAATGCACTAGATTCTGTCATAAAAGTTGGCAGATTTTGTTTGAATTTACCTTCAGTACAAAAATGAAATAACCAACAATTAATAAAAACGCCAAATTGACAATTTGCATTGTTAATTTTGTCATTTTTGTAATTAAGCTAAATTTAAACAATGTTTGTCGACTTTTTTGAGAGATTTTGGAAAAACTGTTGTTACCAACCATAACATAATAAATCCACCAGAATAACCTAAAGTTCCTAGTCGATCAGTGGCGTACTTTTTGGTAGGATAAAGGTTATTATAAATTATTTTTAGATATTGGAATTTAGAAAAAAAAAGTTTCAGGTGCTTCTTTATGGACCCTAAGGAACAACCCATTTTAATATATAACATTAATTACATAACACCCTGTAGATTACCGTACGGCAATCTATAAACAATCTTTTACGGGAGGAAGGAAGGCAATCTGTAAATCTTACCGTTTTCCGTGCACCTGGTGCGTTATTTGTTTCAGTTCATGCGCGCTGAACACGTCCGACGTTTCCAGCACGTTCATCAAGTGCTCCGGCGTCGACAGGTTCGGTACGTGCAGAATTCCGGTGAAGGCGGACAGCATTTCCATGTCTTCCAATACTTGCCTTTGAAATTATTTAAAAGAATTCGTTGTATACGCAGTCAAGTTAAAATCGACAAAGTGGATTTTATATTCAGAGGTTTTATATAAGTTCTTGTATTTTTTTCACTTTTATTTTAAATTGGGAATGAAATAAACAATGCAGTTCCAGAATTCTTGCATTGTTTACTTTCACTTTAATTTTAATGAGGGATAAAAAATAGCACTCTAGTCCCAGAAGTCTTGAATTTTCAACTTTATTTACTTGATTTTTAATACTCGTAGGGAATGAAAAATAGCACTCTGGTTCCAAATTTCTTGTCTTTTTTACTATTTATACTAAATTCAAGTTGAAATTCCAAAATTCTTGCCTCTTTTACTATTTATAATAAGTTCAAGTGGGAATTGACAAAATTGCTTATATTTTTTTTAAGTTTAACAAAATGTCATACATTTTTTACAGAATTTACTAAAATTCTTTCATTTTTTACTATTTTCACTTGATTTTTATTGGGGAATAAAAAATAGCACTCTAGTTCCAGAATTCTTGGATTTTTTACTATTAATACTAAATTCAAGTTAAAATTGGCAAAATTACTTGTATTTTTTTAAAAGATTAACAAAATTTCTTAACTTTTTTACAGAATTTACCAAAATTCTTGCATTTTTTACTATTTTTACTTGATTTTTAATGGGGAATAAAAAATAGCACTCTGATTCCAAAATTATTGCCTCTTTTACTATTTATAATAAGTGGAAATTGACAAAATTGCTTCCATTTAAAAGATTTACAAAATGTCTCAGTATTTACAATATTCTTTCATTTTTTACTATATTCACTTGATTTTTAATGGAAAATAAAAAAAAGAACCCTAGTTCCAGAATTGGCAAATTGCTTGTATTTGTTTAAAAGATTTACAAAATGTCTTAAATTTTTTACAGAATTTACTAAAATTCTTTCATTTTTTACTATATTCACTTGATTTTTAATGGGGAATAAAAAATAGCACTCCAGTTCCAGAATTCTTGCATTTTTTACTATTAATAGTAAATTCAATTTAAAATTGGCAAATTGCTTGGATTTTTTACTATTTTTACTTGATTTTTAATAGGGAATAAAAAATTGCACTCTGATTCCAAAATTATTGCCTCTTTTACTATTTATAATAAGTGAAAATTGACAAAATTGCTTCAATTTTTTTAAAAGTTTTACAAAATGTCTTATTTTTTACAGAATTTACTAAAATTCTTTCATTTTTTACTATATTAACTTGATTTTTAATGGGGAATAAAGAATAGCACTCTATAGTTCCAGAATTATTGCATTTCTTACTATTAATGCTAAATTCAAGTAAAAATTGTCAAAATTACTTGTATTTTTTAAAAGATTAACAATATTATATTATATATTATAAATATTACAAATTCAAGTTAAAATTGGCAAATTCCTTGTATTTATTTTTTTAAAAGATTAACAAAATGTCTTACATTTTTTACAGAATTTACCAAAATTCTTGCATTTTTTACTATATTTACTTGATTTTAAATGGGGAATAAAACATAGCACTCTGATTCCAAAATTCTTGCATCTTTTACTATTTATAATAAGTTCAAGTGGAAATTGACAAAATTGCTTGTATTTTTTTAAAAGATTTACAAAATGTCATACATTTTTTACAGAATTTACTAAAATTCTTTCATTTTTTACTATATTCACATGATTTTTAATGGGGAATAAAAAATTGCACTCTAGTTCCAGAATTCTTGCATTTTTTACTATTAATACTAAATTCAAGTTAAAATTGGCAAATTTCTTGTATTTTTTAAAAGATTAACAAAATGTCTTAAATTTTTTACAGAATTTACCAAAATTCTTGCATTTTTTACTATTAATACTAAATTCAAGTTAAAATTGGCAAATTGCTTGTATTTGTTTAAAAGATTTACAAAATGTCTTAAATTTTTTACAGAACTTACCAAAATTCTTGCATTTTTTACTATTTTAACTTGATTTTTAATGGGGAATAAAAAATAGCACATTAGTTCCAGAATTATTGCATTCTTTACTATTAATACTAAATTCCAGTTAAAATTCGCAAATTGCTTATATTTGTTTAAAAGATTTACAAAATGTCTTAATTTTTTTACAGAATTCACCAAAATTCTTGCATTTTTTACTATGTTTACTTGACTTTTAATGGGGAATAAAAAAATAGCACCCTGGTTCCAGAATACTTGCATTTTTTACTATTAATACTCAATTAATTAAAGTTAAAATTGGCAAATTGCTTGTATTTTTTAAAAGATTAACAAAATGTCTTAAATTTTTTACAGAATTTACTAAAATTCTTTCATTTTTTACTATATACACTTGATTTTTAATGAGGAATAAAAAATAGCACTCTGATTCCAAAATTCTTGCCTCTTTTACTATTTATAATAAATTCAAGTGGAAATTGACAAAATTGCTTGTATTTTTTTTAAAACATTAACAAAATGTCTTAAATTTTTTACAGAATTTAACAAAATTCTTGCATTTTTTACTATATTTACTTGATTTTTAATGGGGAATAAAAAATAGCAATCTGATTCCAAAATTCTTGCCTTTTTACCATTTATTGTAAATGCAAGTTAAAATTGACAAAATTGCTTAATTTTTTTGTTTAAATTTTTTACAGAATTTACCAAAATTCTTGCATTTTTTACCAAATTCCCTCTAATTTCAACGGGGAATAAAAAGCACCGTAGTGAGACATCTTCTTACCTTCTGCTGCTGGTGCAGATGACGAGCAACTTCTTGCCGGGCGGCGGCTGCTTCTTCAGCAGCACCAGCAGAGCCTGCAGAGTCAGGTTGGAGTATCGCGGACCGATCGAACCGTAGTCCAGCAGTCTCTCGATGTTGTCTACGAGTACGCAGCTCAGCGTGGAACGGTACGCGTCGTCGAACACCTTCCTGATGTGCAGGCACTTGGCCGTCTCCGTGTAGCCCACCATTTCTTCGGGCGAGCACACCTTCACGAACGGAAAGTCCGAGTTTTTCGCCAGCTGGGCGGCCAAGGCGGTTTTTCCCGCGTTCGGCGGCCCTTCCAGCAGGATCGACACGAGGCCTACCAAATTTCAGAATCTTGTATAATTTTTAGATGGCTTTTTTAGATTGTCTTGTTTTGCAGATGTCTTGTATTAACAATTTTGAAAATTGTCTTTTGTATTTGTATTTCTTACATGATTAAACAGAATTCTTTTTTACTATATTTGCTAGATTTTTTATTTTCTACAGAGTTTCTTCTATGTTTTGCAAGATGTCTTGTTTTTGCAGATGTCCTATTATTTTTAGATTAGCATTTCTTTAATTTTGCAATTTCTCTTGTATTTTTTAAATGATTTACTATTTTTTTGTATTTTTTTTTACAATAGTTGCATTTTTATAGGATTTACCAGAATTCCTTTTTAATATATTTTCAGATGCCTTTTTTAGATTAGGAAAACTATCTTTACTTTTGAAAGTTCTCTAAATTTTTTTAAATGATTTACGAGTTTTTTGCATTTGCAATGTTTTTATTTCTAACAGGATTAACCAGAATTCTTGCTTTTTTACTATATTTGCTAGAGTTTTCGTATTTTTTACAAAGTGTCTTGTATTTTTTGAAAGATGTATTGTTTTTGGAAATGTCTCATTATTTTCAGACGTCTTATTTTAGTTTAGCAAAAGTTTCTTTACTTGTGCAATTTGTCTAGTATTTTTTAAATAATTTACCAATTATTGTATTTTTTGAAAGATGTCATCCTTTTTAAATGATTTACGATTTTTTTGTATTTTTTGCAAGAATTGCATTTTTATAAGATTTATCAGAAATTTTATTTTTTTACTATATTTGCAAGATGACTTGTTTTTGCAGATGTCTTATTATTTTCAGATGTCGTTTTTATATTAACAAAAGTTTCTTTAATTTTGAAAATTGTCTTGTATTTTTTAATATAATATAATTTACAAGTTAAAATTACAAATTTGTATTTCTAACAGTATTAACCAGAATTCTTGCTTTTTTACTACATTTGCTAGATTTTTTATTTTCTACAAAGTTTCTTGTATATCTTGCAAGATGTCTTGTTTTTGCAGATGTCTTATAATTTTCAGATGTCGTTTTTATATTAACAAAAGTTTCTTTAATTTTGAAAATTGTCTTGTATTTTTTAAATAATTTACAAGTTAGAAATACAAAATTGTATTTCTAACAGTATTAACCAGAATTCTTGCTTTTTTACTACATTTGCTAGATTTTTTATTTTCTGCAAAGTTTCTTGTATTTTTTGCAAGATGTCTTGTTTTTGCAGATGTCCTATTATTTTTAGATGTCTTTTGTTTTTTCTTTAATTTTGTAATTTGTCTTGTATTTTTTAAATAATTTATCAGATTATTTGTATTTTTTGAAAGATGTCAAACTTTTTAAATGATTTATGATTTTTTTGGATTTTTTTACAAGAATTGCATTTTCATACGATTTACCAGATTTCTTGTTTTTTTACTATATAGTATTTACAAGATGACTTGTTTTTGCTGATGTCTTATAATTTTCAGATGTTGTTTTAATATTAACAAAAGTTTCTTTAATTTTGAAAATTGTCTTGTATTTTTTAAATAATTTACTAGTTACAAATACAAATTTGTATTTCTAACAGTATTAACCAGAATTATTGCTGTTTTACTACATTTGCTAGATTTTTTATTTTCTACAAAGTTTCTTGTATTTTTTGCAAGATGTTTTTGCAGATGTCCTATTATTTTTATATGTTTTTTTTAGATTATCAAAAGTTTCTTTAATTTTGCCTTTTGTCTTGTATTTTTTAAATAATTTCATAATAATCAGATTTTTTGTATTTTTTGAAAGATGTCATACTGTTTAAATGATGTAAGATTTTTTTGTTTTTTTTAAGAATTGCATTTTTATACAATTTACCAAAATTCTTGTTTTTTACTATATTTACAAGATGACTTGTTTTTGCTGATATCTTATAATTTTCAAATGTCTTTTTTAAATTAAAAAAAGTTTTTTTACTTTTGCAATTTGTCTTGTATTTTTTAAATAATTTTTTAAAAGATACAAACTTTTTAAATAATTTGCGAGTGTTTTATATTTTTTTTACAAGATTTGCAATGTTTTTATTTCTAACAGGATTTTCCAGAATTCTTGCTTTTTTACTATATTTGCTAGATTCTTTGTATTTTTTTAAACAAAGTGTCTTGTATTTTTTGCAGTTTTTGGAGATGTCTTATTATTTTCAGATATCTTATTTTAGTTTAGCAAAAGTTTCTTTACTTTTACAATTTGTCTTGTATTTTTTAAATAATTTAGCAGATTATTGGTATTTTTTGCAAGAATTTATACGATTTATCAGAAATATTATTTTTTTACAATATTTGCAAGATGACTTGTTTTTTCAGATGTCTTAGTATTTTAAGATGTCGTTTGTAAATTTTTTTAAATGATTTACGAGTTTTTTTAAATTGCAATGTTTTTATTTCTAATAGGATTTACCAGACTTCTTGCTTTTTTACTATATTTGCAAGATTTTTCGTATAAAGTGTATTTTTTGCAAGATGTCTCAAATCAAATCAAATCATTTATTAAATGATTTACGATTTTTTTGTATTTTTTACAAGAATTGCATTTTTATACGATTTACCAGAATTCTTGGTTTTTTACTATATTTGCAAAATGACTTGTTTTTGCAGATATCTTATAATTTTCAGATGTTTTTTTAGATTTTGTATTTTTTGAAATTGTGAGTTTTTTATATTTTTTTTACAAAATTTGCAATGTTTTTATTTTCAACAGAATTAACCAGAATTCTTGCTAGATATTTATTTTTTTTGCAAGATGTCTGGTTTTTGCAGATGTCTTTTTTAGATTAGCAAAAGTTAGTAATTTGTCTTGTATTTTTTAAATGATTTATTTAGCAGATTATTTGTATTTTTTTCAACAAAAAAGATAAGCAATTTTTTCTTACATGATTTAGCAGGTTTAATGTATTTTTAACAAGATTTATTAAGATTTTTGGTATAAAACAGATTTACAATATTTTTATAAGATTTAAAACAAATTCTTATATTTTCTACAAAATTTACAAACATTTTTGCAATTTTTACTATATTTACAAGATTTTTTGTATATCTTACTTAATTGTCAAAAATGCTTGTATTCTGCAAGATTAAAAAAAGTTTATATATATATATTTTTAATTATCAGAATTCTTGCGTTACTATATTTGCTTGATGTTTTTAATGAATAAAATTAAAATTTACCTGATGTGTCGGTAGCCCTAGCTTGTTGTATGAACAACATCCCATCTTCCAAAATATTGGAAACCGGCTCCCCCCAATTGATGATACCGCGCGATAAAAATTGCGCCAATATTTCCTGCGCCGTACCAAAAGCCTAAACAAACAATAATTACACCACATCGTTCGACGATATTTCGCCGCTTACCGGTTTAATGTCGTTTTCGAGAGCGTGCAGGAAGTCAGCCCTGCCCACCAAAAGTTTCTCGATCGCCTCGGGGTCCACCTCGACCTTGCTCGAAGCCTTGATCAGCCTGTTCATGGCCGTCGATTGAGCAGCCCTCACCAAACCCTCCAGCTCGGCGCCCGAGAAGTTTTTGGTCATTTGGGCCAGTTCCTGCGGAATTTTTTTCGTCAAAGTTCGGGTGTTTTCAAAGAGGATTTGCGGCTTTATTGTGTTAAAATTTGTGGGACGAGAACTGGCGTATTCAACGTGGTATGGCCGTTGCCATATGCCAAAAGGATTTTTCGAAAGTTTCCATATCAAAAATATGTTATTTGAACAGAAAATAAGGTATTTTAAAGTTTTGTATGTGCAAAAAATGTCTACCTGGAAATCCAATACATTCTCCTAGTATGGGCTTGAAAAAATTGATGTTAGGGATTGTAAGTAGATTTATTTTAAAAACAATTAAATAGCAGTAGTTTTTTAGAGGTACTTTCCTTTTGTACACACAGATTATATGTGACAGATATATAAATAAAAAAATAATTTAGGTTAATATTTTTGTTTTGATTTGTAGCTTGTATTTGTTCCATATACTTCAAAGATACTAAAAGGAAAATTGGATCAAAAAACATACAAACTACATTCCCATAAAAAAGTCTTTAAAAGTGGATACTGCTTCAACTTTACACTTAATGATCTATCAAAAGAGAAATTAAGTACTTTGTGAGAAATTGAAATAAAATTTGAAAAACAAAATTAAATCTTTCTTTTTGTACTGTGCAGGAAATGTGCCAAGACAAGGAAGCTAATGATCTTCAGTCCATAACAGAAACTCAAACTACATGCTGCTGATAATGAAATAACCTGGGATTAAAACAATGTTTGGGATGTCATCCCAAAAGCATTAGAAAACCACACCATAATATAATATTTTTCACAAGTTTAGTTTGTTTTATTTAATGTTGGCTCCATGATTGCCAATTTAGGGTTTTTATTTGGCAACTAAAGCTAAATTGCAATTATTTGTAAATACAATTTTGTAATAAATAATTTTAGAAAAAATATGTTGTTAACATTTTTTTTTGCAATGTTAATGTTGTAACTTGTTTCATTTCATTCGTTATATTTGCTTTAAAACAGGATATTTTATTTTATTGAAAACATTTGACTTATAAATGGCTTTAAAACAAGATATTTTATTTGAAAAAACCAACATTAATTTTTTTAACACTTTTTTCATATATTTTATTTGGTATTTGGTAAATATTATTTACTTTAAAACAAAATATTTTATTTCATTAAAAAACCTTATAAAATAGATTTTTTTCTATAACAATATTTTCTTGAAATGTTAATATTGTGACTTAGATTTTGTTTACATGTGATCTTCATATTATTCGACAATTTAATCTAAAAATCGAATTTCAAAAATGCTTCTTAAAACATTTGATTTATAAATGGCTTTAAAACAAGATATTATTATAAAACCCATTATTTAAAACATTTAAACTATAAACTAAAATTAAATTTTTCTTAGCACTTTTTTATATATTTTATTTGGCATTTGGTAAATATTATTTACTTTAAAACAATACATTTTATTTGATTAAAAAAACATATAAAATAGATTTTTTTTATTAATAATATTTTCTTGAAATGTTAATATTGTGACTTAGATTTTGTTTACATGTGATCTTCATATTATTCGAAAATTTAATCTAAAAATCGAATATCGTCAAAAATGACAGATGTCAAATGCCAAAAATGCTTCTTAAAACATGTGACTTATAAATGGCTTTAAAACAAGATATTTTATTATAAAACCCTTTATTTAAAACTTTTTTCATATATTTTATTTGGTATTTGGTAAATATTATTTACTTTATTTGGTAAATATTATTTACTTTAAAACAATATATTTTATTTGATTGAAAACCCATATTTCATTAATAATATTTTCTTGAAATGTTAATATTGTGACTTAGATTTTTTTTACTGTGATCTTCAAATTATTCGACAATTTAATCTAAAAATCGAATAACGTCAAAAATGACAGATGTCAAATGTCAAAAATGCTTCTTAAAACATTTGACTTATAAATGGCTTTAAAACAAGATATTTTATTTTAAAACCCTTTATTTAAACATTTAACCCAAAAACTAAAATTTTTCTTAGCACTTTTTTCATATATTTTATTTGGTTTTTGATAAATAATTTTATGGAAATTTGGATGAATTGCATAAGAGAATAATATTATCTACCTTGTTGTCTACATCAGGGGAAATTTTCTTGAAATGCCTCATCCTGGAGGTGTGGATGTTCAAAATCTGCACTCTGCCTTCCTCATTGGGAAGACTGATCTCGATCTGTACCTCCAACCTACCAGGTCGCATTAAGGCGTCGTCTATCATGTCTTTTCTGTTTGTCATACCTTAAACAATAGCTGCATAATTAACGCAAGTCAAAAGGCGTGCAAGAAATATTACCGATAACGAGAATGTTGTTCAATTGCTCCACCCCGTCGATTTTCGACAGCAGTTGGTTGACGACGGTGTCGTGCACCCCCGTATTCCCCGCCACTGACCCTCTTTGCTTGCAGATGGCGTCGATTTCGTCGAAAATTATGATGTGCAAGCCGCTGTTGGGTCCGGCCCTTTTTTCTTCCTCTTCGGCTTCAGCAAAAAGCCTTCTGACATTGGCTTCCGATTCGCCCACGTATTTGTCCAAAATTTGGGGACCGTTCACTATTTTCGGCTCTCTTGCGTTCAACATTTTGCCAATTTGACGGGCCATTAAGGTCTTACCGGTACCCGGAGGACCGTACAATAAAATACCTACAATAAGTATATGTATATAGTTTGTTATTGCATTGTACCCAACAAATAAGACGAGCCAAAAACATTAACATGAATATTTATACATTATTTTATATTTTTAAGTAAATTTTATTCCTGATTAGAGTCGAAAAAAAAAGGAAAATTGGGGGAAAAACTTGCTTTTTTTCCCAGCTTGGAAAAAATTGATTTTTTTTTTGGAAAATTTGCACATTTTAAAAAAACTAACCTTAACATTATTTTAATTAAAAAAAAAAATCCTATATAACAGAAAAAAAAATAAACATTGAACTGAATTAAATTGATTTAAAAAAATACATTAACATAAATATTATTTAATTATAAAACCATAAATTCTAACATTTTTCTGAAATTTTAGAAAGAAACATTATTTTATATTTTTAAGAAAATTTTATTCCTGATTCCTTAAAAAAAAATTTTTTTTGGGGAAATTTAATTTTTTTGTTTGAAAATATACAAATTTAAAAAAAGTAGCATCAACAACTTAACATTAATTTAATTTAAAAAATTACCTTTTTTATAGAAAAAATATAAATCCTAACATTTTTCTGAAATTTTCTGAAACATTATTTTACATTTTTAAAAATTTTTTATACCCAATTGGTGTCAGAAAAAAAAACGGAAAAATTGGGGGAAAAACCTGTTTTTCCCAGGCCTTGGAAAATTTGGCTTTTTTGGGAAAATTTAGTTTTTTTTAATTTTCGGAAAATATTTTTATAAAAATCATTTTTGGTTTGTTTTCGTTTATTTGTAATTTATCAAAAAATGATCTATTGACATGTTTAAAACTTTTAATTTATAGCCAAAAATACATTTTGTGTAGTCGTTTTATACTTTTTCATAAATAAGTGTCGAAAAAAAACCGGAAAAATTGGGGGGAAAACTGTTTTTTCGTTTTTTTTCACAGGCTTTAGAAAAATTGTTTTTTTTTTGAAAATATTGAAAATATTCAATTACGAAACAATGAAAGTTAAATTACAAAATTATAATTTATTTATAAAACCGAAAGTTATGTTAATACAGCAACGAATTTATTCTTTTTTTGCGGCCCGGTAGAATATTCTTACTAAATTAAAATAAAAGGAATAATTATTATAATTAAATATTATAGGATTATAATCAGCGTAGAAAACTCACTTTTTTCTCGATATCATTTTACGGATATTATCCGTAAAAATTTGGAAATTTTCAGAAAAATTGACTTTTAATAAAATGAAGAAAATGCCAAATTCAATTTTTCTGAAAATTTTAAAAGTCTAATCCATGAAGAATTCTTGAGAGATTTTTACCTATAGGTATACTGTAATAATAAAATTCATTTCTAAACAAAAATGTTTTTTATCAAAAAAATTTCAGACCCAAATTTTTAGAAAAATCAAAATTGCAAATTAACCATAAACCTATATAATATATTACTTATGTAGCATATTCTAGGTTTGAAATACAGTAAAACTTTTATCAAGAATGAAATTTTCTGAGAAATGTGAATTATTTCTTTTTCCTGCAAAACATGATATTCACATTTTTCTCTAAAGATGACCATTTACAAGTTAAAAGAAAAAACATAAATTTAAGCAGATACGGGCTTTTTAAAAAGCATGCAGTTCTCTTAAATTACACTTTAAACCAATAAGATACATTTATATGGGGCTGAGTTTTATTCAATAGCAAGAAAAAACTTTATAAATTAATAATATTTTTAAATGCAGATCAAGATTCTCATACATACCTTTAACATGTTTGCATCCCAATTGCTCCACGATTTCTGGCGGGAAAACTCTCGACGCAAACGCCCGCCTAAAGATGGCGTTGAATTCGTTGCTCAAACCACCGATCCCCATTTGCTGGAAGTCCCAATCTGGGTTGATTATGGACTGCCTAACTTGTTTTCTGTCAACAAATTACGGTTTAACCTACAAAAAAAACCTAAAAAATATTTACCCTTTTGCTTTTCCAACTAGATTCAGCGAAGAGCTTTCCGCCTTCTCAAATTGCACCACAGTGTTTGGTATCAACTGACCAAGTTTTGTTTTTCTTGGCTTGGCGTTTGCATTTGCTCCCTCCAAATTCAAATTTGCGGCTGCAAATAAAACAATGTTACATCTACACGGATTTTTTAAATAATAATCACGTTTTACCTTCCAAATCTTTTACGACCAACGACAACAATTTTTTATCCCTAAAGGAAAATGCCAACTGTTGTCCAACTGTAAAAGCTTGGTTTGCAAATGATGCCAAGAACTCTCTTGCCATATCATCACTATCATATTGTTCTTGAGATGTTCTACAACATTAACTTATTCAAAAACTCTTCACCAAGTTTCATGATAATTTATTTAAACAATTGTAATCAAAGTCCAGCATTCAATGATACTTATTTAAAACATCCCATGACAGATGTTAAAAATGGCAGATGTGAAAAATGACGGATAAAAAAGATGTCAAAAATGACGGATAAAAAAAATGTCAAAAATGACGGATAAAAAATTCAGATAACCAACGTCAAAAATGACAGATGGTAAATGTCAAAAATGACAGATGGTAAATTTAAGAAATGACAGATATAGAAATGATGATGTAAAAATGACAGTTTACCAGTGTGAAAAATGTAAAAATTACATATATAAAAAATGACAGAGGTCATAAAATAAAAATGGCGGATGTAAAAAATGTCAGGTTACCAATCGGCCATTCCAAGCCCATGGACAGGACACATCAGAAAAATGTCTAAATATATTCTTGTTACTTCCTTAAGTTTACTTATTTTTTCTACGAGTATTTATGAGAAGTATTAGCCAAATTTGGCCAAATTTGGCTAATACTTCTCATAAATACTCGTAGAAAAAATAAGTAAACTTAAGGAAGTAACAAGAATATATTTAGACATGTTTCTGATGTGCCCTGTCCATGGGCTTGGAATGGCCGCAATGTTAAAAATGTAAAAATTACATATATAAAAAATGACGGATATGAAAAATGTCAGATAACTAACGTCAAAAATGACAGATGACAAATGTAGAAATGAAGATTAAAAAATGACAGTTTACCAATGTTAAAAATGTAAAAATTACATATATAAAAAATGACAGAGGTCATAAAATGACAGATGTCAAAAATGGCGGATGTAAAAAATGTCAGGTAACCAATTTTAAAAATGTAAAAATGAGAGATAAAAAAATCCCAGACGTCATAAAATGGCAGATGTCAAAAATGACAGATAATAAATGTCAAAAATGACGATGTAAAAATGACAGGTTACCAATGATAAAATTGTAAAGATTCCATATATAAAAAATTACAGGTGTCATAAAATGACAGATGTCAAAAATGACGGATATGAAAAATATCAGATAACTAACGTCAATAATGACAGGTGGTAAATGTCAAAAATGACAGATGTAGAGATGACGATGTAAAAATGACAGGTAACCAATTTTAAAAATGTAAAAATGACATAAAAAATAAGACGTCATAAAATGACAGATGTCAAAAATGAGGGGATAAAAAAATGTCACATAATAAACGTCAAAAATGACAAATGTCAAAAATGCTTTTTCAGAAATAATTAATCATTTCTGAAGAAGCTACTGTGTTAGCAAAACAATTGTCAAAATAAAATTAAAATAAATTTGCGAAATTCAAAAAACTGTGTTTGTTTTTATCTAGTTATACATTAGTTAGGTATATTTATTATTATATACGTGTTGTAATGAAAGTTTTATTGAAAAACGTTAAAAAATGAAGTAAATAATTTTAGATATTCAATTAAATTTGATTAAAAAGGCAGAGACATACAAAAAACTCTGCTTACGTTTTCTTTGCCATATAATCAGCTTCCAAAACAATTGATGATAAGTAATCATCGCAGTTGTAAGGCTTAACACTGATATCCTGGTTTAGAGACAAAACGGCCCATTTTCTTTGCGGCAAACTGAAACCAACATTTGACCTGGGAATGCTGGGATGGCTTTTGATGGAAAACACGAAGTTTTGTCCGTAGCCGGCGCCTGTGTGCACCTCGATATGCCTTAAACAGTAAATTTGTAAGTTGTTCGACAAATTAATCCAAAATATTTACTTTGTATTGGGGGAGAAATCATTGTCGTTGACAATGGCACAATTAGAAAGTGACAGCTCATCTGTTGGACATTTTGTAACTTTAAACTGCCCCTTAAATAAAGAAAACAACATTAAAGGGTATAAGACATCAAAAACATAACCAAAAAATGTATTACATGCTATATGTTTATTAAAAAGGGTTTAAATACGTACCATGTTTTCTCTTAATGTAAATATTTACGAATTACACTGCTACAACTCAGCTGCAATGCAGATATGGGTAAAAATTGGTAAAATCAATACAAAATCCTCCTCTTGGTTGCGTTGGCACTATTCTGTTGTCAAGTTTTTGAACTACTTTGAGTTAAAGCACTGTTGCCAACATAATCGGTTTAAAAATCTCCAACTTTGGTTAAACAAATTCTGTCCCCAGCTTTAATAATTGTTATTGTACTGACAAAGGTATAAATAAGAATGGTTTTATTTAAATTACTGAATAAATGGACAAACTAGGTATTTTTTATAAAATAATTATACTAATTCTAGAAAAAAATCCCTCAGTTGGCAATACTGAATGTTGCATTTGAACTACTATAGCCTGCTTTTGTCGAGGCGGGAAATTCAAAATCTACCTTCTTCTTTAACAGAATTTGAAGCTAGTTATGCTTTGTAGATAGATTATTTTAATTTCTTATTATTTTATTTTAATGTAGAAAAGTAAAAACAGGGACTTGAAGTTGCTTTTAATTGTAAAAAAGTACAGTAATATTTAAATTATTACAAACTCCCTGGTAAAAAATAATAAACAAAATTACATTTTTATTTTATTAAAACAGAAATATATACAAAAAGTATTCCTAAAATTTACGAATTTAATTTTTTTCATTTTATACCATGAATAGGAATTTTTATTCCTAGGACTTTTTGTTTTGTTACAAAATACTAACAAATAAATAAACTTTTGTACAATAAATGTGTGATACAAAAACCAAAATTTTTGGGGGGCATTTTTTTGTTTTATTAGAATACATTCATTTATAACAAAAATCAGTCGAAAAGAAACAGTACACACTATTGAACAAAAACACTGCACACTGTAAGTTATAAAAAATGTCTCTCTTAAATATACTTTTTCGCCTCAATTTATTTTACACGCTCTCTACAGTTCGTCGTGATCGTTTTCCTGAAAAAAATATTAAAAGTATTAATAAGATCAATAATAAATAAATTAAATTGAATATGCAAGTCTGACATCTGTCAAAATGACAGATGTCAAATGTCAAAAATGACAGATGACAAATGTAGGAATGATAATGAAAAAATAAAAAGTCAATTTTAAAAATGACAGATGTCAAATGTCAAAAATGACAGATAACATGTATAAATAAGAGACGTCATAAAATGATAGATGTTAAAAATGACGGATATAAAAAATGTCAGATAACCAACGTCAAAAATTACAGGTGGTAAATATAAAAAGTGACAAATTACGATGTAAAAATGACAGCAAACCATTTAAAAAAAGTAAAAATGACAGATAAAAAGGTGGTAAATATAAAAAATGACAGATGACAAATGTAGAAATGACGATGTAAAAATGACAGCTAACCAATTTAAAAAAAAAGTAAAAATGACAGGTGGTACCTGTCAAAAAAGACAGATGACAAATGTAAAAATGACAGGTAACTAATTTTAGAAATGTAAAAATGACAGATGTCAAAAATGACGGATAAAAAAAGAGACGTCATAAAATGACAGATGTCAAAAATGACGGATATAAAAAATGACAGATAACCAACTTCAAAAATGACAGGTGGTAAATATAAAAAATGACAAATGACGATGTAAAAATGACAGCTAACCATTTAAAAAAAGTAAAAATGACAGATTAAAAAAATGACAGATGTCAAATGTCAAAAATGACAGATGACAAATGTAGAAATGACAGTTTACCAATATTAAAAATTACATATATAAAAAATGACAGATGTCAAAAATTGAGGATGTAAAAAATGTCAGATACCCAACGTCAAAAATGACAGATGTAGAAATAACAGGTAACCAATTTTTAAAATGTAAAAATGACAGAAGTCATAAAATGACAGATGTCAAAAATGACGGATAAAAAAAATGTCAGAAAACTGTAAAAAAATGACAGATAACAGAGACGTCATAAAATGACAGATAAAAAAATGACAGAAGTCAAAAGTGACGGTAAAAAAATTCAGATAACCGACGTCAAAAATGACAGATGTCAAATGTCAAAAATGACAAATGTAGAAATGACGATGTAAAAATGACAGTTTACCAATATTAAAAATTACATATATTAAAAATGACATATGTCAAAAATTGAGGATGTAAAAAATGTCAGATACCCAATGTCGACAATGACAGATGTAGAAATAACGATGTAAAAATAACAGGTAACCAATTTTAAAAATGTAAAAATGACAGACTTCATAAAATGACAGATGTCAAAAATTACGGATAAAAAAAATGTCAGAAAACTGTAAAAAAAATGACAGATGACAGAGACGTCATAAAATGACAGATGTCAAAAATGATGGATATAAAAAATGACAGATAACCAACGTCAAAAAATGACAGGTGGTAAATATCAAAAATGACAAATGACAATGTAAAAATGACAGCTAATCATTTCAAAAGAGTAAAAATGAGATGTAGAAATAACGATGTAAAAATAACAAGTAACCAATTTTAAAAATGTAAAAATGACAGACGTCATAAAATGACAGATGTCAAAAATGACGGATAAAAAAATGTCAGAAAACTGTAAAAAAATGACAGATAACCAACGTAAAAAAATGACAGGTGGTAAATATCAAAAATGACAAATGACGATGTAAAAATGACAGCTAACCATTTCAAAAAAGTAAAAATGACAGAAGTAAAAATGACGGTAAAAAAATTCAGATAACCAACGTCAAAAATGACAGATGACAAATGCAGAAATGACGATGTAGGAATGACAGTTTACCAATATTAAAAATTACATATATAAAAAATGACAAGAGGTCATAAAATGACAGATGTCAAAAATTGAGGATGTAAAAAATGTCAGATGTAGAAATGACGATGTATAAATAACAGGTAACCAATTTTAAAAATATCAGAAAACTGTAAAAAATGAGAGATGTCAAAAGTCAAAAAAGACAGATGACAAATGAAGAAATGTAAAAATACAGGTTCCCAATGTTAAAAATGTAAAAATGACAGACGTCAAAAATGACAGGTATAATATTTGACATTTGGTGGTATGAATAGTGAAAAAGCGAACTTACTTCAACGACTGGTTTTTCATCATCTTCATCATCATCATCATCCTCGTTATCTTCCTTCTTTTCTTCCTCCTCTTTGGCGGCCTCCCTTTCAACTTTGTCCTGCTCCTCCTTGTTTTTCTTCTCGCCGTCCTGTTTGTCCTTCAACCCGGCCATGGCCTTCTTGGCGTACTCGACGTCGTCGGTGATCAGCACGTTGTCGAAGATGGTGCCGGACTTGACCTGCCACAAGTCGAAACCGATCGCGCAGATCTCCTTCTGCTTGTACAGGTCCGGCTCGGGCGTGTACTCGGGATTGTCCACCTCCGGGTGCACCCAGGCGCCCTTGTACGCCGGGTTGTCCACCTGCTTCGGCGACCACTCGCCCTTGAACTCCGGGTTGTCGATCATCGGCGGCTCCCACTCCCCATCCATCTCGTCGTCCCAGTCGTCCGGCTTGGCGGCCTCCGGGTCCGGGATGTGCTCCGGCTTGTCCCAGTCCTCGGGCTTGGTGTCGTCCGGGTCCGGGATTGTCGCGCGGTCGTCCCAATCTTCGGGCTTCTTGGCCTCCGGGTCTTTAATCTTCTTGGGCGGGAGCAGATCCCAGTCCGCCTCCAACTCCCCACCTTCAGCCTTTTCCCCGTCAATCAACACCTCGTACGTATTATCCGACTTAATTATCAGCGTGTACGAGTGAGTGTAAACATCGTCTTTGCACCTGATGTCTTTGTTGATCAACACGTTCTTGTCGTTGTGGTTGAGGATGACGTGGACTTTTTTGGTGCCCGGTCCGCAGATATCGGGACCGAACATGAGCCTGTACGGGGACTCGCCGTGCATGTCCTCTTGGTTCAGAGAGCAGTCGAAAACTTTGACGTAACCGCCCCCGCAATCGATGTTCTGTTCGTGTTTCACGGTGAATTGCACCACCAAGTCTTTGCCTTCGGTGCCGAAGGGCTTGAACTTGGTGCTCAACGCGTAGAAACGAGCATCTTGCGAAGTTTGAATACCTACGCAAAATAGTCAAATTAGGAAGAAGTCCAGGAAATAGCAACTTGTGGAAGAGCACAAATTATGATGGAAAGATAATGAAAAAAATGCGTAAGACCCTTGTTTAAAATTTGTAGACAATTGTTTCATATTTTTTGAAACTTCCTGGACTAACATCATCTAAAATTGTTTATTAACACGACGTTTCAATTGCTAGTAGATCTGCAATCGTTATCACTACGATAACGATTGCAGATCTACTAGCAATTGAAACGTCGTGTTAATAAACAATTTTAGATGATGTTAGTCCAGGAAGTTTCAAAAAATCTTTAAAACCTGTTATCCAATTTGTATTTGTATTATGCTTTCAACAAAAACATTAATGTAATGTGTAAGTAGGCATATTTATGCAAAAGATAAAGCATCAGCCTGTTAATTTATCTATTGATAAAAAGTACAAATATATTAAACAAATTTAAATGACCCATTTTTAACGAAATACTGCATAAATTAAAGCAAATAATCTGGTTATTTGGGCGTTTTTATTAATTTACATTATGATTAATATAAAGTTCTTAGTCAAATTAGAAAGTAAATAGCGATTGTTGAGAACGTTTTGAACTAAATAAGGGAGGGAGAAGTCCCTAATAAAAACGACAATTCGTTAAAAAAAAATGCAGAAACACAAACGACGTACCTTTATCTTCCTCCTCGTCGTTGAAGAACTTTCCTGCAGTCCTCACGAACTTGCCGAACTCTTTTCCGGGATGTTTGCTGTAAATCCAATTTTTTTCCCATGTGTCTAAAAATGAAAAGGGGAAATCATGCTTGGGGCACTAAAGGCATTGGGAAACATCTAGAACCTCTGAACCGGTATCGTGTCATGCGACGCGGAAATTAAGTAAAACTTACCATCTTGGAATTTCTCTTCAAGATAAACTTCGGCCAAAGATGCACAAATTGACGCACTGATCACAAATATTAACAAATAACCCTTCATTTTTCTAATATCTAAAAATTGTACTCCGATTTACGTCAAATTGTCGCCACGAACTCTCTTGAAATGCCAAAAAATATGGAGTAGTATATACTATATCGCTCGACTACGCCTATCACAGACTGACGCCCTATGCTTCATCTCGCTCCTACTTATACAATCGCGCAGGTTCAATCGATCGCGCTTGTCGTTGATAACGACTTCGCACGACAGATGGAACGTTCTGATTGGTCGGCGTTTGATTGTCGAGTTATACGTGGCCACGCCGTCCTCTTTTACCACGCTAAAGAAACCACACCGGTATGCAGCCTTCTCTCTCTCTGCACAGCCGTACAGCTGGATACTTTTCATTGGTCGAAATTTCGACGATGCGATAGAGGCGCGTATTCAAATTAAGCTTATTTTCGATTGATTAGGTTAGGTGATAACGGAATTCCTAGACAATGGAATATTATGCAATTCGTTCGATGATTAAGGGAATAAAAATAAAATATTTATTGGGCTTGAAGTTAAAGTAGTTATTCCATTTATTACCTAATAAAATTAAAATTAATTGAGCGTTGTTTATGTTAATTGCACGCGTTGGGAATAAAATTGTTAAAATAAATTAAATTTTGAAAGGACCGCCTTAAAATTCAAGGAAAGTTCAACTTTGAATACAAAGAAACAAACCTGATCGCCTACCTTTGTACGAAAGTAAAAGTTTTAAGTCATTGAACACCACTAGGCTAAGAGTTTAGTTGTTTCTTAAAATAATATGTAAAACTTGCGTTTAAAGGGTGAGTAGAGTTTTCTTGGTGATTATTTTGGTGTTTAGTGTGGAGTTTATGTCAAAATTATATAATTAATTATAAAGTCCACAAGTTGTTTACCTTGAAGTGGTAAAGACATTATGAATGACTTTATAACTGTTTAGGTTTCAAGTTGACTGCAACTATATAGTTAGAAATAAAATCGAAATATGAGGTAAGCACTTGAAAATTGTTTGCGTGTTAGTTTTTAGATAAAAATTATTTTCGTTTAGTTAATTAATAATGTGGGGCAAAATTTAAGCCGAAATAAATTAGTGCACATTGTTGTATTGTGTAATAAAAATGTACTGCAAGTGTGTTACTTTCTAAAATATGCACGATTTTGAAGAATCGGATGTAAATCCTCTTTGGCAATTTGAATTTCCTCCAGTTCAATACATAGAAGCAAAACCATCGGCATTATTAGTTCTTTTGTTGTCAAGTTTAACTTTCACGTGCTGTGCAAATCTCTTAATCGGTGTTTGTTATTCCAGAGCCGATAATGAACAATGACTGCAATAAACGAGAGAAAAATTAGGGACGTTCGGGACCTGTGGAATTGCAACAAAGAGATAGACTCGGGCGAAAATATACCGAGGGTAGAGGACAACCGCAGCAAGCACAAATACAAAACCTTGGAGAGGCACCTCAGCATGAAAAAAACGATCAGGAAGAAGATGATGCGGGATTTACGGGAAATCGGGGACGCCACGAGCGAAGACAACCCCCAAAACCAGACGGGGGGATTTCTGGACCAAATCAAGAACGACCAACCTCCGCCTGCTAACATTGACAAGCCCAGTTTGTGGAAACGATTGACCAAAGGTTGGGGCCACTAGAATACACACTTAGAAACTCTGCCTTGCCAAAGTGCAGATTTAGTGATAGCATTTAGCTTTAAGGATATGCCGTTCCTAAATTTTATTTTTAATTTTATTTCATATCCAGTTATCCGTACTATTCGTTAGATTTTTAGTAATTTTTGACTTTTGACGCTGATATAAATTATTAAATTTCTATTTATTGACTTTATTAATATTTTTTAAGTAAGTACTAATTAGTGAGATTATTTTGGCAAATAAACTTAAATTGTTAACATTTTTATTTGTATTATATAATAAATAAAATTTTATTTAAATATTTATTGTTTTATATCAGGTCTCATTTATTGTATATAAGCCTGAAAGAACATAACAAATAGTTTTTTTATTAATTCATGTTTTGCTTTGAATAATAAAATTATTTAATAAATGTTACTTTCAAGAGTAAAATGATTTTTAATACTTTATCTGCAGATAAATTTTGATAAAAAAAAATTATTTACTTAAAAGTCAAATTTAAGTTTTTAAAATTTAATTAATCGGACGACTTTTTGTTATATTTTTAAAAATTTATATTTTATAATTTAAAAGTTACAAGTTTTGTCAAAAATAATTTACCAACCCAAAATCGAATGGACATTACGAAAATTGTTAAAGTAAGTATTAATTTTAAAAATTAAATAAATGTTAAAATAAGCTTGCTTATACCTGCAGGTAAAATTAATATTTAAAGACCATGGTTTTTATTAAATGCATCTAATCTGCTAATTGTATAAGATTAGACAAATCACGTCTCTATTACTATTTAATTGCTTTTAATTTATTATTCCTAATGATGTATTTTTAATAAATATTTGAAAATTACAACAAAAACATGCATAATTTAATTATTTTAGAATAAATTATTTTAATTTATTACAGATTTTGATATATTATGAATTAATTTTGTACAAAAAATACTCTACATTCATTAATATTTGTAATTTATTATTTCTGATAAGGGAAAGCTTAAGAATGAAAATTAGAAATTTATTTATTTATTTCTACATTTTTTTAACGAATTGAAGTTATTAAAAACTCATTTACAATATTTTTAATTTTTAAATTTAATTTCAATTTCTCTAATTTCTTTAACAAAGATGGATACTGACAACACCTGTATAAAGTTAAAATTTGTTATTATAATAGGTAATTTTAAGTTATATTTTGGACACTCGTTGCAAAGCGTCATTTTTATATTTCTTCTATGGAATATGCTAACAGGGGCTGTATAAAAAAATACCTACTATTACTTACCAGATTAGGGTTTCAATAAATTTATTTGTGAATAAATTTTAATTTTTAATATTTACTATTTGAAATTTTGGCGAATGCGCCAGGATTAAAATTACCCATTATCATAAAAACCATCAAGGCAGTGGCGGCTCGTGGATAAGGTTAATTTTGACCATTTTTAAAATGGCCGATAGCCCTTCTAAACCATTATAAATAAAAAAAAATAAAAAAACAAAACAAAGAAAATATCAAATCAATCTTAACCCAAATTTAAAACTCAAAAACATAAATTTATTTTTTAATACTTTAAAATATAAATCTGGAACTTAAAAATATATTTATATGGATGGATAAATATATATATGTACATATAAAACAAATAAAATATTAGAGCAATCGGAATACCCACCCCCTTAACAATTGTTAAAAAAAACAGAAATATTTAACCAAAGAAAACTTACCGGTATTTTAAAACCTAACCTTAATTAAAACTCAATACGATTTGTTGCTTAACAAAAACTGCTAATTCTACCTGTGTAGCTTGCATGTACAATGGTGGACAACAAATTTCGAACATCAAACTTCTGTCATTTAAAAAAGAGGATCTAACCAGCTAAACAACAAAATCAACAATGAAATACGTCAAACTGACAACTTTTAGAAAGTAAGGTTAGTTGTCACTAAAGACAGTTTTACATTTTAAAATCAACTGAATGACAGGTCGTTCGAAATTTTTTGGCCGTCATTGTACAATAAAATAATAAATTTTATTAATCGAGACAAAAACTATAAAAGATATATAATACCATATAGTTTTAAATAATTTAACCTAAATCAAAACAAAAACACCCGCCCTACACTCACTGCAACTTAAACAGCCATCCACCACATCTTCACTCATGCGATATAAAACATGAGCTGTGTTAAGTACAGTGAAAAAATAAGACCAATTTACCTATTTAGGATATGTTGAGTGCAAAAAAACATTTTATCTATTTTGCGTTCGTAATGAGATACTTTAAACAGCATAATATTTTGCATATTGGTTATAATATTTTTATGATTTTTCTAGCACTTAAGAGACTTTTCTGGCAATAAATTTTGTTTAACACCAAAAAAAATCCTTTTTTTCTTCTTTATTATAAATAAGTAAATTAAGGACGGCATGGCGATTCGATTTTGACATAACTGTAATACCAACTATCTAAAGTAAAATTCGACCAAATTAAGTTTAAGGTATAAAATTAATTAATAAATTAATTGACCCTTATGATAAAAAGCAATAATTAACAATAAAAAGTAAAAATTTATTGATACATTTTGACAGGACACAATAATTGGTAAATAATATATAATAAATTAATTTAACATTTTTTGTATTTAGGTAATAACTAGAATATACAAAAGCCCTCAACAAAAGAGACAGTACAGAAAATAAACTATATAAGGGGCAAGACATATTGTTCATAAATGAAGTATTAACCATCTGAATAGTATTTTTTGGATCAATGTACCTATTATAGAAAAGTAAAAGCCCCTTTGAATCTATCACATTCCAAATAAAAGCTTTGTAAATAAATATGCATATAAAAATATAAAACACAGGCTAAGATCCGAATTGTTCGGTGCTGTCCTCTATCGTCTTGAATGAGTAGCCCCCTCTACCGTCCAGATGCAGAACGTGCTCGTGATGCTGCCACAGCGACTTCCGGTGCGAAACCGTGAGCAAAGTGATGCCAACCTCGCGACAAAAACGATACATGCTGCCTTCCACATCCACACTAACCGCGCTAGTGCACTCGTCCAAGATTGCAAACTGCGGTTGGTGGTAGAAAAGCCGCGCCATCGCCACGCGCTGCTTCTCCCCACCGCTGAGAACGTCCAGCCAATCAGCTATCGCGTCCAACCCCCCCTCCCTCTCGATCAAATACCCCAAAGAAACCCTGTTCAAGTGCTCTAAAAGCTTTTCGTCGGTTGCACCGCGACGCTTGGCTTCGGAGCCAGAGTGGGGGTACGTGAGCTGGTCCCTGAGGGAGCCCAGCGTCATGTACGGCCTCTGCGGGATGTAAAAAAGTTTCCCCCGCGGGGGTTTCGTCAACTCCCCCCCGAACAAAGGCCACAGCTCCCCTAGAACCCTGAATAGAGAAGACTTACCGGCGCCGTTTGGCCCGCAGACCAAAACGTTCATACCGGAAGTAATCTCGAAGCTAATTTCCTTGATTAATACATCGCCGTTTGGCGTTATTAAAGGTACCTGCAATGAATATTTCAATTTAGTACTGGGTGAGAACAACAAGAGGGAGTTACTTGGAAAAGGATAATCATTGTTTTGTTTGGGCGTTGGGAAATATTTACAGTATTTGTTTTAAAGGGAGTTGTGGAAAAACTCAAATACCTTATCGAATTTGATGACGTTGTTTTGGAAAATCATCTTTCCGTCCGGCTTTAAATCCTCGCAGCCTGCTACCATAGTGCGCACGTATTTTCCCTCGTTGAGCTCGTTTAGAACAGTGCGCAGCTGCGTCACTCTGGCGGTGAAACCGGCCAGCCTGGTCAACTCTCTGCCGGCCAAAACGAGTCGGCCGATAGCTTCGGCCAGCTTCACCAGCATCCTGCCGTACGTGTAATACATGCGTGACCTTCGAAACAAAATGTTGTAATTGGTAGCAACTTTGACACTCTGCAGTTTCGTTATTTTTTGACCAATATTAAAAATATTTATATCAAAAGTTAGGTAATTTCATTTACTTTGAGGAAATGTAAATAGTTTAATATGCCCCACTACTAATTTTACGAGATAATCCGCAAAATATAAAGTCGTGTCAATTTTGGTTCACTTAAAATTAAGACTAACTTTAACACTCTGTAGTTTTGTTATTTTTCACCCAATTTAAAAAATATTTATATCAAAAGTTAGATAATTTCATTCACTTTGAGAAAATGTAAATAGTTTAATATGCCCACTACTAATTTTACGAGATAATCCACAAAATATAAAGTCGTGTCAATTTTGGTTCACTTAAAATTAAGACTAACTTTAACACTCTGTAGTTTTGTTATTTTTTAACCAATTTAAAAAATATTTATATCAAAAGTTAGATTATTTCATTTACTTTAAGAAAATGTAAATAGTTTAATATGCCCCACTACTAATTTTACGAGATTATCCACAAAATATAAAGTCGTGTCACTTTTCGTTCTCTTAAAATTAAGACCAACTTTAACACTCTGTAGTTTTGTTATTTTTTAACCAATTTAAAAAATATTTATATCAAAAGTTAGATTATTTCATTTACTTTAAGAAAATGTAAATAGTTTAATATGCCCCACTACTAATTTTACGAGATTATACACAAAATATAAAGTCGTGTCACTTTTCGTTCTCTTAAAATTAAGACCAACTTTAACACTCTGTAGTTATGTTATTTTTAACCCAATTTAAAAAATGTTTATATATCAAAAGTTAGACAATTTTATTTACTTTAAGAAAATGTAAATAGTTTAGTATGCTCCAGCAGTATTTTTCGAGATTATCTACAAAATATAGAGTCGTGTCAAATTTAGTTCTCTTAAAATTAAGGCATATTTAACAGTCTGTAGTTTTAATAATTTCTTAACATAAATTAACAGTTATATTTTTTTAAACTCAAAACAATTAATGGTCAAACATTTTTTTAAATATAAAAAACAACTGTAAAACTAAATTTGATTTTTAAACATTTTAGTTCAAATATTTTATTCTACAAAAATCGCTTTAAATCTGTAAAGAGTCATTTAAATGATAATCTATAATTTTTAATACAAAAATTCTCAAATTACATTCAAATTTAAGTTTTCAATTTTAAAGAGGTAATTTTTGTATTAAAAACTTATCGACTATCATTTAAGTTACTATTTACAAATTCAAACCAAAACTTTTTGTATTTAACAATTTTAAATTGATACATTATAACACAAAATGTATAACATTACATTTAAATTAAATAAATTGTATTTTAATTTACATTAAATAAATTCTATTTTTATTCAAAACATGTGTAAACACATATATGTTATACTTAGTTAATACAAATTAATTAATAGCTTTCTAAATAAAATTTGTTTTAGATAGTTCTTAAAATATAAATTACCAATTTTATGTTGCAACTTAAAATGTGTTTAGTATTTTACTAATTTTTCGCTAAATTGAATTTATTATTAATTGTTACAGTTAGTTTATTGTTATATTCTCATAGGATAAGGATTAAAAATCCAGATAAGGAAAAATACAAAATGGATAAATTCATCATCATCTACAAAAACTAATAATATATGTTATTTGCCCATTTATTCTTAAACTATACACAGAAGATATAATTTAACAAAAAAATCTTACAGATTGTTGTTTTTTGGTAAATGATAAATTTGTCCATTTTGTATTTTTCTTTACACAACGGTTAAAATATTTAAAACTTAAATATAGCGGGATAAAATTATACAGCCAATAGGAATCAAACTCCCTAGTTGTATGTTCGGTTGCCTATCTATGGTTTCATGCGCTGCCATTTAAGTTCGCTTTCTACTTCTAAAAATCTTTGACTTACATTTGAACGTAAAATTAAAAATTTTGTGTTAAATAAAAATGTATCAATTTAAAATTGTTAAATATATTTAAATTTTAAGAGTCATATAAATGATGGTTGATACATTTTTAATCCAAAAATTACCACTTTAAAATTTAAAACTAACGTTTAAATGTATTGTGAGAATTTTTATATTAAAAATGTATGACTCTTTACAAATCTCCAATTGAGTACTTCAGAATATTGTTTACCAGAGAAATTACTGGAATTGCCATGAAAAAGTTTAAAACAGTTGTTTATCCATGGAAACAATTGCACTAAAAATAATAATATAGTTACATAAGAAGTATTTTTTTTTACCAAATTTTCAGTGCATATAAAATAAAAAGTGTGAAAGTTAAAATCTTGAAATTTAAAAATATTGTTAAGTATAGTTTTGGTAAACTTTATACGAAATTTGAAGTCTCTAACCCCAATAGTTAAGGATTTATAGCCTTTTAGACATAATGTCACCACAACATTTTTATATCAAATTTTAAGTGTGCATGCAATAAAAAGTATAAAAGATAAAATCTTGAAATTTTAGAGTGTTACCAAGTATACTCTAACCCCAATAGTTAAGGATTTATAGCCTTTTAGACATAATGTCACCACAACATTTTTATATCAAATTTTAAGTGTGCATGCAATAAAAAGTATAAAAGATAAAATCTTGAAATTTTAGAGTGTTACCAAGTATAGTTTTGGTAAACTTTTTACCAAATTTGAAGTCTCTAACCCCAATTGTTTAAGATTTATAGCCAATTAGGCATAATGTCACCACAACATTTTTATATCAAATTTTAAGTGTGCATGCAATAAAGTATAAAAGATAAAATCTTGAAATTTAAACCAATAAATTTGTAGAATATAATACTAAAAGTATAATGTTTTAAACTTAAAATTAAATATTTTTTGATTATCAATTGTTTTGAGATTAAAAAATGTTAACTTTTAAACTATTTTGGTAGAAAATGTTTTAAATGAGTTTTTATTTTAAATATCTTGACACTTCTTTAAATACTAAAAAATAATTTTATAATATTTATTTAAGATTTACAAAATTCTGCCCCAATAAATTATACTTAAGAAATTATTTTTATTAAAATGGTTGGACATTTTTGCAAAAATTGATTGAAAATAATATTTTTTATTACAGAAGTGAACTGTTATTTAGTAAATTTTGTCTTTCAATACATGATAGTTGAAAATATTTTGAATTTATAAATGCAATTAAAATTTTTAGTTAGGAAAATTTTAAATTAAAAAATTACTTCAGATTAAATTTAGTTGTCTTAAAATTAAAATCAACTTTGACAGTCTATAGTTTTGTTATTTTTTAACCAATTTAAAAAATAATTGTATCAAATGTTAGATAATTTTATCCACTTTAAGAAAATGTAAAATCTGAAATGCCCCAGAACTAAATTTTCGAGATTATCCACAAAATATAAAGTCGTGTCATTTTTGGTCTTAAAATTAAGACCAACTTTAACACTCTTTAGTTTTGTTATTTTCTAGCCAATTTAAGAAATATTTATGTCAAAAGTTAGATAATTTTATTTACTTTAAAAAAATGTAAATAGTTTAATAGGCCCCAGTACTAATTTTACAAATTATCCACAAAATATAAAGTCGAATCACTTTTGGTTTTCTTAAAATTATGACCAACTTTAACACTCTGTAGTTTTGTTATTTTTTAACCAATTTAAGAAATTTTGATGTCAAAAGTTAGATAATTTTATCCACTTTAAGAACCTTACCTCTCTCCGTGATCCGCCGTAGTGATGTGCTGATTGCCGGTCATAAAGGGTAGTGAGACAGCCCAAAACCCAACTATACTCGCAAAATATTTGGCAACGAAATTGTCAACAACCCCCATGACAATCTTAAAATGCAAGAACTGCTTTAAGTGCTTGTAGAGCTTGTTGTAGCTGGCCAACAAAGTGGCCTTCTCCCTCGCGTTTCCATTGTAAAACGCCACCTCCTCCGAATGCGTGATCAGCCTGGAGTTGATGTGTCTAAACTCCCCTTCCAACTTTTGCTCCCCGGCCGTCAGTCTGGCCGTGGGTTTGCGCAGGTGAGTCAGGATGGCTCCAGACACAAACAAGTAGCCCAGCATCATGCTGGGGGTTCCCCCGCCCAGCGTTGTGGACAACTTGTACACGTAGATGCCGATGTCCAGCAATGGTTTAGCGGTGTTTGTGTACAGATCCGCCACGCTCTCGCAAAATTTGTCCACGTCGGTGGTCAAAAGTTGATCGGCGTTCGAGATTCGATTGTCCAAATTCGACATCCTATAGTAAGTGAAGTTTTTGAGGTAGTCGTCGTAAAGTCTTTTAGTCAGGTTTGTTCGAAGTCGGATCTTCAACTCTCCAATTGAGTACTTAAGAATGTTGTTTACCACGGAAATTACTGGGATTGCCAGGAAAAAGTTTAAAAGACGCTTTTTAAACAGCTGTTTATCCATGGAAACAATTGCACTAAAAATAATAATATAGTTACATAAAAAATATTTTTTTACCAAATTTAAAGTGCTTATAAAATAAAAAGTATGAAAGATAAAATCTTGAAATTTTAGAATGTTACAAAGTATAGTTTTGTTAAACTTTTTACGAAATTTGAAGTCTCTAACCCCAATAGTTTACAATTTATAGCCTATTAGACATAATGTCACCACAAAATTTTTATATCAAATTTTAAGTGTGTATAAAATAAAAAGTATAAAAAGCACAATCTTGAAATTTTAGAATGTTACTAAGTATAGTTTTGTTAAACTTTTTACGAAATTTGAAGTCTCTAACCCCAATGGTTTAGGATTTATAGCCTATTAGATATAATGTCACCACAAAATTTTTATATCAAATTTTAAGTACGCATACAATAAAAAGTATAAAAGATAAAATCTTGAAATTTTAGAATGTTACTAAGTATAGTTTTAGTAAACTTTTTAGGAAATTTGAAGTCTCTAACCGCAATGGTTTAGGATTTATAGCCTATTAGACATAATGTCACCACAACATTTTTATATAAAATTTTAAGTATTAAAGATAAAATCTTGAAATTTTAGAATGTTACTAAGTATAGTTTTGCTAAACTTTTTACGAAATTTGAAGTCTCTAACCCCAATGGTTTAGGATTTATAGCCTATTAGACAGAATGTCACCACAACATTTTTACATAAAATTTTAAATGTGCATACAATAAAAAGTATAAAAGATAAAAACTTGAAATTTTAGAATGTTACCCAATATGTTTTTTTTAATTTTTACGAAATTTAAAGTCTCTAACCCCAATAGTTTAGAATTTATAGCCAATTAGACATAATGACACCACAACATTTTTATAAAGACAAAATCTTAAAATTTTAGAATGTTACCAAGTATAGTTATTATTATTATTATTATTATTATTTCCAATAGGATTTATAGCCTATTAGACATAATGTCACCACAACATTTTTATATAAAATTTTAAGTGTACATACAATAAAAAGTATTAAAGATAAAATCTTGAAATTTTTAAATGTTACTAAGTATAGTTTTGTTAAAGTTTTTACAAAATTTGAAGTCTGTAACCCCAATAGTTTAGGATTTATAGCCTATTAGACATAATTTTACCACAACGTTTTTATATAAAATTTAAAGTGTGCTTACAATAAAAACTATAAAAGATAAAATCTTGACATTTTAGAATGTCTCTAACCCCAATAGTTAAGGATTTATAGCCTATTAGACATAATGTCACTACAATATTTTTATATCAAATTTTAAGTGCGCATACAATAAAAAAATATAAAAGATAAAATCTTGAAATTTTAGAATGTTACCAAGTATAGTTTTGTTAAACTTTTAACGAAATTTGAAGTTTTTAACCCCAATAGTTTAGGATTTATAGCCTATTAGACATAATGTCACCACAACATTTTTATATAAAATTTTAAGTGTACATACAATAAAAAGTATTAAAGATAAAATCTTGAAATTTTTGAATGTTACTAAGTATAGTTTTGTTAAAGTTTTTACAAAATTTGAAGTCTGTAACCCCAATAGTTTAGGATTTATAGCCTATTAGACATAATTTTACCACAACGTTTTTATATAAAATTTAAAGTGTGCTTACAATAAAAACTATAAAAGATAAAATCTTGACATTTTAGAATGTCTCTAACCCCAATAGTTAAGGATTTATAGCCTATTAGACATAATGTCACTACAATATTTTTATATCAAATTTTAAGTGCGCATACAATAAAAAAATATAAAAGATTAAATCTTGAAATTTTAGAATGTTAGCAAGTATAATTTTGTCAAACTTTTCATCCAATTTGAAGTCTCTATCCCAAATAGTTTGGGATTTATATTCTATTAGACACCACCAAATTTTATATCAAATTAAAGTATAAAAGTTAAAATCTTAAATTTGTTTTAAATGTTATTTGTATTAAAATAATGAATTATTTAGTGAAAATTATTTTTGATAAATTAAAATATAACTTATTATTTTAAATGCATAATACATATAAATAGATAAATATATATAATTGAATAATAATACGTAATAAATTTGAGTTTACTAGTAGGTACCTCATTATTTATTCAAAAATACTTTGACCTGTAGGTTATATGGGCAACTATTGATTATATTATACTTTTAAATGCATTTAATTACAAACTTAATTTTTTTTGATATTTTAACTTTTATCAATTTAAAAAATGGAACATCAACTTAATCATTATGATATTTGTTTAAAATTTACCAGGTTAAGAATAATTCTGTAAATATTAAAATAGTTTATGTAAAAATTGTAATTATTTAATGATTAATGGGTTTGATATTGTATACTTAAAAATGGCGAAACAACGATATTAATATAAAAAATACCATAACATTTTATGGCGATTATAATTATTAAATTGAAGAAACATAATATTAGGTATGCCACATAAGAAAACTCCTTAAATATTTTACAGTTTCTGCATATGCTGTAAAATACGTGGAATATAATTTTACGATTTGGAAAGTACGCGATTAAGGTAAATATTGAGTAATAATAATTTGTAAATTTTTAGCATATTAATTAGATGGGTTTATTGACCGTTGGTTGTAGAAAATACAATAAGTAAATGTTAAAAAAATAGTAAAATTAAAAGGTCAATTATTATCAATTATAATGGTAGAAGTAATAATTTTTTTAAATTCCCATTTATCTTACAAACACACAACAAAAAGATATGAGTTTCTTTAGCATTTAAAGATTTACAAAATATGCTATTATTATTATTATTAAAATAATAAAATAAAGTAAAAATTGTTAAATTTATTTAAAAAAAGTCATTGCCCATATTTTTACATAAAAAACAGCCAGTCATTTAAAAAATTATTAATTATTTAAGACTTTTATTACCATACATTAATTTGGTTCAGTGACCCATAATTGTAACATAATAGAGCTTTTAAATTATTTCCATATCTTAAATATAATAAATCTGCAATTTTGTAAATGTAAAGGTTTTTCAAATTTACCTTAATTATTCATAAAACTAAATATAAAAACTCAAGGCCACATATTTTTAAAATTTAAACAAAATTAGTATTCCAGATTAAATAATCATTCTTTAAATTGTAAATTCTTATGTTAAGGAAATAATTATTTCCTTATTAATCGATAGGTTTTAAATAAATTGGCAATTATGTTTATAGCCTATAATAGGCTGCCTATTAGACAAAATGTCACAACAAAATTATTATATCAAGTGTGCATAAATTGTTTAAATGTGATTTCTGTACCTTTCAATTTTGGTTCCATTGTTAATAAGCCACAAGTCGCACATAGATCGGGCCACTAAGCTGCCAGCCACTAGCACTAAAAAACCACATTCTGGGGATGTCCACCCTGGAATAATAATTTTAAGCAGTTCCGAGAGCTGCTTGAAGAACTCTTTGTCCACATGAGCCTTTATTTTGTTCTCTTTTTTCTCAGATATCATGTACTTAACCTCCTCTTCAACTTGTTTTATGACTCTTTTCCTAAAACAAACAATAGTAGGTAAATAGATCAAGGCCTACTCACCAATGTTTATTTTGCACCATCATCTGTTTTTTATTTTGCATGGGTTATGCAATAATTAGTAAACATTATAGTAATTATTACCTTTCTAGTTTGTAGGATTTCTGGTTTCTTCTTCTTGCTACCATATAAATTGCTGTCAACGCCCCAGCCGCTGCCAGGGCATTATTTCTGGTGATGAGTTTACTGTAGTTGGGTGCCATTTTTTTAGAAACTCAAAACATTTTCTATTTACGCTAGAAAATAGTGAACAAAATCGGTGTCGACAGTTAAAAAGTAGCAAGAAGAGTGCCTTCGAACTTTGATTGCTGGGAAGAAGCTGCGTTGCCAGACTGCCCATTCAATTTTACAATTGGAAAAATATCCATGGTATATTTTACATTCATTGTTGCCAATTAATTTTACCAATTACTTACAACTTTAAAAAGAGATCCAATTTTTTAAACTAAACATTTTAAAAGTCGCTAAACCACTACAAATACTCTAGAACCCGAAAAAGTATCAGAAAATCAGATAAATATCCTTCAATTAGCGAAACTTATTGCTGTGCAATTCCTTGGTGCAATTGGGCCAATACTTAAAAATGAAATTCCCACAATCTTTAGTTTTCCAGTTTTCAAAGGAAAATATTGAATTATATATCAAAATTTACGTTATATTCTGATAAATTACGTTACTACATTACTTACAACTGTACTTTACCTACAAAATTCCTCTCAGACCATGAAATTCCAAATGTAAGGAATTACACGCAGACTGGCAACACTGTAAATTACATTTTGAGTATATCAGTACATAGGCAACCAAGATGGCAGACTTAAATTGTATGTAAGTCACGCCATCTGTTAGATTCTGATAATTTGTTAATAAAATTGTTATTACAAAATTTATTATAACATTTATTACAAAATTTAACTTATCACAGTGTTTTTACAACATAACAATATTTTCAGCAACTCCTAGATTAAAAAGGAAATTTTCAAGATTTTTATTTAAATTCTTAGATTTTAAATCATCTATTGTTATTAAATTCGAATTATTATTAGCCATTGTTCTAAGAGTTTTTAATATATTATTAGTTTGTTTATCAAGATCCTTATGAAAATCCTCTTCACATATTTTAGTTTCTAATGCTTCCACCAAAAAGTTTGCTATGTTTTTCTGGATCTTTGTCATATTGAAAACATCTGAAATACACAACATGAAATTGTACAAAATGTATATAAATTGAGGAATTACCTTTAGTTCTTTCTGATATGAATATTTCTTTTAAATGCAAATTAACAAATAAATCATACAAATGATCTTTTTTAATCAAAGTCTCATCAGTAGTGCCAGCCAAATAAAACGAATATCCCTGAAATTCAATGATTGGACCAATCAGATTGGTATGTTTTATACATGTTTTTTAAGTACCTACCTTTAAATCTGACCAGTTCTCAATATAAGGTAAAAATAGGTCTTTTAAATTTCGACAAGAAACTAGAGATGCTATTGACATCATTTTCTAAAAAACATTTATATTCACTGTAATATTATCTTACAACATTTACCTCTTGTAATTTTTCTAAATCATCGCAATAAACCAATGTTCTCCTCTTTAAAAGTAAAGAAGTATAAAGTAAAATTGTTTCAATACCAAAATTTTCCACCAGTTCTAAAAATTTGGATGTTGATTTTTTAAGTTGGCAGAACCTATTGCATACACACCTTGCACCTTGGTCTGTTGTTTGAAATTCTTGAGATTACAACTGATCAAGTTACCATTGTCTTGTATTGAACAGCCACCTGAGAGATTTCCGTCTAAATATAGCCTAACAAGGTCTACAGGGTTTTTATTTTTTAAATATTTCCTCATGAGAATTTCGGCGAAAGCTTGGTATTTCCCTAAATTGCAATAATCGGAAATAATGACGAGAGCGTCATTTAAATTTTGCGTCACGTAAATCCAGTGAAAATTTCTGCGTAAACAAAAAAATTTCGAGTTTTTTGACAGTGTGAAACATTTCGACAACAAGTAGTCGCGCATTTCCTCGGTTATTGTAGGATAGGTCCATGTTATGATGTTTTTATTGCCTATTCTTTCTAAAATGAATAAAATAAATAATACTTATGTTAAAATATTAATATGGCTTACCAACTAAGTGAAATGATATTAGATTTTGGTTAGCTAACATCGTAAACAAATAACTAACGAAAAGTGTGTCATGTGATTCATGATTAATAAAGTTGAAGGACAAATTTTGAAATAAATAAAGTTATTTTTTCTAGTTGCCTGTAATTTTAAATAGCGTCAAGTAAGTGGCGCCACCTATGTCATCTTTGTTGAGTTATCGCAGATATTCCATTTTATCCCTTTGAATTTCTGCTTTCCTGTTACGTGAAATTCGAAATATTTTGTCAGTAATTTAAATCAAAATTGGTCGAAATGAAATTTAATGAATGAAAGGAAATAAAAGATCGTTTTATTTATTTCATTTAAAAAATTATATACGGGTTGTACGAGATATTATTTTTTTAGTTTTCTTTTGTTGTGTGTTCAAATTTAGTAAAATTCCGTCATCTCCTTGGATTTCTGAGAGCCTGTCTAAGAAAATGTAAATTATGTGCCAAAAGGATTTGAAATATTTCTGTGGTATTCGTAAAATCGGCGGGAGATTTAAATTACAAGAGCACAAGAGCACAAAATTTAATTTGGTCTGAATACGACTTTATTTTGATTTATTATGATTTTTAGAGGTAATAAAAGACGAATATCATTTTATATTTTTATTGACACATCAACATACAAAACAATAATTAAATACCTAACTAACTCACCTTATGACAACAACAATAATCACAATAAATAGTAAACATATTAACCCTTTCTAAATTTCAACACCAAAACGCTAGTACTAAGGAAAACTAGAATCCAAATAGTAATAGAAAAGAAACCCTGATAAACGACGGGGTTATCAATACTCCAACCCCTCGAAATTATACACCTCATACTTTCCGTGGCCTGCGTCAATGGTAATACGACCGAGATGTATTTCAAATACTGGTTCATCGATTCTATTGGCCAGACGATCCCGCAAAGCATCACTATTGGCAGGAAGCTTCCCAAGGCCATGTATGTGGCCGAACGTTCGTTCTCGCAACAACAAGCAACCACGAAACCTAAAAATACAAATGTATTAGTTAAATTTTCTTTAACCTCATATATCTCTTAAAATATAAATTTTGGAGATTTAAGTTATAGAACCTTTTTTGTAGAAAATTAAATTTCCTACAAAATATGTTCAATATTTTTTTTCTAAAGTCAAGCGTTTACAAGTTAACAGCAAAAAAACAGAAATTTCATGAAATTTCTTACATGATTTGTTTTTTGCGGTTAACTTGTAAACGGTTGACTTTGCAGAAAAAAGTATATGACATATTTTGTAGGAAATTTAGTGTTTTACAAGAAAGTTTATATAAGTGGAATCTCAAAAATGAATATTTAAGAGATAAAAACGGATATTCTTACCGTACGACATTCCACATAAACCACCCAGCAGTGTTAGTGCAATGATTAGGATCCAGCTTCCGTTTTGCGTTAAATTATAAATGATGAAGGCAAAAAAGAGCACGAAAGCAGTTTGACCCACCATCACAACGAATTGCGTGATGACGTGGGAGAATAAGGTCTCCATGCCTGTGATACCGTTAACCAAAGATCTTTCCAGGATTCCTTCGTTTCTTTCCAGCAACATGGCCCCAGATGTGAGGGCCACTGCCATAAAATAGATGATTCTGTGGGAAAGAAAGTGTATAAAAAATAGTATCCCCGTGTACCCTGATAGCACAGTTTATTCTAAGAATGTTTTTTAAATCTTCCAGTGAGAATATTCTTAGGATCATGCTATATTCTTCTAGTCATGTTCTAAGAATGTTTTTTAAACCTTCCAGTGAGAATATTCTTAGGATCATGCTATATTTCTTCTAAAGAACATGCTTAAAAGAAATATAGCATAATCCTAAGAATATTCTCACTGGCCTATAGGCAGGTTCTTAGAAGGTGCAAAGTTTAGTGGTAAAAATTAATCCACTCTAAACATATGCTTAGAATGTTGAGAAAGTAATTGCTATAGAAAGTTCATTTAGGAATATTCCTGGAACATTCTGTTAAGCATATTCAGTTCAGTTAGGTACCTATATAATAGTAAAATATACTATAATCTACGTATAAAGGTACCTATACTTAGTATTAAATACTAAGTAAAAAACACAACCAAAAATATTTTTTTATAGTTATTTGTCAAATTAAAACAATATTCGATAACAAAAATACTTTTACTATAGGTAGGTATCTAAATTATCCGGCTTTTACATAAAATCTTCTATCCAACTTAAATACAATGAAAGATGTTTTTTTAATGAAGAACTATTTGGTTTTTTCTTTTATGAAGAATTATTTTATAAGAAAATATTTTGTTTTTTTTATATTTTATTTTATGTTAAAAATAAATATTTATTAATTTGTATACCGATTTTTTATATCTGAATTAACATTTTTATGTATAATAATCCTAACTATTTTCAACTACAATCTAATCTGACTTATCCCACAAAATTTTCCAATTTTACTTTTTATGAAATAATGTCATACCATTGAGTAAAGTTCTTCTTTACTCAATGGTCATACAACTTATGGTTTAGAGGTCAAATTTTTTATTTAATGTTTTTAAATAAATATACATTAATATGTCGCAAAATTTTTTAAGGGGACGACAAATACATTTCACTGTCATATTATGACAGTGAGGCGTATTTGTCGCCTCCTGAAGAATTTTACGAATGTAGAATCCTACGAAGGTAGAATCCAACATATTAGAACGTGGGTATCTGACATATTTGGAAATATTCTCAAAAGCTTCCTAGAAGCTCCATAAGAAACCTTCTAAGAACATTCTTAAAATGTTCTTAGAATGCTTTTTAGTAAGGTTTTAAGAAGCTTCTAAGAATCTAATTGCATCATTAAAAGGGTATCTATTGAATGTTTTAAAAGTCCCTAAGAACATTCTTAGCAATAAGGGAAGGTTCTAGGAATATTCCATTATTCCGGGTCATATCTTCTTAGAAGATTCTTAAAATCAAATTTTGCCATCAGGGTAAAAAGGTGTACTTACGTTATAATCACTCCTGGAGCTGCAAAGTTGGTGAAATCTGGAACGTTGGATCCATATATAGGGGTATTCCACTAAAAAATAATAAGAAAAATAAATTTAAAGCAAACAGTTGTTAATTGTGAATATTACCCTTATGGGAATTGATGCAATTTCTGGAGGGATCTCACAAGATTCCAGATAACCTTTGAAGAACTTTTCGAAGCCAAAGTACACATCTCTGGTCAAAAAGGTGGCAATATTCTCATCTAAAAATTAATTTACATATTATGTTTACAGATATTTGAATTTTGTCTTACTTGATTTATCTGCATGTATTTCGATAGTAGAAGCTCTAAGGTCCCATTCTGGCACGTCTTTTCCTTCCAACACTCTGGACCTTATGGCGTCTGAAAAGTTTTCGTGTACCAATAACATTCCCCAGGTGTTTCCTCTGACCACGCTATTCCGAGCGCCTTCTTCACTATCAAAATATTCCTGCAATACAACATTTTGAGTTATTTAAATAATGTGCTGTCAAACGAAGAATTTTGATGAAATTTACAGAATTTGTAGCTCCACCTGTCTACTTTATTGTGTTAAAATTTCAACGCAATCAGGTGGTACTTGAATAAGAGCAGATGGAGCAAAATCAATATTGATAAAATTGGCTTACCAGTTTCATAGTATAGTTTTTCTCCAGTGTATCTAAATAGTTACAACTCAGTTTAGTGCTATTACATCCAGGCGTCCATGAGCAATGTTCGTTGGGGTAGTTAATTTCGTTATTAATAACAGACAGTGTTATTCCCTTTGGATCGTGACCGATCGAATAGCAGAAAAGAATGGTTTGCATGACCTAAAAATCAACAATTAAACCAATTTCATTTCACCAAAAAATATAGTTATTGGACAATTAACATGAATACTGTAAAAACAAGAGTTCTATAAATAGTTACCTTAAAGTCAAATCATTAGATGACGCTGTATACAATTATAACTATCTCAGTCGGTAATAATATACAACTACTTTATTTTGGGTCCAATATAGGACAAAAAAGTTCGCACGTTACTTTGGTGGTAAGATTTTTCTTTTTTTATTAAGAGCAGGGCTGTGTTTAAATTACAATAAAAAATATTTCTAAAAAGTGTACAGATCAGTCTGTGGTATAAATGTGTTCCTCATGGTTTAAACATTGTCTCTTTATCATTGGTTGGTAAAAAATGTAAATTTCTATTATTGGACATGTGTCCAATAACTCTATTTGTATCCCGGACATTTACCAGCCAATTCTTATGTAAAATTGTCCCCTGAATCCAAAAAGACCGTCAAAAACTATAAAAGTTGAGTAGTTTTTGAGATATAGTCAACTCCATATTATATGTAAAATTGATTATATTTCAAAAACTGTTCTACTTTTATAACTTTTGACGACATTTTCGGATTCAGCGAATAATATTTCATAGGAATTGACTGCTAAATGTCCTGGATACAAATTGCTGTTGGCGAGAATTATTAGTGGCTGCTTTTCGCTGTGACATTTTTGACTAAGTCATTTTTAGAGAGTAAGTAATATAGTGATTTCTTCGTCACAGGACATCTTGCAGAATAACAGTGATTTAAATACACATAAAATAATTCAATTAAATATTAAAAATATTAGATATATATAAATCATCCTGTTCCGGCCTAAACAATATAAATGCTTCACAAACTTAATGATATTTGCAACAAAATATTTCAGAAGTCAGACCAAGGAATTAGTAGTTACCTTCAGAATCCAGAAAAGGGATGAGGAATCCGAGAAAGAAATATATGAATTATATGATATTTACAAAACGAAATTGTATGTCCAATAACTATGGTCCATACGTTCAATTACTATATAAAATGTCCAATAACTATGTGGTTTACCCTATTAGTACTTACTGGTAAACCGATGATGAAACACATAACAGGAGCATTCCTCCACATCCACAAGAAGTTCTTCCAAACCAAAGCTTTCATATGACTGAACTTCACTATGCTTAGGTAGTCTTTGAAGGTTTTTGGGGGCTCTTCTTCTGGTGGCAACTCTGGCTGGATGACTTCAGTGGGTTCAGGGGCAATGGAGACTCTCCCTGAAGATATCAAAATGTTTATTTTGGTTCATTCAACGATTTTGGAGAAGTCCTGATGAAGAAAGTGGATGTCTTGGTTGGATTTAAAATATAGAACCCACTTTCTTCATCAGGAGAAGATGCTACTCTACAACGCAGATGCATGATAAAAGAAGAGAAAGGAAGTTACTTGGCAGTTTGTTACCTCCTCTACTGGACATAGACACATTGTCACCGAATTCTCCCGATATTTCGCAGACCTCTCCCTCATCAATGACGGCTGCTTCGTTGATTGCACCAACCGGAACCGTAATCACGTCGGTAACGCTTTGCGAGATGCTAGAACGTCTTCGTTTGCCCCTGTTCTGCATCACGGACAGCTTCAAGAAAACGTCTTCCAAACTGTCACAGCCAAAGTTTCTTATCAGTCGTTCAGGAGATTCTTCTGCCAAAAAGTAGCCTCCACGCATAAGTCCAATCTTAATTAAGAAATTATTGTGTTAAAAATTAATATCTGCACTGTTTGGTGATGGTCACCAAATAGAGATATCTCCATTGAGGGTCCCTTTATTGTATACATTCTTCAAACTTTGATTTTGAATATTCAATTTTTTTGAATTACCCTATCTCCATCCCTAACCCCGGCGCATTCGCCATTTTTGTAACAACATTTGTGGAGCAATCAGACAAAAGCAGATAAATCCAGTTTTCGGCCATTCCAAGCCCATGGACAGGACACATCAGAAACATGTCTAAATATATTCTTGTTACTTCCTTAAGTTTACTTATTTTTTCTACGAGTATTTATGAGAAGTATTAGCCAAATTTGGCTAATACTTCTCATAAATACTCGTAGAAAAAATAAGTAAACTTAAGGAAGTAACAAGAATATATTTAGACATGTTTCTGATGTGTCCTGTCCATGGGCTTGGAATTGATATAGAATACCGGTGTCGAAACCTAGCAAATCAAGCAAAAGCAGATAAATCCAAATTAATACAATTTAAATTCTTGTTTCAATAAAAATAAAAAAAATCACATTATTGTTATTTTAAATTAACTTAAATGGCATTAACATTTTTCTGATTAATACTGGACCACCCTGTATAGGTCAATGGATAAAACGGTTTTTTTATTCCTATTTCAAGCAAATGGAGATAAATCCTGTCAATTCAAGCAACACTGGATAAATCCATTTTGGTTTTTTACTATAACACATGATGCAGGTGGACAAAAATAAAAAAATGAATTTTAAGGTCTTATAACACTATACTCTATAGAATTCATGGGTTGTTCTTTGTGAAAATGTTACAGAACGAAAAATATTTGTTTTTCGCTGATAACTCGAAACTGCTTAAAAACGGATTTATCTGCTTTTGTATGATTGCTCCACATTTATTCACTTCGAGTTCAAGTTGGGTTGGCCAGTAGGTATTATAATAGTATATTAAAGAACTAATGTCGTAACCCTGATAGCAAAATTTGATTCTAAGAATCTTCTAAGAAGATATGACCCGGAATAATGGAATATTCTTAGAACCTTCCCTTATTGCTAAGAAAGGGACTTTTAAAACATTCAATAGATACCCTTTTAATGATGCAATCAGATTCTTAGAAGCTTCTTAAAACCTTCCTAAAAAGCATTCTAAGAACATTTTAAGAATACTTTTTTGGAATATTCTTAGAAGGTTTCTTATGGAGCTTCTAGGAAGCTTTTGAGAATATTTCCAAATATGTCAGATACCCACGTTCTAATATGTTGGATTCTACATTCGTAAAATTCTTCAGGAGGCGACAAATACACTGTCATGATATAACAGTGAAATGTACTTGTCGTCCCCTTAAAAAAATTTGCGACATATTAATATATATTTATTTAAAAATATTAAATAAACAATTTGACCTTTAAACCATAAGTTGTATGACATTATTTCATAAAAAGTAAAATTTGGAAAATTTTGTGGGATAAGTCAGATTAGATTAAAGTTGAAGATAGTTATGATTATTATACATAAAAATGTTGGGTAATTCAGATATAAAAAATCGGTATACAAATTAATAAATATTTATTTTTAACATAAAATAAAATATAAAAAAACAAAATATTTCCTTATAAAATAATTCTTCATAAAAGAAAAAACCAAATAGTTCTTCATAAAAAAAAATTTTTTCATTGTATTTAAGTTGGATAGAAGATTTTATGTAAAAGCCGGATAATTTAGATACCTATAAAAAAAGTATTTTTGTTATCGAATATTGTTTTAATTTGACAAATAACTATAAAAAAATATTTTGGGTTGTGTTTTTACTTAGTATTTAATACTAAGTATAGGTACCTTTATACGTAGTTTATGGTATATTTTACTATTATATAGGTACCTATCTGAACTGAATATGCTTAACAGAATGTTCCATATCCCTAAATGAACTTTCTATAGCAATTACTTTCTCAACATTCTAAGCATATGTTTAGAGTGAATTAATTTTTACCACTAAACTTTGCACCTTCTAAGAACCTGCCTATAGGCCAGTGAGAATATTCTTAGGATTATGCTATATTTCTTTTAAGCATGTTCTTTAGAAGAAATATAGCATGATCCTAAGAATATTCTCACTGGAAGGTTTAAAAAACATTCTTAGAACATGACTAGAAGAAATATAGCATGATCCTAAGAATTTTCCCACTGGAAGGTTTAAAAACATTCTTAGAATAAACTGTGCTATCGTCTTAAGACGTCACGAGTGCGACAAAAGGTCTTATGACATGAGTTCTTTGTGCTATTTTATCTATTTTGCAAAAATTCTATAAAAAAGTTAATTTTATACCTTAAATTTAATTTGGTCGAATTTTACTTTAGATAGTTGGTATCACAGTCATTGGTTTGACAGTTAATGTCAAAATCGATTCGCCATGCCGTCCTTAATTTATTTATTTACAATAAGCTACTGTTAATGTTAAAGAAAAAGAAAGGATTTTCTTTGGTGTTAAATAAAATTTATTGCCAGAAAAGTCTCGTAAGTACTAGAAAAATCATAAAAATATTATAACCAATATGCAAAATATTATGCTGTTTAAAGTATAGCCAACCTATAAAATTAAAATTTTGGGTGGGATAAAGTACCTCATTAAAGCACCGCAAAATAATAATAAAATTTAAATTAATTTCAACCATTTACTTGAAAATAAAAAATCTACAAGATCTGTAAGACTCAACATAAATTAAAAAAATACAAGATAGGTACTAAAAACGTATATGTATACAAAATGTCATCAACATTAAAACTATTATAATTTAAATAAAATATGTACAACTGTTTATCCTGTAAACATAATTAGCCAAGTCAAGGATGGAAAATAAATACAAATTAAATATTTATTACATAAATGATTGTATATTTAGCTGCAATGACAAATTTACATCGAAAACTACTTAGAACCTTCAATTAAATTATTAAAAAACAAACAATTAATTATAATTTATTTTAAACATATTAGATATTGTAGGCAAATAACCATTAAATTTAAATTATAAAATACTTATTAAAAAACATTTTTTCATGAAATTTGAAAACACCCTGTATATTTTTTAATGAAATATTTTAACAGAGGATTATTTATAATGTATATATTATGTATCAAGTTTGATAAATGCCATTTTAGTCACCAAAAATCAAAACAAAAGGTCACTTAGTGTCATGGAAACATGTATAATAATAGGTGTCTTAAAGGTAGGAGTAAAAAAAATAAATAATATTCCAGTTATTAAGTATAACTGCTATGCTTTTAATGAAATAAATTGCTTTTAGCAAAAAACAATTTGTTATTCAATCTTCGTTATTTGTGTCCAGTTTTTAATTTTATTTTGGAATAGTCAGCTTAATATCAACAACTTTTGGTTTCAACATTTTTAACAAAAATATCAAGCAACAAAGATAAACAGGTTTAGGTATATAAAAACATACGAAGGTCAATAATTCAAAAACAAAAGCTTGACTGCAAAATTAACTAATAATCAAGATTTTTTTATTTTTAGTTTTTAACGTTCTTTTTAGAAAAAATACAACAAAAATTCAATCATGTTTTATAAAATTATTCGGTGAAAATAATTATTAGGTACTATGATTATGTTTTGGTTGCTATTATTAAATAATAATATTAATTTATTGCACCTAATAGATACTTACCAAAATTATTTTATTAACTTGCCATAAATCAATACATTATCAAAGACAAAATTAAAGGAGACCAAGGCAATCTTCATTTATTAATGTGAAGTAACCTTAATTAAATATTTTTTACTTTATTTGTTTATTAACATTTTGTAATTAAAAATAAGGTAATATAAGATCTCTGTAATGCCTAAATTAAGTATAAATTATTAAAATTTAAAAGTGGAATAAAATTGTAAAATTTAAATCCTCGCTTCAGAATCTACTTATTATTTCCAAGTATAAAAAATATTCTTGCTTGATGCATTTTAATGGGATAAAAACAAAAGAATTTGTATAAAATTAAGGAAAACTTTTTCTTTTTAAGTGTAGGCAAGGTTAGAATTATTTGCGTTTTATTCCATTAAACTATCATGATGCATTGATGTTGTTAACTTGTCGTTTTTTATTATTCCAAGGCAAAGCTTCCAATGTTTTGTTGAATGTTATGCAAAAAATATTATTGCCCACTTTTGATAAACAAATATTAGAAATATTCCACAACTTCGCTTCTGAAGATGCCAACAACTTTAACTTGTTATTAGTGGCTGCTTTTTCACTTGTACCATGGTTAACCATGGAATACCATGGTATTCCAAAATTTAACAGCCATATCTTATGTAAAATTTTCCGCTGATTTCTAAAATGTCGTCAAAAGTTAAAAAAGTAGAACAGTTTTTGAGATATAGTCGATTTTCCATTTAATATGGAATTGACTATATCTCAAAAACTGCTGCACTTTAATAATTTTTGGGATTCAGGGGACAATTTTACATAAGAATTCATGGTCATTTTATGGTTAACCATGGTACAAGTTAAAAAGCAGCCACTAAAACTATTAAATTAGTCATTTTTGACTAATTCATTTTTAGAGAGTTGGGTTTGTCTAAGTATCACTTTTGATAGTTAGGAATTTGACATGGTCAATAAAAGTCAACATAATTTCACTTACCAAATGGGCCTGCCTGGTCTCATCTATATAATGGGTGGTTATAATAACCGTAGTTTTACCACCTTTGGTAATGTCGACTAGATGTTTCCAGATGTTCTGTCTGAGCAGAGGGTCAACTCCAACAGTGGGTTCGTCCAGGATCAGAAGTTCAGGCTCGTGGACCAATGTGGCGGCCAACGAGACTCTTCTTTGTTGACCCCCGCTAAGATTCTTCACTTGTCTGTCTGCGTGTGGCAGCATCAAAAAGTCTATGTAGAACTGCAATCTTTCTTCCACTTGCTCTGTGGTTAACCCTGATATCCAACCGAAGTATTTGAGGGTCTCCCTTATGGTGAATTCACCGTACAAAGCGATTTCCTGAAAATGTGATTAAAATAGTATACAGGGTGTTATGTAATTAATGTTATATATTAAAATGGGTTGTTCCTTAGGGTCCATAAAGAAGCACCTGAAACTTTTTTTTTCTAAATTCCATGTCTAAAAATAATTTATAATAACCTTTATCTTACCAAAAAGTACGCCACTGATCGACTAGGAACTTTAGGTTAATCTGGTGGATTTATTATGTTATGGTTGGTAACAACAGTTTTTCCAAAATCTCTCAAAAAAGTCGACAAACATTGTTTAAATTTAGCTTAATTACAAAAATGACAAAATTAACAATGCAAATTGTCAATTTGGCGTTTTTATTAATTGTTGGTTATTTCATTTTTGTACTGAAGGTAAATTCAAACAAAATCTGCCAACTTTTATGACAGAATCTAGTGCATTTCTTTTAAATTTTAGATTATGTTTTCAAATTGTAAATATCTTAACTAAGGGAAGTGCTTTTGGATTTATTTACACAAATTAAATGTTTAAAGTTTAACCTGTGAACTGGTCCCAATTTCATCTGAGTAAACAGAGAAAAAAACTGATGAAAAAATTAATTTTGTGGTTATGGATTTCAAATTTCAAAGGTACTAAATTTTCTAATCATTGCTTAAGCTAATAGCTGGATCAGTAAATAAATACAGAAGGGTATTAGAGCTTTAAGGGCATAAAACTTTTGTATTTATTGAGTTTTTATTTATTTTTTGCAAGAAAAATTTTTAGTAACAATTTTTTACATCTGGCAACGCATAGCTACTTTGTTGGTTGGTATCTATGTACTCACAAAATACAGGTGTGCAGAGATAAGCAAGTGTGTAACCAGTGGCGTATCACAAAAAATATAAAAAACTTCTAATGCATATTTCTTCTTTATCTTTGGAAAAATGTTTTTTTAAATATTTTTCCTTTATTCCTTATGTCAAAAGGTATTCAGTATTTTAATATATAACATTAATTACATAACACCCTGTATTATGTATCAAGTTATTAATAATTAATTAATGACATCAATAAATATATTTTAAATTAGTTGATAATTAAATAAAACATAGTCAACAACTGGAAAATATGCCTGTAATTATAGTTATAGATGACCAATATTTATATTAATAATTATTAAATTACATATTATAAATATAAAAATAATAAAATTATTGTTTTCTTACCTAAAAACAACTTTGTTTACCACTTTAAATTTAAAATTCAAGAACATCTTTTTGTATTACCTGAGGCATGTATCCTATTCTAGGTCCTGGAACTCCACTACCTCTAGATCCAGGGGTACCACCCAAAACCCAAATTTCCCCTGAATTAAGTCTTTTTCTTCCTACAATACAATTAAGTAATGTGGTCTTTCCGCAACCACTGGCTCCTAATAATCCATATCTAAAATAAGCAAACAATATTAATATAAACTATATTTTTTGTTTAAATTTAATGCAAAAACTTTAAAAACTTAATAAGGAAATTGTTTAGTAAAAAAATTAATTAATGATAAAAATCAAATAAAAAATTAACATTTCAGCGAATTATTCCAAGAAATCAAGGATAATTTTTGTTGTTATTTTGGATGAGGTTGCAATGAGTTATTTATTAAAAGTAAAGAAAAGTTTATTTATAATAAAATGTATAAAAGCGACTTGACTCTATGCCCGGTACAGGCCAACTCTTTTACAAAAAGGTCCTTATTAAGTAAGAATACTGTCTTACTCTAAAGTGGCACTTGTGTGCATAAAACCATCTGTGAAAGGTTTTATGACACTTGTTTCACTACTATCTTATCTAACTGAGGGTTGAGTTTTCTATAAGTATTATTGACATGTAAAGAACTGCAATTAATCTTAACAATTTTTAAATGGGTATTAAAACAAGGTTTTAGGCAATATAAATTTTGTGACAACGGATTTAAGTTTGAAAATTTGTATGAATCATCCAAAATTTAATATCATATTTTGTATTGGTCAAACTAAAAAATAAGCATTTTGCCATGAGAATAGATTTTGATCGCAATATATGAATTTTGATCATGGGCCTAAAAATGATTTGTATTTTTATAAAAATTTATGGATTTTGATCACATGCTCAAAATGCTTGTTTTTGTCTAAAACACACTTTGCAATGGTTTTGAAAAAATTATGAATTTTAATCACATGCTCAAAATGCTTGTTTTTGTCTAAAGCCAACTTTGCAATGGTTTTGAAAAAAATATGGATTTTGATCAAAATTTATGGATTTTGATCATATGCTTAAAATGCTTGTTTTTGTCTAAAACCTACTTTGCAATGGTTTTGAAAAAATTATGGATTTTGATCACATGCTCAAAATGCTTGTTTTTGTCTAAAACCAACTTCATGATGATTTTGAAAAATTATGGATTTTGATCATATGCTCAAAATGCTTGTTTTGGACTAAAACCAACTTTGCAATGATTTTGAAAAAATTATGGATTTTGATCAAAATTTATGGATTTTGATCATATTCTCAAAATGCTTGTTTTTGTCTAAAACCAACTTTGCAATGATTTTGAACAAATTATGGATTTTAAAGATATGCTAAAAATGCTTGTTTATATAGGTAAATCTAAATGTAAGTTTTTCATAAAAAAATGGTAATTGCCTCTCCTTGTTTTTGTCTAAAACAATCTTTAGCACGATTTTTGTTAAATTATGGATTTTGATCGTACATAATTTTATGGATTTTGATCACATGCCCAAAACGATTATTTTTGTCTTATTAAACCAGCAAAAATAGAGGTTGTTAAATTTTTTTTTGGAAGGAAGCTTCTCAACTTACATACAGCCTTTTGGTACAGTCATATTAAGCCCGTCCAGGATGACGTATGGGCTACTTTTGGTGCCATATCTTTTGTGCGCCCTTCTGACACATACGGCTTGCTGTCTTCTTGTCTGCACTGTCGACATTTGATTTTTGAACTGCCTACGACGCAGCTCGAGGTCACTAGGACCCTCAGTCATTTTGAATGGGGTTTACCACCTGAAAATTTTTAACAATCAAATAATAAATTAGTACAAACACAACATAATGTTATACCTTGACAAACGTATTATAATAGTCAAATAAACGTCGTCATAAAATATCTTAATACATAATTGTGAAATTTCTGTTTCTAATAGGCATTTAAAGCCTTGAATATTATTAATGGACTAAGAAATATTATCTAATGACCTTATACAAGATCAATGTCTGTTGGTTTGCAAATCATTACCTTCTCAAGAATTATTTTTTTAAGGAATAAATTAATTATATTCTATATTAAAAAGTTTTGTAACTACGAATACAAAACATGGATTTTAATCAAAATGTTTGAAACAAACTAAAAACTAATTTTTTTAAGTTACGGATTTTGATCGTACAAAATGCTTGTTTCCGTCAACAATCAACTTTGATAATTTTGAAAAAATTATGGATTTTGATCATATGCTCAACATGCTTGTTTTTGTCTTAAACCTACTTTGCAATGGTTTTGAAAAAATTATGGATTTTGATCAAATGCACAAAATGCTTGTTTTTGTCTAAAACCAACTTCGTGATGATTTTAAAAAATTATGGATTTTGATCAAAATTTATGGATTTTGATCATATGCTCAAAATGCTTGTTTTGGACTAAAACCAACTTTGCAATGATTTTGAACAAATTATGGATTTTAAACATATGCTAAAAATGCTTGTTTAAATATATAGGTAAATCTAAATGTAAGTTTTATATTTATAAATATGTTTAGCAATAATTTATTGAGTAAACTAAACAATATTTCATAGAAAAATGGTAATTGCCTCGAACTCTACAACCAAACGACTAGGTACTACTACTTTCTAATAGGTATTAGGACATAAGATTAAATCTTTAACATTTTAATAAAAATTAAAAATTGATAATGCTTGTAAATTAAGCAACATAAACGTAACAAAACTAAATTATAATAAATTACCTTATTTATGATAACTATCTTCATAATTACCACTAGCCAATAAAGCAAAATTTACTTTTTAAACACAAGTGATGACTCATTTTGTAAAAAATAATTTGCTACGTTCCATAAACTAATGTTACATAATTTAATTTCTTTTATTATTACAGTTGTTTTTACTAAAACCGTTTCGAGTCCATCTTACTTAAGTTATTTAGTCCAAGGTTAATTTTACACTTTCGGTTTCAATTATTATTTTAGGAAAATTGATGCAACGTATTTTATAAGAAATACGAATTAATAATTTATTTAGTGGGTTATTCACTAACATATATAATAAGTAAGAAATTATTATTTGGGATAATGTAATTTCCTGTCACCAATATCCACGCAGAAAAACAATATATGGATATTGGTTTAAACTTGACCTTTTCGTATTTTAAGTAGACATAAGTAGGTAAATAATAGTTATAGAGAATAGTTGAGTTCTTAAAAATATTTGAAAAAACACTAAAAACCTTTTTTTTTTAAATTATGTATTTTTATCAAAAATTATGGATTTTGATCACATTCTTAAAATGTCTGAAACAATCTTTGGCACGATTTTTGTTAAATTATGGATTTTGATCGTACATAATTTTATGGATTTTGATCCTATGCTCAAAACGCTTGTTTTTTTCTCAAACCAAAGGATTGGATTTTGATTATAGGCTTAAAATGCTTTTTTGTCTAAAAAAACTCCGAGGATTTCTTTAAAATTATGGATTTTGATAAAAATTTATGGATTTTGATCATAGGCTTAAAATGCTTGTTTTTGTCTAAAACCCAACATTGTGATAATTTTTAAAAAAATTATGGATTTTGATCAAAATTTATGGATTTAAAACAAACTACCTATGTCATGATTTTGACCACATGTTTAAAATAAAAAAAAACTAAATTTTGGAATTGGTCAAACTTGATTTGCGAATTAGTTGAATGAATATTTTAAAATATTCTTTAATGTAACTAATTGTTTAATAATTATTAAAAATTAATTAATTAAGCATTGCTAAAAAATAAATTGCAAAACAAAATTTGTTTTTAAAATATTGGGAAATCATTTTACGAAATCCTCAAAATTAGCGGTAGTTAAGCAATATGTTTACCTGGTTTTTCAAAAGTAACAATAATATAATATTAGGTATGAAACATTCACCTTTATTTGTTGTTGGTAAGTTTACTACTAACCGTTGGAAAAATATGGTTCGATTATTATGAATAATTAATTCTTTAAGTACTTTTGATTGATTGGTGCGCACAGTCTTTTTTATAATATTTATTTACGATTGTATGACATTTGAAATCTGTTAACTAATTTAAAGCTTACTTCAGCCCGTGACTAAAATGCCATAAAGTGACGAAATTAATTAAAAGTAACAAAAAGCTTTTTGGCATGGCCATTGTCAAAGACTCATTGAACATTAAGATGTGACAAGGTTATAAAAAACAAAATATTTAAAAAAATTATAGGTATACCTACATTATAATGCGTTAAGGTGTGTCATTATTTTTTAATAGATAGATAAAAATAAGTAATAGGTACCTAAATTACTAAAAATAAAATTTAAATAGGGTAAAACAAAGTTCATTTATTATCCATAAAATTATTGCATGTGCACATGTATTACATTAAAACCAAGGCAAGAAATATAGAGTTTATTTAATTAATATGTGACAAAAGCAACAGACTGAACTTAGCTCTAAGTTAAAATTGGAAAAAAGTTGGGTTAAAACTGCTTGACAGTTTTAAGATGTCAGATAAAGGTGGCTCTGAATTTCTTGCGAATAAAACATTGTGTGCGACTATTGGCCAAAAAAAGAAAAATATATTTTTTGTTCAATCAAACTCCAATGGACAACTTCTTGTCTATGTAAGACAAAAATGACGAAACATTGTATCTTGGTTTTTCAAAATAATTTGATATTTTTTTTTCGGGAAATGAAGGTTACTTTAATTTTCTCATATCGACATTATTCACTATTAACTTAAATGATAAAAACAGTTTTGAATAATAGAATCATTAAAGTTTTTTTATTGACCTCCATGTTAGATATCTACAAACCCATTATAATAAGTAGAAGAAAACTTTGAAACCATTAAAAAACGTTTAAATAAATGTGTAGGCTCCAAATTGCCTTAACATGGAAAAACATTGCCAATTGACATTAAGTATTTCTGAAGAAATTGCAAAAACCATCAAAAACATTTAAATTGATTGTAATATGACCAAGGGACTTAATAACGAATTGGTAAAAATTTGTATTATATAACCCGTTTTAATATTCAATCAACTTTTTTATCAAGCAACGCCTTGTATACCTGGTCAGCCAAAAGGCATTTAAAAAATGTTTTAAACCGGATTCTCAAAAACCAGCCCAATTTTAGTAACTACCATAGACCTTGAAAAACAGGAATTTGCTAACATCTTTTATTAAAGTTTTATAATTTATTTGGGTTTAATTTTTACAAAAAATTGTATTTAGTAAACGGTTATTGTGTTTATTATTCATGGATTTTTTATTTTGGTATTAACAGGATCAAAAAACTATATTTTTATTCATTGACGTCATTGGTAAAATTCCCTGAACAAAAAGCTTAGAATTCTAATGATTTTTATATTATATCTTATTCTACAAAAATAAACCAAATTATTATTAGACTAATTATTAATTAAGGGGTAAATATTGATATTTTAATTACATGCATTTAAAACCCAATTAGTCTGCAGGTAAATGTATACTAAATATTGTAATGTACCATCATTTAATGCAAATATTGCTGCAATGAAGTCATTACAAATTTAAAGAGATAATGATGTCTAGGTACTATTATTTGCTATTGTTGTAAGCTTTGATTTGGTTGGCAGAACTGAAGACATGTTTTATTTCGATGTTTTAAGTTGTAATATTAAGTAATTTAACGAGGTGGCATTACCTAATTAGGTAATGTTGTATTTTTTGTTGGTACATTTATTCTATTATACAAATAATGCAAAATTTGCAACATTAATAAGGGTGTTCAAATTTTGCTACTTTAGCTTAATCAATTTTTAAAATATATTGTATATACAACATAATAATAATAAAAATAATTTTATTTTGACATTTATTTTATCTACAATTTGACGATAGCAATGGATCTAAAAGCTTGTTACTATATGAATAATAGTATTTTTTTTCTGCCTAGCCATTTGTGGATGTTTTGCAAGGCTAGCCGTAAAGAGACAGTTACATTCAACTTTATTAAATAGTAGAAAGAAAAAACGTAATATTATTATTTTTTCAATTATGTATAACTAGTAGCTACTGTGTTAGCGAAACAATTGTCAAATTAAATTAAAACATAGTTTGTTTTTTATCTAGTCATACATTAGTGACAATAATTTTTCAATTAAATACTTAACATTGGTAATGTAGCTATGGGACCTAACTTAATGTTTGTAACAAAATACAATTGTTTTTAGCCTATATTTGACAATTTAACACAACAAATTAATACTTGGTAAAATCGGACAAAAATTGTTCTTAAAACAGTTTTTGTCGCCAATCGCAGATTTTTAGTCGCATTGCCAGTTATCAAATCGCCCAACCTGGCAACACAGCACTTTTAAATTTGTCTAAAAACGAAATATGCAATAACTTAATGGTTGTTTAATTTTTTTCATATCACCCCAGATTTATCTTATAAGTTAAGTGGTAAAGTTATTTTTTTAAATTAATAATTCAAGTCTAATATCAATGTAGGCAATAAAATTAAAAAATATTATTATTATAGAATTAATACTGTTTAAAATGCTTGAAATTAGAATGCTTGTTTTTGTCTAAAAGCAACTTTGCAATGATTTTGTAAAAATTATGGATTTTGATCAAAATTTATGGATTTTGATCATATGCTCAAAATGCTTGTTTTTGTCTAAAACCAACTTTGCCATGCTTTTGAAAAAATTATGGATTTTGATCATATGCTTAAAATGCTTGTTCTTGTCTGAGACTAACTTCGTGATGATTTTAGAAAAATTATGGATTTTGATCATATGCTATTTTTTTATTAATTAATAATTCAAGTCTAATATCAATGTGGGCAATAAAATTAAAAAATATGTATAGAATTAATACTTTTTAAAATGCTTGAAATTAGATAAAAATCGTTATTATTTTAATTTTTATAAAATAAATATTTTCATTTTGTATGCCTAAATTTTTTTTCAAAATACCATAATTAATTATATTTTAATTTTAATAAATGGTATTCTAAAGAAATAGATTGTAAAAATTTGTATTCATTATTTAAAACATAAAATGATTATTGGGCAAATTTTTGTACTATAGTTCATCGACCATTATGTAAATATCAGCATTTTTCAACAATTTTTAATTTTTTTTAAAATTTTATAAATAAAAATTTAGACTTACACTAAAAAAATCTACTTAAAGAAAAACCAAACTCCCCCAAAGTATGCACTTCACAAACAAAAAAAACTCACATGTACCTACACCACCGATCGCGAAAATTTAAACATGCACACCTGTTTGAAAGTACGAAGACTAAGCGTATCAGCGAACCTTTGCTATACGGTCTAGATCCTAAAGTGGGGGCTGTCACCTTCAATTCGCAGACGCATCAAATAAGAAAAAAACTATAATTAATGCTACCCGAAAGTAAGTTTATATCTGTCAAGGTAAAAGGTTAAAAAAAACAATTTAAGCAATTTTATTGATTTTTTTTCTTTTAATATTATATCATCGTTAAATGTCCCCTTTCTCCAGTATTTTTTTGTTGTAATTTAACTTTGGAAAGTTTATGTAATTCCTAAAAAAGCTTAATTTTTGTAGCTGCCATTTTGCCAATACAAAAGTAAAATTTTTAATAATTTATGGGTGATTCTACAAAAGTTAGACAACTGGATGTCATCAGTCAATAGAGTAAGTATTTTAAAATTTTTTGAAAATATTTTTGTCCACCAAATTTTAATGTATTTTTTTCAAAAGCACGTTTGTAGAAAAACATAATAAATATTCAAAACATCAGTGTCACAACTCCTGAATAAAATATTTGAGTGATTTTATTTTAAAATATATTCAATTTATCTTAAATTTTTCAATTTCACTACAAACTATAAAACATTAAATAAAGTATTTTTCATATTTTATCAAAGATGCGAATAAAAGCAATTTATAAAAAAATGATAATCTTTGTTATGTGTCCAATGATAAAATTCAAAATTCCTGAAGTTTAAACGACAAGTCCTCGTTTTAACTCAAGTGTTGGTACAAAATTACCTACAGAGTCATCTTGAAAACAATGCAAGCGGCGAAGTTGTGGTGAATGCACGTATACCCAGTCAAAATTTCAGTACTGTGGTGAGTAGTTATTTTCTTACGTATATATATTTCATTGTAATTTATATAAAGCTATATGTGATTTGTTAATAAGTAGCATCCATGGAATTAAGTATTTTACTGATATTTTTTATTAGTGCACTAATAAAAAATATCAGTAAAATACTTAATTCCGAATTATAATCTCAAATTTGTATCCCATTCATCAGTACCGTGTCGTCAGTTCCATGTTCGATGTTTCGGTTATCTTTTTTTCGCAAACTTTAATTTAAATTCTGCTTATTTAATGTCATTATAAACTCATATAAATTTGGTGTGGGTCCCATATCTAATAATTGAGATATCGGTATACCCAAAATCCACCAGCCGCCACTGATGTGTGGTATTATTTGATTTTAAGATATTTAATGTATAATATGCTCAAAGTTGCAATAAATCTTATATTTTCCAATAAATAATGTATTTAATTAGTACCCTTGTATACTCGTCACTTCCCTAGCACTCAAATTTAGAAAACACAGATGTTTCAGAAACTGTTTGAAAAAGTGACTGGCCCGGTCTGGAACAGTATATTTATTGTAATATCTATTTTCTCATAACAAAATACTGTTTAATTTTCTCCGAAAACTATATAAACAAAATGAGGTCAAAAGTTGCCCAACTTTTGTAGAATCACCCTTATATTAAAATTAAGGCTTTCATTAACATTTTATGTCCCTCTGAACTATTTCTTTGTAGTTCTGCAAACAAATTAATTATAATTATTTAGTCAATACAAAATATGCAAAAAACAATATTGGGCCATAAGTATACTATAGTACCTAGTTTAACATATTATTGCTTTAAAAATGTAGGGATAAACCTAAAACGATATCAGCCATGCATTGCCCACCGCTGCTAGAATATTTATTTAAAACCCGAAAAATATTGTAACCTCATTAAACAAGACTTATTATACTTGGTATCAAATTACAATTAAAAACTGAAAGCAGGTAATTTCTTAAATTAAGAATAGATTACAATAAATTTAATACAGGCAATTTTAACTCAACAAAAGTATATAAATTAGGTACATACAATGAACTTTAACTGTCATTAATATTTTGTAATTTTGCGGTTTTTATTATTTAAGTTATATTTTGTAATTAGTATTGGAAAAGTAATTGAATAAACATTTTATGTAAATTACAGTAATTATTTTAAAATTTAATAAAGCTAAATACTATAGACCTGAATAATAAAAAAATGTTATATCCATGGGTCCATTTTTAATTTTTAATTTTTAGCTGTTTTGGGCATAAAAAATCATTAGGATTTTATTTTTATTCTAATTAAATTGAATTGCATTTTAAGGGATCAGGGCCGTAGGCAGAAAAAAATCGGGGTGGGGTTTGATTTAATTTTATCAAAACCAATAAAAACACATTTTAAATCTCCTGACTCCCCTGGTAAAGCCCTTGTTAGGAATGTTTATAATATGGATTATGGTCATAATACTGAGTGTGAAATTTACAGTTAATAATACACATTTTATGGTTTAAAAATTTATATACATGGGTATAGTTTCTTTATCATCAAATTATGTATGCATTTTGGAAATGTAGTTGAATCAAATCATTCCTTTATTGATTGGGGAGCTTGTGTGGGTACTGAAAAAAAAATAATTACACTATAATTAAATATAAATATAAATATATTAAGGTAGTAATTTTCAATAATTACAAAATATTTTTACATATTTTAATTAAAATTGCAAAAAATATATAAAAACTCTACTTTGAAAAACTACTTCTAGTTTTTTTAATCTAAAATACATAAGAACTTAACTTGTGGATCGTTGTGTTTAACATTCAACAATTTATATGTAAAACTATAATTTAAAATTTTTCCCTTTCCTTCCCTACTCTATATTGTTAAACTCTAATTACCTGCCACACATTTTCCATCTGTACAAATCAACCCCTCATCGCAGTATATAGTTGGTGGAGGTCCTCCAATAAATGGAGAAGGTTGAGGACATTGTTCTCCTTCTTCTACAAAAAATAAAATAAAATTGAATACGATTTTTATTTATAAATACTTGGATTTCCCAATTTTTTTTAACGTCATAAGCCTTGATTGTTCAATGCTTAGAATAAAAAACAACAGGAAGGAGTCTTGTCATTCTTTAGCCGTACTAAAATTACGACGGAAGTCGGCCATTTGCAAGCTCCAAATTATGACACATTTGTGATGCTATATTTGTCAAAATTAAATGTTTTATGTGTTTGTCGGTGTTTTATGTTGTTTTTCTGGTTAAATTAACTTTAAATCAGCGTTTCATTGTTTCTAGACAATATTGTATTTGATATATTCTCGTTTAAGTGTAAATATTTAAAGTTTAAGATATAAATATTAGTGTTTAAGGTGTAAAAACAAATTATGGTTAGTTGTGCAGCTTGTGGTTGCTCCTTGAGCACAAAAATTAAAAATATTCATTTACATTTCATAGGTGAGTATTTTGGTTAACGTTTAATTTATTTACCTATTGTATATTTTAAAATAATTAGTTGTAAATATTAAACATAAATCAATGTCAAATAACGTAACCTTAGAACATAACCATAACCTAAGAACGTCACCATCATAGAAAAAACCATAGGCGTATCATATTTTCTGATACTAACCTAATTATTATAAAAATTAAACTTCAATTGTATTTACTACGCCACTGTCAAACGGAAACAACTATCCGCCATATTGAAGCTCCACTTTGGACCCAAGGTCATTTATTAAATGCTCCTTCCTGTTGTTTTTTGTTCTAAGGTTCAATGTAATATTTGGAATCTCCAAATTATACTAACAGATCTTACAATAATAAAATTTGCTGTTTCGTAATGATATATCACCTGTAGGTTTGCAGAATAAACAAATTAAATAATACGACAAATTTCATTATATTTTGTGAAAAACCCACAAATATTGCATTGGTGCCATTTTTTTTAAATTGGGACCATAGATCCTTGGTTAGTATTTAGTATTTGATTAAAAAATATATACGAATCTGAATGTTTGGATATTAAAAAAATGATTTTTTGATAATATCTCGAAAACAAGGGCTTATTGAGCAAAATTATTTATATTTTTGAAATCGAAAAGTTATTTTTATATTTAGTTTTATTAAGAAAAAATTAAACTTCATAACATAAACTATTTGAATCCCAGATTTACCTACTTTGAACTTTAGCTACAGGTGGTTAAAAAATTTGTTTGTAATACATTATTGTTATAAAACTTTTTTACTTACTTAGTATTTTGTTGCAAACTGGGCAGCATTTGCACCAGCCCCCCTTTAGCATAGTCTCCCCTTCTTTACATTCAGTTACCTGACATTTAACCCCATGGCAAATATTGGGACCACAAACGAAAACACTTTCTGACAATAATAAAAGTGACATTAGAAAGATTAAGACGTACCCAGAATTCATTTTTTAGTTTACTAAACTAACACGTACTACTGCTTGTACTTTTACTTAATTAACTGATTGTTCATGTTTAACTGGTGTTCTATTTTTGTTATGAAAATTATCGTGCCATATTGAAATATTTGCCAAATAAATTAATTTTTATTTATTTAGCTGATAGAGTATATATATTTCTGTATTTATCAACCTGGTTAAATAAATACTTACGTAAACAAGAATGCACATAAATCAATATTTTAAAGAGACATCCATTGAATAAAACCATTAAGTTATAAATAAAATTACTGATTTCTATATTTCTTTATTGTTATGTTTAATGCAAAAGTTATAATGTAGATGTCACTACACATACTATATATACTAGCTAGATTAAAATTTATTGTCTATTTTAAATTATTAAATGGGATATTTTATATTTTGATTATATAAATAAATTTAATCACTTAGCACATTTATTGTTAACACATTGCAAGGGTGAGGTACAAACGGCTTCAGGAACTTCCCTTTTATTTGAAGAAATTGTCGGGCAACTGTCACCTTCATCTAAAAATGAAAAGAAAATATTTATTAGGAGCTAGATACAGCTACTGCGAAAAACAAGAATTTCGTTTTGACTTCAACTTTAACCTTGAATAACTTTTGATGGAGTGAATTTAGCCAAAAATGTTAGGAGACTTTTTTTGTAGAGCATTTGATTTTCCATAAGAATATCTATCGGTTTTTTCCGGGTACTGATTTTTACATGAATTACAAAATTCCAAAGTTAAAAGATCAAATTGTAAAACTACACCAATTTTTAAGGCATGATTGTAAGGAAACGGTTCATCTGACGGAAAATTTCAATTAGACCTTTTTTGTAAAGCATTCAATTTTCTTCAAAAAATATTTTTGTCAATTTTGTTAAACTCAATGGTTTGGGAGTTCTGAGACCAAAACTCGCTTTTGTCACTCCCAGTTTAATATACAGTGTAAACATCTTTTTGGAGTTAATACTTACTCAATAAAGTTGCACATGTTGGACAGCAACTGCACACCCCTTTTATCTGGATTTGATTTTCTTCACAAGTTAAAGAAGAACAAGTGTTTGGACATAAATACAAACAAAAATACATACAATTTACTTGATAAATTGCAAGAAAGACCACCAAAAACTTTATTACAAAATTCATTTTTTTAATTTTTTTTATGTGGTTTTATCTTTACAAATTATAATTGACAATTAACTAGAATCGCGTGAAATTTTTTTATTTAAATATTTAGTAAATGGTATAAGGAAAAATGGTTGGTATTCCAAGGCTTAAACCTTTAAGGATATGACTTTAAAATAACTTGGTTTTACGCAGCTTTGAAATACTTTAGATTTTATTTATCAACCATTAATAATACACAACTATTTAACACATTTTCGCCTAAGTAGGAATTTAATACTATATTAAAGAACTAATGTCATAAGGCGTCAGTTTTGTAATGGAAGAGTGCGACAAAAGGTCTTATTTTTTATGCTATTTTATCTATTTTGCAAAAATTCTATAAAAAAAATAAATTTTATACCTTAAATTTAATTTTACTCGACATGTTTTCTAGGATTTCTTGGTAAGTTGAGACCAGATATTTAGTTTAAAACGATATTAAAAAACTACTTACTTATGGGAATATATATTATATAATTATATAATATAAAAAATTTAATTTTTTCTTATTAGGAAAAACCTTGTTGAGCATTTTAGATCATATTTAAATATCATCTAAAATGGAATTCAATTTAAACCAATATGTTTTTTTTTTTAAATTTATTATCTATAACATAATATTTTACGAATTTATTTGTATTTAAGTAAAATATACAACCATGTATAAAATCAGTTGTACAATATTCTGCATCTAAAACAAAAAAATTTACTTAGTAAATTATTAATATAAAACCACAGGTCTGTGTATAAAACATATTTTTTCTACTCCCACCTTTAAAACGCCCTTTATCGTACATGTTTGCATGACACTAAGTGACCTTTTAAATACACATTGACAAGTTGTGGCTTTATGGAGCTTTAGTCACGGGCTGAAGTTAGAAACAGATTTTTAGTCACGGGCTGAAGTTAGTTTTAAGTTAGTTGACAGTTGTCAAATGTCATACAATCGTTAAAATAAAGTGCCTTTCTTGTAAAATAATACTGAATGTGACATTTATTTTATTATCTCAATACAAAAATACAAAATTATTAAATAGTTTCTCAACGCCAATATTTGAAAAGCTTATATGAACATTGTACTGACCTTATAATTTCGCCGGCAGTAAACTATAACTTACATTCGGGCACGGACTCCACTGTAAAGTCCTCATAAAACATTTTTATTTATTTATTTATTTATTTTCAAGAAGTACATTTCGATTTATAACCTTTATAATTGTGTATAAAAATTTGACATTTGACGGTGAAACACAGATTCCCCTATGGTTTCATAGATGGCGCTCTATACAAATTTTTGATTTAAATCATTTTAAGATAATAATAAGTATTTGTCGTAGAAAAACTCATTAACTTAAGCACTCGCTCGCAAGCTCGCTCGTGCCTAAATTAAATTCGTGTATAAAATGGCGTTTATCAAACTTGATACATAATATACTATAATTTTTTCTTATTATAGGAAAAACCTTGTTGAGCATTTTAGATGATATTTGGAATTCAATTTAAACCAATATGTTTTTTTAAAATTTATTATCTATACCTAACATAATATTTTAAGAATTTATTTTTATTTGAGTAAAATATACAACCATATATGAAATCAGTTGTAGAATATTCTGCATCTAGAACAAAAAAATGTATTTAGTAAATTATTAATATAAAAAATATTTTAAATATTGTGGACACAGTAATAATGGCTGTCCCAATAAATACACAAACTTTATTTTGTCAATTATTTAAATGTTATAATTTTAATGTTTAAAAATTATGGTAAATATAACTTACTACTAAGGGATTCCACACACCGAGCAGCGGTCGCAAAGACCTCCTGTAACGAGGGTTTGATTAATATGACAACCCCTCCGTGGAGGTGCACAGTTGATGCATGTAATACAGGTGGTAACCTGGCTGGCAACTTGATGTTGAATTGCCAATGCCACAAATAATATTAGCAATGTTGTAAACCTCATGGTTAAAAATTATTGTGCATGAAAAATTAAAATTAAGTTTATATACTCTGATTTGAATTGCAATCAACCTTTATTATACATTTTGTTTATCTTATTACCATGTTTATATGAACATTGTACTAATCTTTTAATTTCGCCGGCAGTAAACTATAACTTAAATTCGGGCACGGACTCCACTATAAAGTCCTCATAAAACATTTTCTTTACTTTCACTGTGAAAAACTGTCAATTTTCAAGAAATACATTTCGATTTATAACCTTTATAATCTGTATTTATAAAATAATAAAAATGTGACATTTGACGGTGACACACAGATTCCCTTATTGTTTCATAGATGGCGCTCTATACAAATTTTTGATTTAAATCATTTTAAGATAATAATAAGTATTTGTTGTAGAAAAAGTATAGTATGCACCTCGTTTATAAACTTTTATATAAAATGGCGTTTATCAAACATGATACATAATATACTATATTTTTTTCTTATTAGGAAAAACCTTGTTGAGCATTTTAGATGATATTTGGAATTCAATTTAAACCAATATATTTTTTTAAAATTTATTATCTATAACATAATATTATACGAATTTATTTTTATTTAAGTATTCAGCTCTTGACGCTTGAAGTGTAAGCATATGCTCATCGATCTCTCTTAAGCAGCGTATACGATACAAATGTAGTAACGTGATAACTGGTTAACGCCGTAAAATAATAAAAAAACAATCGATTCTAAACGTGATAACTGTCCCAAGTGCAAAAATGTGCAAATTGTGTGTGGTACCTCCCCCATTGATTAAATCCTCAAGTGTTGGACCTGGTTAAAAGGTGTGAGAGAGACGACACTTCCACGAAATTTACTGGACTACCACCTGGCGAGCGGCATGCGAAATGGTTCAATTCCAGCACCAAATGGTCAAGCTAAGTTATTTTTTCCAATTGCATGTCTTACCGTATATTCGCTAAATGTTTATAAAAGCATTTCACAATGTTTATGTAAGCATTTCACAATGTTGCAAAAAGAAAATACTAAGAATTCTTTTATTGTCTCAAAAACTAATTAAAAAAGAATAAGAACATTTCCTTAAGTTTAAACAAACAACCTCATTTTCTCATAGCAGACAAATCATAAACAACCATCGAAAAAGGCGTAAGATAAATAAATAAATAAACTAAATATGCAAGAAGACAAAATAACATAAACAAGTTGAGTGTGAATAGCAGTATTGCCAGATGTAAAAGTTGTAATTAACGAATTGGGTAAATAAAATTATCGAATTTTCGGAATTAAGTTACAATAATTGTAATAATTATGTTACAATAATTATTATAATTTAATCATAAAAAAAAAGTAAAAGAGAAAGAAGCGAACTTTTAGAAAATTATAAAATTTGTAAAAGTAAAAAAAATACCCCCACTGGGAACTGCCTTATCGCAGCGATTGCGGCCTTACGCTCGGCACGAGTGATGGGCTCCTCCGCGGGGGGGTGCAGCCTCCCGTGGCCTATACGGGGGATGGTCTACACGGCGGTAGTCGTAGCACGATTGCCGTTGTGTGGATTGTCTTCCGGGGGGGCCGCGGGGGTTGTATTTCTTTGCGGGGGAGTTTATCATGTGTGCCGATTATCGTACCAATAGGAAAAACCATTACCAAAAGAGTAAGAGTAGCCCAGTTAAACACTGGGTCCACGTCACTCGTAGACAACGCAACAACATACTACAAGCCACCCTTAAACTAGATCTTAAAGACAAAAAAAATCGGTAGACCATGCTTCACATTTCATGACACGTAGCACAATACATGCACTTCTCACAAAGTAACAAGACCAGTTGGGAGCAACTAAACAACAATAAAAATAAAATAAAAAAAAAACAACCGACACACTTTACCAAGTTCAGGAACTATCCGACACGGATAATGACAATAATGAACAAGACGAAGACCTCGACTAGGAAACTACACCCCTGCAGCGTAATAACAACTCTTCAACTCCAAATAGTAATCCCAAATGTTTGGAGTAATACTAACCGACTGGTCTAGGGGGATTCCGCGTCGTACTTAGTTTTAAGTCGGCGTAATTGTCCCCCAAAAACCAACTCCCTCCCGTCCCTCATCCATACCTCACTGAGCGTATAGCATAGGCCCGGCGAACCCGGGAACGGCTATTATAACTATTCGCCTCTCGCTCTCGAGCCCCAAATAGGGGACAGTACAGAACGCAATGGACATTCGCACCCAGCAAACACGGGTGAAGCCGTGCAGTTGCTGGGGAAGAACAAAAATCGGCGTAAGTAAACATGGGCCTGTACGGGGTTTAAGAGTCAAGAGGAAATGGGGCTGGTTATACGTCTCTTATACTCATACTCATACTCATTTATTTTTATTTAAGTAAAATTTACAACCATATATGAAATCAGTTGTACAATATTCTGCATCTGAAACAAAAAAATGTATTTAGTAAATTATTAATTTAAAAATATTTTAAATATTGTGGACACAATAAATACACATTATTAATTTTGTCAATTATTTATACATGTTTTATCATTTTTGCATCATGTATCGGTAAATATAACTTACTAATAAGGAATTTCACACACCCAGCAGCAGTTGCAAAAACCTCCCCTAACGAGGGTTTGACCAATAGGACAACCTCTTGGTGGAGGTGCACATTTGACAGTTGTGCATGTAAAACAGTTGACAACCTGACTGGCAACTTGATGTTGAATTGCCAATGCCACAAATAATATTAGCAATGTAGTAAACCTCATGGTTAAAAATTATTGTGGCATGAAAAATTAAAAATAAGTTTATATACTCTGATTTGAATTGCAATCAACCTTTATTATACATTTTGTTTATCTTATTACCATGTTTAAAATTAGGTTTCTCACATAATACGTTAAAGTGTGGATAGCGCATCCGCCATTTTTGACAAATTTTGTTAAAAATGGCAAAAGTGCCGGGGTAGAAATCCACTTAGATAAAGATTAATAGGTTGTCGTAAAAGCGTATGGTTAATGTTAATTTAGTTCTAAGTATGTATACACACAGGCAAAATAATCGATCCACACAAATCGCAAATAACTTTTTTATTTGATGTCGGATTTAAACGAATATTAAAGAATATTGTAGATAAATTAATGGCAATCGCCAACATTTTAAAAAATTACTAAAAAATAGACGTAGGTTTATAATATACAGGTTTAAATAAAATGATGTTTTTTACCAAAAGTTTAAGACACTCTGTAGAGTGGCAATACCGTATATTGTTCTAAATTAAGTTTTATTTATCAAGTCACATCTATTCTTAACAGTTTTGTTTTTGGTTCACCTATATATATATATTAATTTTTGTGGAAAATATGGATTTTTTAAATAAACATTGCAATTTCCAATATTTTTCTGTATGAAGAACTAAGGTTGCTATGGTCCATCCATAGACTATGGAGAATGACATTGACAGTTTTGTTGAATCGTCCCATACTTTGACATGTCATACACGGCTTTCAAAAGCTAACAAATTGTTTTTTGCAAATTAATGTTTAAATTTTGAGGTGTCTTCTTACTTTAAAAAATGGATATGTCTCCGACTGTTGTTGCCAGAGCCATTAATTTAATCCAGGATGGTCGGTCACAGTTTAAACGTCACAAGAAGTAAAGTACAAAGGGCAACATCAGTCGGAGACATTTTTAAAAGTGAGAAGACACCTCAAAATTAACACATTAATTTACAAAAAACAATTTGATATCTTTTGAAAGCTGTATATGGCATGTCCAAGTATAGGATGATTCAACAAAACTGTCACTGTCATCCTCCATAGGTTATGGATGGACCATAGCAACCTTAGTTCTTTATACAGGAAAAATATTGGAAATTGCAATGTTTTTTTAAAAAAATCCATATTTTTCACAAAAATAAATATATCGAGGTGAACCAAAAACAAAACTGTTAAAAATAGATGTGACTTGATAATTAAAACACAATTTAGAACAATGTACGGTTTTGCCACTCTACAGAGTGTCTTAAACTTATGGTAAAAATCATCTTTTTGTTTAAACCTGTATATTATAAACGTACGTATATTTTTAAGTAATTTTTAAAATGTGAGCAATTCTCCATTAATGTATCTACAATATTCTTTAATATTTGTTTAAATCCGAAATCAAATAAAAAAGTTATTTGCGATTGAAATTCATCGAAAATTTGTGTGGATCGATTATTTTGCCTGTGAGTGTATATATATATATATATATATATATTGTGATATTCTTTAATAGCAAACTTCCTAGCAAAACTTAAAAAACATTTTTTTAATAAAATTCAACAGTATTACATAACATACCTATTCATGAGAAGGTTCACCGCAAACTCTGCAACAATTACAAAATCCTCCTGGTATGATAACCTGGCCCTTAGGACAACAGGTGGGTGTAGGATCACATTCGACCGTAGTACAAGTGAGACAATTTACCACAACAGTGGTGGTTTTAGATTCGACTTGCTCATAGTTTAAAGCAACAAGTAGTGTAAGTATAAAAAAACAAAACTTTGTGTTTGTCATTTCGAATGATTTCTATTGAAAGCAATTTTTTGTTTATTTTTAAAGCTTTTATCATGGATATTTTACATATTTAATTTTCAGTTATTTAAATATGTATGTTGATATGACGTATAAATGCTTGAAAATAGGGTATCATTGAAAATTACTTGGGTATTGCTGTATTTCTGTTTCTTAATAAAAATAAAACTATAAGCATATAAATACGCATTTATTAAACTTTAGTACAAACACCTTGAATACATCTCAACCCTTCGTCACAAAATCTAGATGGCGGTCCAATTCCTATATAGGCATCAAAGGGGCATTTAGCACCTTCCCCTAAAATAAAAAAAACATAAAATAAACTAAAAGTTAATTCTATTAAGTTGTTTACTTAAAATTGTTGCACAGACTCTGCAACATCTGCACCAGCCTCCGTAGATTATGGTTTGTCCTTTAGGACATCTAGTTGGCTCATCCACACAACTGGCTGTAGCACATGCATCGTATGTTTCAGTTTTACATGGAACAAAGGAATGAAGTTGTTCATAAAAAATAAAGGTTGATATAAAGAACAGAATAAACTTCATTTTAGCAAGTATGTATGAGTAAAACATACATAATTTTGGTGGTTTATAAGTATGTGTTTTTATGTAATGTAAAGTGGGTTAATTTCATGATTAAATAAAATCATACGAATACTTAGGAAGTGTGTTATCATTTAATAACTAATACATTTAAATACGTTCCTGTCTTATAAATAACATTGAACTTTTTTTAGTAAATATGTACATTTTTATTTATCTATTTTTATAAAACAAATGGGGATTTCCCATTCTGTTATTTTGCATTATAAACATTTTATCTTTTTATTTACTTTAATATTGTTTACGGTTTTTGTAAATTACCTATAGGTACGTAGTTTGAAACTTGCGTGGAATATTGTAATATGGTAGATTGTAAGGATATTTTTTAATATCCTGGTGAGATCGTAATTATTATAAGGTTTTGACGTGTGGGCAATATAAATAATATATATACACTCACAGGCAAAATAATCGATCCACACAAATTTTCTATGAATTTCAATCGCAAATAACTTTTTTATTTGATTTCGGATTTAAACAAATATTAAAGAATATTGTAGATACATTAATGGAGAATCGCTCACATTTTAAAAATTACTAAAAAATACACGTACGTTTATAATATACAGGTTTAAACAAAAAGATGTTTTTTACCATAAGTTTAAGACACTCTGGAGAGTGGCAAAACCGTATATTGTTCTAAATTAAATTTTAATTATCAAGTCAGATCTATTTTTAACAGTTTTGTTTTTGGTTCACCTTGATATATTTATTTTTGTGGAAAATAGGGATTTTTTTTTAAAAACATTGCAATTTCCAATATTTGTCCTGTATGAAGAACTAAGGTTGCTATGGTGCATCCATAGCCTAGGGAGGATGACAGTGACAGTTTTGTTGAATCATCCCATACTTGGACATGTCATATACAGCTTTCAAAGGGTATGAAATTGTTTTTTGTAAATTAAATTGTTAATTTTGAGGTGTCTTCTTACTTTTAAAAATGTCTCCCACTGATGTTACCCTTTGTACTTTACTTCTTGTGACGTTTAAAACACTTTCCACGTAATACTGTGACCGTCCATCCTGGATTAAATATATTAAATATAAACATTAATTTGCAAAAAACAATTTGATAGCTTTTGAAAGCCGTGTATGACATGTCCAAGTATGGGATGATTCAACAAAACTGTCACTGTCATTCTCCATAGCCTATGGATGGACCATAGCAACCTTAGTTCTTCATACAGAAAAATATTGGAAATTGCAATGTTCTTTTTAAAAATCCATATTTTTCAAAAAAATAAATATATCTAGGTAAACCAAAAACAAAACTGTTAAGAATAGATATGACTTGATAAATAAAACTTATTTTAGAACAATATACGGTTTTGCCACTCTACAGAGCGTCTTAAACTTATGGTAAAAAACATATTTTTGTTTAAACCTGTATATTATAAACGTACGTCTATTTTTTGTAATTTTTTAAAATGTGAGCGATTGTCAATTAATTTATCTACAATATTCTTTAATATTCGTTTAAATTCATCGAAAATTTGAGTGGATCGATTATTTTGCCTGTGAGTATATATATATATATATATATGATGTTTGACCAATTTTATTTAAATTTGTTCAAATTTCATCAAAACAATTTTCTTATTTATATTGGCACATTTAAATGCTGTATAACAATGTGAAGATAATGAAAATAAATTTTAATTAAAGTCCTTTATTTTTAAACAAGTATGGCTTAAACTATCACAAATAAGTCCTTTATCACATGTCACCTTATCAGATATGACTCCTCCAATAGGACTTCCTGAGCTACAATCTTCACCTTCCCCTGAAAAACAAAAATCCTAATAACAAACTTTTTTTAAATAGTAAGACGTAACTATAACTTTTCTGCACACATCACAGCAAAGACAATGCCCTCCTTTTCCTTTAACTTCATCCTCACTGCAAGTAACGTCCTCACATTTTGCTTCATCACAAGCCCATGGTGCACATTTTAAAGAAAAGACATTAGTTATGTAAAATGCTAGACACAACATAAATAAAACTGCACGTTTCATCATAAAGTTTCAATTAAAAATAAATATGGATTTACAAACAATGGTCTGGGATATTTTTATAGTGTTTTGATCACAAGGGGCAAGGTCAAATATATGTAGATGTTGGTAATATTTATTATGTAACAATATTCAAGTATTACGCATTTCCTATGTATACAGTTCTTGTAGTGGTGCTGCATTTAGCTGAAAAATTAATTACAAAATTATTTGCCATAATTTTCTCCATTAGGACATGTAAGGTTATTATTACATTTGAGTTAAAAGAACCACAATCTTCTAAAAATATATTGCAATAAAACGACAAGCTGAAGTTAGTTTTAAGTTAAATAAAAATCGTCATAGATCATTTCAGTCGCCCTTCGTATACTACTGACATCTGTCAGATAGACGTTCTAACCTTAAAACTATAGAACTATAGTACTTTTATTTACAATTTTCGCTTAATAAGGTATGATTATTTTCATAACAAATACAAAAACACATATTTTTATAATAAAATTGAAAAATTTCAAGTTAAATTTAAAACAAATTTACCTTAAATATTATTTGGTTAATTGTTTACATGTATTGCAAGGTGATGACAAAATATTTTTTTTTTCTACTCCCACCTTTAAAATGCCCTTTATCGTACATGTTTCCATGACACTAAGTGACCTTTTAAATACACATTGACAAGTTGTGGCTTTATGGCGCTTTAGTCACAGGCTGAAGTTAGTTTTAAGTTAGTTGACGGTTGTCAAATGTCATTCAATCGTTAAAATAAAGAGCCTTTCTTGTAAAATAATACTAAATATGAAAATTATTTTATTATCTCAATACAAAAGTATTAAATAGTTTCTCAACGCCAATATTTGAAAAGTTTATATGAACATTGTACTGAGTCAGAACTACTGACCTTTTAATTTCGCCGGCAGTAAACTATAACTTAAATTTGGGCACGGACTCCACTGTAAAGTCCTCATAAAACATTTTCTTTACTTTCACTGTGAAAAACTGTCAATTTTCAAGAAATACGTTTCGATTTATAACCTTTATAATCTGTGTTTATAAAATAATAAAAATGTGACATTTGACGGTGACACACAGATTCCCCTATTGTTTCATAGATGGCGCTCTATACAAATTTTTGATTTAAATCATTTTAAGATAATAATAAGTATTTGTCGTAGAAAAAGTATAGTATGCACCTCGTTTATAAACTTTTCTATACACTCATTAATTCGTGTATAAAATGGCGTTTATCAAACTTGATACATAATATACTATTATCTACTCCTACATTGACGAGCTGTGACTTTATGGCGTTTAAGTCACGGGCTAAAGTTAGCAATAGTGGCTTTTGGGCATTTTAGTTATGGGCTGAAGTTAGCTTTATTATAAATTAGGCAAAAGTAAGGTTAATTTCGTTGACATTTGACAGATGTCAAATTATAACAATTAATAAAAACAACGAATCTTTATTATCACTACAGCTTTTATTTTTTATAATTACAAGTAGGATACACACTTTCCTTCAATACAATATTGATTATAATCACAAACCCTAGCTTCTTGTACTGATGTTACATTGTTGGCAACATTTCTAAGACAAGTGCATTTGTCGCATGACCCTTGAAAAAAATAAAAAATAAAGTCTATTACCTAAAATTTTATAGTTTGATAATATTTACCAGCAATTTTCACACATGCATTACAGCATCCATGTTTAACACTCCTATATCCACTAGCACATTTTATTAAAGGGCATAGCACCACACAAGATGCTAAAAAGAAGGTTATTATTATTATTTTAGGACATAAATGTAATATAGTTACCTTTACAAACTCTACAGCAGTTGCAATAACCCCCCATGGCCTCTTGTTGGCCTTTGGGGCATTCTCCCCTCACTCCACATTTTACAGTAAAACAAGCATCTGAAGAGCAACCACAGTCCTCTTAAATAAAAACAGTACGTTAAAGGGGGGTGACTTTTAATTGATTTTTATTTACCGACAATATCTTCACAAGTTTGGCAACATGAGCAAGGATGGACTACAGGTCTCTGCCCTTCTGTGCAATTGGGACTTGCACATCTTACAGCTGTGCAATTAGGGGCTACAAGACAATTAATAACAGTATTTGCAAAAATTCCAGTTGCAAAAGAGGCTAAAACTATAAAATGGTAATATTTTAACATGACTGTGTTGATTGATAACCAATGGTACTTTACCTGTGGCATATAATCAGTTGTTTTTATATTAAGTTTAAAAACTTTCCTTTAAATTGTTTAACAAATTATTATTCAACTGACAGGGCAGGATTATTTTGGTTTTATTAATACAATTGGTTATTTTAAATTTTAATAAAAATAATATAAAAATGAATCTACTTTATAATTATTATTTATTTATTATTCTAACATCTATACATCTACATCCTGTTGATTCTCAAATCTGGCACAGGTGTTTTACAACCATGCCATTAATACATAAACAAAACTTTGAAATCATAATTAAAGTATTGTAGGTAAAAATAAAAACAAAAACAAAAACAGTTGTTATAATATAGTACAAAAATAAAAAATAAATCGCTTTGATAAAGGTGGTAAAGGAAAGTTTTTTGGACAACAAATACCTAAAATAAGTTAAAAAAAAATAATATACAAACATCAAACCTTATAAAAATATATAGGTGTTAGGGTGTCCGTTATTTCCTGGGTATGCTTTTTTCACTTGGGTTTTATCTGAATAAATTTTGATAAAAACATAAATGCAGTTTTGTTTTAGAATAGCAAAATTATTTATATACAAGTTAACCCTTTAAAAGTAACACAATATACTCTAAAAATTTCAAAATATATACTAAAATTCAAATCTAAATGGAAAAGGGTTTTATTTGGCTAGGGGACTGTATTTTGGAACGAAATTTAAGTAACAATTAAAATCGTACTCTCTAAAAGTGAAACAGTGAAATTTTCACTATTTCCGTCAGTGAGTTATTAATTCACTGTAAAATTAGTGTTTTTCAATATAAATTAGTGGAATTTTAACTTCTCCAAATTAGTGTTTTATATTATCACTACTTTTCCGGAACTCTCGACATAAAATAGTGAAATTTTAACTTTTTTAAACTAGTGGTTTTGTCCATCCAATGAAATCGCTACATGAAAAAGTGAGTATTCACTAATTGCTTATCACTGCGGCAAATAGTTAATATGCACTGTCAATTAGTGAAAATCCACTTTTACATTTTTAGAGAGTTCATTATGTAAATTTACAAAAAAATATATTTGTCTACTCCTATTATGGAATATGACCATTCTAATATCACTTTTTAATGTGGAATGACATAATATAGTATAAAGTATTACAGAATAATTCGGATGACGGAATAAACACATCTCTTTGTTTAATGTCTAACAAATTTTAGACCGATCCAACCTCACTTTTTCCCAAATACATTATTTTTCAATGGTATTTTTTTGAAACGGAAAAAAGTATAGTCTGAAACACGTTTGGAATTGCATATTTCGCTCTTGTATGCCGTGTTCCAAACTTGTTACAGAATATACTATTAAATACCTTTCAAATAGATACATTTTTTGTTTTTTGGAACTATGAGTCAAAAAATAATTTTGTCTCCCTATAATAGTCACTGTGTAGTACTGAGCGGCGTGTTTAGATGAGAAAGACCCAAGTCCAAATAATCCTCATTTGCCATTAGAATTCCATCCAAGTCTTCTACCAAGTGGGAAAATTGCGGCCTTTCCGTCGGATAATAACTCCAACAGTCTTTCATGATCTTGTAGATTTCCAACGAGCAACAATCAGGTTTCTCCATCCTTCTCCCGTTTCTTAACAGCTGGAACAACGTGTCCACGTTTGGTACCGATGGATAAGGATTACCTATAGTACAATGATGAGTTTTAAAATTGAATTGATGTGATTTTGATATTACCTCCCAGGGTCATAATTTCCCACAATAGGATGCCGTACGACCAGACGTCTGATTGCGTGGTGTAGACTTTGTGGAAAAGAGCTTCAGGAGCCATCCATTTAACTGGTAGCCTGCCATCTGTCTTTTTTCTGTAGTAATCTTTGCAGTTGGTATCGCGAGCTAACCCGAAATCTGCTATTTTCAAAATATTACCATCGCTAACTAAAACGTTCCTAGCTGCTAAGTCTCTGTGAATACACTGAAACAATTATTATTATTATTATTATTAGATTAAGGTAAGACTTGAGAGTACATACCCTTCTGGAAGAAAGATACTCCATACCGCGGGCAACTTGATAGGCAAAAGAAAACAGGTCCTTTTGGGTGAGAGTTTCCTTTTCTTTTTCGTCTGATCCGACAGGCAAATCTTCACCAGCCAATCGGTGGCTCCTTAGAAAGTCCCTTAAGTTGCCATGGCACGCGAATTCGCACACCACGTACAAAGGCCCATCCTGCGTACAACACCCCAACAAGTTTATTATGTTTATGTGCTTTCCTATCATTTTGATTACCTCCATTTCTGATACCAAATCCATCATTTCGCTGTCGGAATGGCTATCTAAAATATAAAATTATATTTCAGTAGCAATCTCTGCAATTGAACCCAAAGTTTCGGACTTCCATCCGATCGTCTTCAGGTGTGGATTTCAGCTCGCATTGTCTATCAGAAAGTTGGAGTAACAAAACTGATGTTACTCCAAGATCAGAACATACCTTTGAGCATTTTTACTGCCACAATGGTTGGTTCATTCTTTGGAGGGTACTGCATTTCGGCTCTAACGACCCTGCCGAAAGCTCCTTCGCCTAGGCTCTCGCCCAATTTCAATTTGTGCCTCGGAATTTCCCAATCGGAATCCATTGGTAACTCGTATTCCGATTTAATTGCACCATCGTCTGCAACAGCCACTGAGGTTTTTTGTTTTTCAATTTTTATCACGGGCATTCTCAAAGGTCCGAATATGTATTCTCCCAACGAATTATTTTTCTCGATTATGATTTTCTTTGTTATTCTTTCTCGTTGCAGAGCCAATTTCTTGATCGCTCGTCTTTTGCTGATGTAGAACACTAGAGTTGTCACAATCACAAAAACCGTTGCTATCATTATCATTTTCGATATGAATTCGAATTTGGACTCATAAACCGGCGTTTCTTCAGCTAAAACATACGTTATTTTAATTTTAAATTTATTAAAAATGGATTAATATTATTACCTGTTTCAAGAGAGTCTACTACTGATAAATAGGCTTTGCTTTGGGTGTGTCCTAAGCTATTCGAAGCGTGGCATGAGTACCAGCCTTCATGTTCATGAGTAACATTGACTATTTCCAAATATTCTGGATCAGCATTAGTCTGGAAAAAGTTATTAACTATATAAAATGTTAGGGTGCACAAGTGATACCGATCTAGAAATTACATGTAGTAGCAGTTACCTGTAGTATTTTTCCTGCTGTACAATTTCCATCGCTACATTTGTACCATTCGATGTATGGTTCTAGGTCTGTTACTAATGGTGGACATTCAAATACAGCAGTAGCATTTTCTAATACTGTTAGATTTCGAGGGTAATCGTCCTTTATAGTCGGTTTCAATGGGTAACGATCTAATAGATGATTATTTTAAAATGTGCACACTAGATTTAATTACAATGTGTATTTAAATAAATGTCTTACCTATAACTTCCAATATAAACGAGTAACTGATGCAACCCAGGACGTTGCATACTTTACACGTGTAATTTCCATTGTCATCTACAATTAAATCCTCGATTGTAGCATGGTATTTACTCACTTTGAAATTACCCAGTTTTCTGATAACTTTTCGATTATCATTTTTATACCACGATATTTTTGGAGATGGTATACCTTTCGCATTGCACCTAAACGTTACAGTGTTTCCCGCTGGTTTAACATTATATTTAATCATTTTTTTGGTTTTAAAATGAGGTAGAACACCAGCGTATACCGAAAACACTTTCATTGTAGTGTCGTTTGCCAAACAAGTGTAGGTGCCTTCAAGATTGTCAGTGAAATTTTTTATTTCGTATTTGGAAAAATTTCCCTTCTGTAAAAATGATGAAATTATGAATAAAGTACCTACAGGTTTCAAGTATTAATTTTTAAATAAACAGTTACATTTGTTTCACAAAGCAAACATCAAGTCATACCATGATGTCCTCCTCGATCTCCAAACCTCAGTGTGTGCTTTTTTCTGTGGGGTTCTGCAAATCAGAAAAGATGGACTTCGATGAAACTTTGATTTTCTGGAGATAGAGGGGGACTTAATGAAAAATTAAAATATTCAAAACCTGTAATAGTAGGCGATTTGGGTTTCTGTCGTTGCCCAGGTAGTACCATTTAATGAATCTTTCTTGTGGACAAGTGAGGTTGACCGATGTTCCGTTGGCAGCGTAAATTGTTTGGTTAAATTGATTGGTGTTGACCAAAAAACTTCGATTCCTCTGCTTTGGTGCTTTCTCGCCAAAATCTAATGGATCGCCGGCTTGGTACACTTTAATAAATAAATAAATAAATAAACGTTTATTTAGCTAAAGCTATTATTAATTACGAAATCAACAAAGCCTACCAAGCCTACCAAACCTTATTCTATTTAATAAAATAATATAAATGCAACTTCCTTATTGTTAGATAAAAAACGTAAATACATTTTCTACCACAAAACGTAGACAAAGGATTGCTTGGGCAACACATTAACCAGAAATTATTAGATAATTTTCTCATTACTTTGGTGATAAACATTAAAAAAACTATATATTGATAGTTATCGACCTATAGACTGAAGAAATGGTTTAGCACAGTGGGGCAAACAATTTGCGTAGATACTGCAGTTTCCAAATTTTTAGCATAGTAATTTTCAGATGAACATTAAGTTTCTTAAGAAAAAAATAGGCCCCGGCAGCGTACTAACGAACCAAGCCCAAGTCATGAACCCCAATTGAATGTGGGTAATATATGTCCCCCAAAGACCAAAATGTTTTCCCTCGGCCCGCACTCCACTAGGCCTTATACTCATACTCATGTGAATATTATTTTTTGTATTACCTCTTCTTATACTTAAGGCATCGGCTGAGATGGTCACAACGTTTAAAGCAATTACCAAACACCGGATGCAAGCCTTCATGATTTAGTTTTCTTTAAACAACACGATGACTTGAACACATAACAAAATAAACAAAATTCCGAAGAAAATTTTTGACTGGGCTATAGCCATTAGTTCGTCGCAAAATCAAGATGCTCTCAAAGCTTGACCATTAAATTCACTGTTACACTGTTTGTTGTCCAGACAAATGCGTTTACTGTTTGTTGTTCATATGTTTATGTCATATCCTGTAGATAAGATACTGGGTGGTTTGTAAGTTATCAACGCATTTCCAGCCATTACTCACTCACTGAGTAATTTATTTCACTGATCAGAAGAAATTGGCTGGATTGGAATCAGTTATCCAGGATATTTATATAAAGAGCTAATGGTTCGGTTAAATTAAAAAAAGGTTGCGTAATTATAATTTTAATATTATTATTATCCCATTTAAACACAACATAAACAATACAAATTAAATAATATTTCTAAGGTAACAAACACTTTTCTCTGATACAATTCTTATTGGAAGGACACACTCTTGCATCTTTGGCTGATACTAACCCAATCTCAATTTCTCTGAGGCAAGTGCATTTCTCACTGGGACCTTAAATATATTTTTAATAAAATCAAAATTTAAATACTTTAAAATGGAAAATCTTACTTGCAATTTTAATGCAGGTATTGCAACAACCATATTGAACACTTCTGCTACCAGAAATGCACAAAATCTGGGGACAAAGCCTACCCACACAATTAGCTAAAAAAAATATTTTTGTATTATTTTTCAAATAAATTTATAATTCTTACGTTTGCAAATGTTACAACACTTGCAGTGACCACCAACTTCTCCATTGGTACAATTTAGAGCGGTATTACATCGTACCATGCTACAGTACCTTGGTGTACAACCACAATCCTCTAAAAATCATTTATTTAAAAACATTTGAATTTATATGTAAAATGTTTTTAAATTTTATACCTATGTCTACACATTGGGGACAGCATTGGCAAGGAGATGTTATTAGCTTCTGACCTTCAGTACAATTAGGCTTTAGGCACTGAACTGCTGCGCAATTTATATTACATTTCGGACTATAAGAAAATATTTTTGTGGATAAACCTAAAAAAAGTAAGAAGTATAAATATTCACTCATTATTGTGGTATTATACACACTGATAATAAAATTGCGACACTTTATTTTTATAATTATTTATGGGTGATAAATTACTTTTTTTAAAAGTTGCTTTTTTTATTATTATTCTGATAACAGATAAACAGTTTTCTATTTAGTAATATGAATAAATTAACATATTTTAATGCCCTTCTGGATAAGGTTGGATTGTCATTATTTCACTCTAACAGTAAACACATTCTTTATTATTTTTATTATCCTTTAAGTATTTTTTTTAATTATTAGTATAATACAAATTGTTACAAAGCAAATAAAAATAATTATTCCTTAAGCAAAGCTGTAATAATGTTTACCAAATTTTTTCTCTTTGTATTATTTTTTACACTACTCAGTGCTTCTGATTATAAAAATACCACATCAATAAATCCGGTGAAAGTTTGCCCCTTTGTTTGCCCCAAATTAAATTGCAGCTCAAAACAAATTGAAGTGCTAGGACCAAATAATTGTTGTACGGTTTGTGAAAGTAAGTTTTAAATATACATAATGCTTATTAACTAATATTATCATATTATGGAAATAAATTTTAGGGTGTTGTGAATATTGTAAGAAACATACATTTAACTGTCCTTTGGAAAGAGAATGTCAAAAGGGAGAAAAGAAAGTTGGGATTGGAAAATGTGGATGTTGTTACCAATGTCAACCATTGGGGATAATTGAGGAAGAATAAATGATTAATTATATGTGCATTAATAAACAACATTATTTTGTTTTTTTGTGATAAGAAAAAATAATTTTGATTTAAATTTTACTTGCTAATGACATAAAATATTTTTGTTATTATAATTCATAAAAATGAATTTTGTATAAGAACACATTCAAATATATTTTACCACATTTAGCTTGATATAATGTTACTTTGTATTTTGATTTTATTAGTGCCATACAGTGTTTTTTCTCAAAACCAAACTACAGTCAACCAGTGTAAGGCAATTTTTTTATATAAAGCAAAATTCAATTAATAATCATGTTTTTACCTTTATTTATTTAATACAGATGTGGAAACAACTATTTCATATGAATCCACAACTCACAATAATACAAAAAACTGTGGATCCATGAAGTGTGGACACCCCACCTGTTGGCACCATCAAGTTGTGGTCCCAGATCCAGATAATGTTTGTTGTTTTGTTTGCCTAGGTTTGTAATTATTGTATCAAATCATACCAGTTTAATTTTTATATTTTGGTAGATTGTCACAAATTTTGCAAAGAAGAAAATATTCAATGTCTATCGTCAAGAAAAAAATGCAGAAGGAGATATAAAAAAATAAAAACAGGGACCTGTGGGTGTTGTCATATTTGCACCCCTAAGAGACACAGAAATTACTGGTATAACTAAAGAAAAAACACTTATGTATATCATAGATTTTAATGAATATATTTTAAATTGTGATTGCTTCAATAACTAAATCATTGCTTTTATGAACAGGAGCCCTAAAAGGACACTGCAGGATCTAAAATTAATTATTAATAAAATCTAATTCGTTATAGTATTTTTGTCATACATCCAATTTTTACACAGATATCACAGCATCCTTTTTTTACAGCTTTGTAGCCTTCTCCGCAAGCCACTGTTGCGCAAAGAGCCAGACGGCAATCTGAAAAAAAAATAATAGTTTACAAAAGAACTAATGTCATAAGGTCTGTGTATTTTATCTATTTTGCAAAAATCAATTTTATACCTTAAACTTAATTTGGTCGAATTTTACTTTAGTCATTGGTTTGACAGTTAATGTCAAAATCGATTCGCCATGCCGTCCTTAATTTACTTATTTACAATAAGCGGCTGTTAATGTTAAAGAAGAAAAAAAGGATTTTCTTTGGTGTTAAACAAAATTTATTGCCAGAAAAGTTTCGTGAGTACTTGAAAAATCATAAAAATATTATAACCAATATGCAAAATATTATGTTGTTTAAAGTATAGCCAACCTATAAAATCAAAATTTTAGGTGGGATAAAGTATCTCATTACAGCACCGAAAGCGGGGTTATAATGAAGTCATTATTAACTCAAAATAGAAAAAGATTTTTAAAACGCTTTGTTAAATTTTACCTGGATTGGTTGTATTTTTCATGCATATTTCGCAACAGCCACAGGTTGGTTTTACCAATTGGTCTCCAGCTTCGCACAAATTTATATGACACTCGACATCTTTACAATAAATGTTACATTTACGTGGCATACCAAAAACAAAGGTAATAAATAAAACAATTTCAACAAATAAAGGGAATATGCGATAACTTGGCATGTTTGTTGTACTTGCTTTAATGATGTATTTTCCGTATATTTATATCTTTAATTATTTGTATGAAAATGTAGCAATGTAAAACCCTGGTAATTTAATATAAAAGTACAGGGTCGAACCAACAAAGCTTTAAAATAAATTAATAAAATTATATATTACATATTAATTATTTTTACACATAAATAACAATGCAATGAGAGTAAAAATTAATAAAATAACAATTAGTAACGTAGCATTAATAAAAAAAAATGTAAATAAAAAAACCCATTAACCATGTATGTATACTGAAATAAATAATTAATTATAAATAACATAATATAACAACCCAAAATCATCTTACCAACAATTGTTAAGATCAGCTTTGACAGCAATATTATTATTATTATTAAGAGGTTACAACAATTAACTCAAAGGAATATATTAAAATTAGTAAAACTACAATCATTTTTACAAGTTGTTATATTTATATATACGCATGAAAAACCCAGTTTATATAGTCATTTTGCTTTGAATTTGCATTTTAATGTCACTTATCTTTTTCGCAACTTAAAAAATAAATAAAATTAACTAAATTTATTTATTACATTTTATATGATTTTACACTTTTTGACATATGTCGCAACAACCACATGCTGGCGGAACCAATTTTTCTCCAGGTTTGCATAAAGGTATTTCACAAACTGGATTCACACACATTATTTGACACTTTCTTGGATCTCTTCCCAAAGAAGCTATTGGCATTATTTCAAAGGAAAATAGGAGCAGCAAAACTATCAGTAACATTTTTACTCAAGTGGAAGGAAGAAGTACAAAAAAACAACTTATATATAGATAGTTTATGGAAAATACCACCTTATCGAAAAATAAGTGAATTTTAAAACATTTTATTTATAATTAACAATTTAAATTCACATAAAAATACGTAGGTTAAAAAACTTGATTTTTAAATAACCTTCTGTCAAAAGCAGCCACTAATAATTCTCGTCAACAACAATTTGTATCCAGGACATTTAGCAGTCAACTCCTATAAAATATTATTCGCTGAATCCAAAAATTTCGTCAAAAGTTATAAAAGTAGAACAGTTTTTGAAATATAATCAATTTTACATATAATATGGTATTGACTATATCTCAAAAACTGCTTAACTTTTATAGTTTTTGACGTTCTTTTCGGATTCAGGGGACAATTTTACATAAGAATTGGCTGGTAAATGTCCGGGATACAAATAGAGTATGATATTGGACATATGTCCAATAATAGAAATTTACATTTTTTACCAACCAGTAATTGGACACTGGCCATTTTACTGTTTGTTTTCAGAATTAAAATTAAAACGCATTAAAGTGACAATGTTTAAACCATGAGGAACACATCTATACCACACACTGATCTGTAAACTTTTTAGAAATATTTTTTATTATAATTTAAACACAACCCTGCTCTTAACAAAAAAACAAAAATCTTACCACCAAAGTAACGTGCGAACTTTTTTGTCCTATATTGGACCCAAAACAAAGTAGTTATATATTATTACCGACTAATATATTTATAATTGTATACAGCGTCATGTAATGATTTGACTTTAAGGTAAATATTTATAGAACTCTTGTTTTTACATTATTAATGTTAATTGTCCAATAACTATAAAGTGTCCGATAACTATCTACTTTAGATGAGATTAGATGTTGACTTTGGGTAATATTAAATTAAAATTATCGTAGATAATACATTTTTATTTTATTACACATACATAAGATAATATTTAGAAATGTTAATTATATTATATTCAAACAAACACAAAACCAAATAAAATATTTTAAAATGTGTTTTTACACTTTTTTACAAATATCGCAGCAATTTCACAAACTGGATCTAAACAAGCTATATCACAATGTATTTTACTTCCTTCTGCAACATTGCTTGACATAGCTTAAAAAGTTGATAACAGCAACAAACATATCAGCAGCATTTTATTTAAGTTTTAGTAAAAATAAATACAAAGTATTACGTTGGACTGGCAAATATATTTTTAAATATATTAAAGAATGCAAATTTGCAATATAGATATGTAAATTTATAATATAGATATGTTTAAGGCAGTGACACACATTTATATCAATAATACTAATTTGTTTGACTGAAGATGTAGTGGGTGGCAGTTTATGTATGTGGGTGAATTTCACGAAATGTCCCTCGATGGTGATATTTAATAAAACCAAAGAAGTTTGACCTACACTTTTATTGTGTTTTGATCTTTCATAATTAAGTAGATATTAGGTTCCAGATTTTCAACCACAATTAATTATTTTGTATAATGTTTTAAAAGTCTAAAATCTATCCTCCGTGACTGTAACTCTTTTTGGGTTAACCTATATGTTTTCAAATATCTGAGGTAGTAAAAGCATACTAAAAATATCAGTTCACTAAGTAAATTAAACCTAAGTAGATTTTTTTTAAATATTTTATGTATGTACAATTGTATTTTTAAAAAATATTAAGGTGTCAAAAGATACAATAACTTATTTCAAATATACAAAGGGATGTTTAAAAAAAACTATCTTCCGTGAATCTCTAATATTCGAAATGTATGATTTCTTAAAATTCTTGCATTAGGGCAGAACCACTTATGTTATGATATTACTAGACCTGGTGGCTTTCCAAAAACCTCATTCTAGACTAACAGTGAATCAACCAAAAATAAAAAATAATGTATGTTTATAATGTATAAATTTAAATTTAATATTTAATTTATTATTAAGATTTGATTATGAGGTATACCTACCTGCTATAGCATTGAAGCTTAATAAAATCGTTTAAAAATGATAATATATAGATATGCGTCACTTATTAATAATTATATTATCTATACATTCGGATTTCTATAAATACAACTATATAAAAACCTTTATAATCGAACAATAATTTAAGTGTTTCAAGAGTAAGCAAGTGAAATGGCTTTCCTTGCAGTATTTTTAATACCATTAATGGTAAATTATGTAGTATCTCAAACAGAAACCACAGTGGATCCATGCAATGGTATAATCTGTACAACCCCTTTTTGCACAAAAGACCAAGTGGTTGTTCCTTTTGGCTGCTGTACATCTTGCGAAGGTATGTACTCAACATTCGATAAAGAAATACCTTGTTATGGCCTAGGCCGATAAAAGTTCGATTTTTTCTCGCTAGGGGAATTTTTTTGACAAATTAATCCTTTTCTAAGAAATTAACGGACTAAACTGGTTTAATTTATTTATAATAAGCACTAATTTGTTTGTTTTACTGTTAATGTTTAATATTTTTCATTAAATTATTGTAAAATTAAATATGAATAATAAAACAAAAAGTGAGGTTAGGCAACCAAGAAAACGCACGATTCTTTTTCTACGATTTAAATTATCTTTAAGTTTTAATTTTCTTTAAGTTTTCAGTGAAATTAAATGTTAAACACAGCTGAAACATTCCAAACTACCTATTTTTTAAATAAAAATCCAAACAAATTGAAATTAGATACCTACCTATTTATTAAACAATTAATTGAATTCAATGTACTTAATAGCAAAAATCCATTTCTACTTAAATCATATTGCTAGGTATTGTCAAACTATTACTGCTTCTAAAAGCAATAATAATTATTGTACATTTAATGTAATCTTTAGTTAATAAATAAATGAGATTCTAAAAAAGTGAGGTTAGGCCGCTTTGATGTTGAATTAAATTGACCTATGTATATAAAGTGCTTTGAAGATAAAATGTTGTATGCCATTCGGCCAAGAAGTGCCTTTTTGTGCTTAGCACAAAAAGCCTTACTTCTTAACCTAATGACATAAATAACTATTATCTACCTGTTGTTAAACATAATTTTTAGATGTGGCAACTTTAACCCCTTCAATACTTGAAGACCCTTGTTTGTTGGCAACCTGTGAACCCCCTTCATGTGGTCCTAATCAGATTGACGTTTCAACTCCTGATTCGTGTTGCCCCATTTGTCAAGATTTACCTATAGGTATAACCGAAAATTCACTTGGGGTAAAATAAATGACCGATTCAATGTTTCAGATTTGCCATTAACAACAATTATTCCAACAATGACTGACGACCCATGCATGAATATGACCTGTACATTGTCAATTTGTGATGACAATCAAATTTTGGTTTTTGGTGGCCCAGATAGTTGTTGCCCAGTTTGCCAAGGTAAAAATTTACATAATGTATGCACTAAATATATTGTTTTTTTCAGATTGTGATGAATTTTGCGAAGAAAACAATATATGCCCATTCTCTAGAAGAACTGAATGCAGGTGGTCAGAAAGAAAAGAAAAAATTGGAGTATGCGGGTGCTGTCATAAATGTGTTTCCAATTATCCATGGGATAAAAATAATAAGTTTGGCAAACGTAACAGAAATCACAAACAATTTTAAAAATCATATTTATTAAGATTTAGGTATTACATTTTGGACAACAATTGCAGTTTCCATCTTTGGGTGGCAGTTTAACTCCAACGCACTGTATGCAATATATCTTTTTACAAAATTCTTCACATTCTAAAAAAATAGTTTTAATTAGTATTTTACTTTTAAATTAGTTTATGTGTTTTGTTTTAAGTAATACAATAATAATTTTTATAGGACAAAATTCCCCATATTAAATTTACATTTTTATGATAATTTATTTACTTAACAAGGTAAAACAAATCATTACATGGCTATTTTTTGAATTACTGTAGGTACACATTACATTGTAAACTTTAAAAATTACACTAGTTTACAAAATTTGATAAAGTTGTTCCTCATTGAACCAAAACCACTTTTTTTAAGGTTAAATTTTGTACTGATTCCAAAAATAATAGTAGTTTTTCTGGTTTAGCTCTAGGTTTCGGGTTATGCATGAAATCTCGCAAAAATGCACTGTAACAGAATATTTAATCACAAATATGCAGCTAAAATTTTATTTGATATCAAATCAATCTCAAATCTTTATAGCTGTAAGGACTGCAGTTTAATACAAATTTTAAGATGTAAAGCTCCTAAATCGCATTAGTGACGAAAAATACGTCAGAAAAAATCATTATTTTTCGATTTTTTTCAATTTTTTCAACTTTGGTCCACTGTATATCAAAAAATATTTTGAAATATAAAAAGTTAGTCCCCCTATATTCTATAGAATTTAATTATGAAAATTTTAAGCATACGTACGTCAATATATGATAAGATTTAGATTATGTACGGTACATTTTTTGAAGCAATGATAAATGTTATCATTTATAATATTAATTTTTTTTTAGATTTAATAAGGGAAAAAAATTATCAAAACCGTTTTTTTTTTAAATTTTTGTTATTTATTTATTAAAATTCTCTAGAATATAGGGGGGCCATTTACATCGGACCAAAGTTGATTTTTTTTTAATTCAGAAAAAAACTATTTTTTTACCTGTTTTTGGTCCTAACGACCAAACCACTAAAGTAAGTTTTACACCTTAAAATTTTTATTACACTTTCCTTCTTATAGCTATAAACATTTGGGATTATGTTAATATTAAATAACAATTTTAGCTGAAAATTTGTGATTTAATGTTCTGTAACATTGCATTTTATCGAGATTTCATGCGAATCTCGAAATCTAGAGCTAAACAAGGAAAACCACTATGATTTTCTGAATCAGCACAAAATTTTACCTTAGAAAAAGTAGTTTTGGTTCAATGAGGATATTCTTGTAAACTAGTTTTATTAAATCATTTTAAATATAATTTAAACTTTCTTAAAGACTGGGAGTAAATAAAAATTTTAAAAAATTATAATTAAACACACTTACTTGATACATCAGTTGGGTCAGCATATGTGGTTTCAAATGAGATTATTGAAAAAACCGTTAAAGTAACCAACAAAAATCCTGTTATTTTGAACATGTTTTTAGCTGGGATTTCAAAAGTGAAATAAACATTTTATTTATATATTTTTATATAAAATCCATTGTTATGTAAATTGCACATTTATATTATGTAAAAAAGTCGACAGAGCCGGATTTAAATCATTTTACATTAAGAAGAAATAAAAAGCAACTTTAAAGAATTTATAGTTTATTAAAACCTAAATCTTATACTTTTTTCAGTTCATCTCTAAAACATTCGAAAAATAGCTGCCAAATGCCATTATAAAATATTTTTTTTAATATTTCCTGACACTCTCTTTCTGGGGTACGATATTGGTCATATTTTATGGCAAGTGCTACATTAGAAGAAGTGTATGTTGGGTATCCAATAGATGATGATGAGCATCTTATAGCCATAGAAGACACAGAAGAATAGTCAACTTTTCCTTGTTTCTTCAAGTCGCGTCCATTTTTTACGATTTCTTCACAAAGGCTACAAAAGTTTTTAAGCGTTTTTGATTCAATTTGGTTCAAGTTCTTATGACATAAATATTACTTTGCACTTTTTGATTTACAAAAATATTCATATATTATATCACGAGAACTATGAATTTAATCGGTTAAACTAGGCTCAGTAGTTTTTTGTTTGTTTTTTCTTGGAAAATGTTGAATGCAAAATAATTTAATATAATCACGAGACCGCTTAGCGGTCGAGGGGTTTTATTTTTAATTATTTTGCATGAAACTATTTTCCAAAAAGAAAAATCAAATAAAAAACTTACTGAGCACTTTGAGTACTTTGACAGATTAAATTTATAGGTTGAGTGATATACGTCTAGATTATTTCTCGAATTAAAGGAAACTATTTGACAATTCATAAAATCTGACGTATGTGTCAAAATTTATAAATATTTTTTTAAAGAAAATTCCATTAATTTAAGGTATGTAATAAGTAATAATTGATATTTCGTAAACTAGGTAACTTATTTTTTATTGTTTTTTTAAAAATGTTTGTGAAAACTTGTAAATAACACCATAAAATCGTAAACAAAAATCCAATATGGAGGCTAAAATTTAATCGCTGTTAAATAGTTCTAGTGATTTAATCGCTTATTTAAACGAAATTTATTCGAAAATTCAAGGCTTTTGATTGGTTCATATTATTATGAGGGAAATAATCACAGTTAAAAGTTCTACTTTCCAAAATAGCCACATATGAAAATAGCCAACAAAGTACAAAAAACAAAAAAATTGGTATATAAAAAAACTTGCCTTATTCCTCTGTCATATGCGGTGGGGTCTTTATTGACCTCTGGCAAAATTAATCTACAAATATTATAAAAGTTGAAAACATTTTTACTAACCACATGTTATTTTTTAATCTTGATTTTACTCTAAAATTGTTCAATAAAATTTCATGTGGATAAAAATATCACTACCACTATTTTTAGTAAAATTAAACTTGCCCATTATCTGAGGTTTTATAGACCTTCATATCAAGAAGCGGAACTGGACATTCTGCAATGGTCGATGAAACTGAAAATAAAATAGTAACGCATTAGAATTTCTAGTGATGAAAACATAGTATACATATGTTGGAAATAAGTAAGTATTATTATTATTATTTTGAATGAAATCTAAAATTTAAACATTACATCAAATAATACAGAATAACAAAAAAAATTATAACTTACCACACAACCAGAATGTTACAGTAGCAAACAAAATATAATTTGAGGCCAACATTTTTAGTTAATTACAGTAATAAATAGTCTCCAGCTTTTATACTTTATTTTTGACCAATTAAAATTAAATACCCCGATATGTAGTTTCTCGTTATATTTTATCAAGTAATCATTAATCATTTTTAGTTCAAACTAAGGGTATATATTTGTAATATTACTATTAACTATAAATTATTAATGAATACTTGATAAAATATAACGAGAAACTACATATCGGGGTATTTAATTTTAATTGGTCAAAAATAAAGTATAAAAGCTGGAGAATATGTATTACTGAGGTTAACTAAACATGTTGGCGTCAAATTATATTTTGTTTACCATTGTAGTATTGTGGTTTTGTGGTAAGTAATAAATTTTATTTTTATTTAGTATTATTGATGTAATGTTTACTTTTTAGACTCTTGGAGTGGAGTGAATGGGCAAGTTTTTTTACACAAAATTTAATTTAATCCTTAATAAACATTATTCTTATCATTGTAGAGCTTTCAAGCTGCCAGACATCAAGAATGAGGGAGAACCAGCAAGGGAGAGAGCAAAAAAGCAAGTTTATTTTTATACTAAATTTGACAAGTTGCTGCTACTGAATGTGCTCAATTCTTGGTTGATTTAACGAAAAACTGCCTACCAAATTGTCCACAACATCTTTATTTTGAAAGAATAGGTTTATAAAACTTTATATGTACAGTGTGACCCATTTGTTTGCGACTCACCCCTGTAAAATCTTTATTTATTGTGCGATTTTAACCGGATTTGTTTTAAAGTGTATTTCTTGATAAACTGTATTTTTGGAGCAAAAGACGCCATATTAATACAAAATACAAGGCCTACTATGTCAGTTTTTAAGAGTAAATTTTTAAGAATTCATATTAGCGATTTTTTTAAACAAAATATAAGCACGGCACTGGATTCACCGCCCCTCAAAACAATCCTATACTGAAATTTATTGAAAAATTTTAAGGAAAAAAATGCACAAAAATAACTACAAAAATTTATTTTGTCAAGTTATCCATGAAAAAAACATTGAAATAAAATTAAACTAATATTAACGTGGTACTATTACTAAAAGTTTAATTTTATTTCAATGTTTTTTCATGGATAACTTGACAAAACAAATTTTTGTAGTTATTATTCTGCATTTTTTTCTTCTAAATTTTTGAATAAAATTTAGTTTAGGGTAGTTTTGAGGGGTGGTGAATCCAGTGCCGTGCTTAGATTTTGTTTAAAAAAATCGCTAATATGAATTCTTAAAAATTTACTCTTAAAAACTGCCATAGTAGGCCTTGTCTTTTGTAAAAATATGGCTTTTTTTGCTTCAAAAATACAGTTTATCAAGATCTATACTTTAAAACAAATCCGGTTAAAATCGCACAATAAATAAAGATTTTACAGGGGTGAGTCGCAAACAAATGGGTCACACTGTATATACTGAACTTTTTTTCTTAAAATTATCAAAGGATTGAGCCATTAATTAAAAAACACTGGGTAAATGGAGTTCTTCTTTAAACATTTTTTTTGTAGGATTTGTGAAAAAATCATAGAAAAAGGGCGCGAGTTAAAGAAACAACAGAAAGTTGACGATACTTGTGCGGTTTCCATATCTTATAACTGCTCAGTATCAGCTTTAAATAGACAAACATACACTTCCAGTTATTTGGGAAACTCGATCAATTATGACCAAAAAACTTACCCAGATTCGGATAGAAATATTCCAGAAAATATTTGTAACGGCATATTTAACAAAATTTATTTTATGGCCGCTTGGGACAAGTATTTTAAATGTTTCAGAGACTACCTAGAAAAAGTATAATTTGTTTCAATAAATTGTAAAGCTGGAACTATTTTTTTATTTAGTCCCAACAATATAAATACAAAATAATAAAAAAAAAATTATCCATTGACCGCTGTGGTTTTCATTCCTTAAGTCACTCTACTGTGTTAAAAATAGATAAATTTCGATATTTTGCAATACGATTTTTATTTAAAAACGTATCGATAGAGGGTGCGCTGGGGACAATTTAATTTAAAATTTTACAATTTTTTAAGGGTTAAAAAATCGAAGAAGCAACGTTGATTTATAATTTTAAGTATATCATGTTAAAGTACCGATAATTAACTATTATTTGATATATAAACTTCTACATGCAAATTATGTTTCTACGAGATACATCATTTTTAAGTTATGCCTTCAAAGGGCATAATACTAACGTGTTTTACAAAGTATATATTCTTTTATCTAGTTTTATAAGATAATGTATTATATATTACATATAACATATTATATATAATATGTTATATGTAATATATAATACATTATCTTATAAAACTAGATAAAAGAATATATACTTTGTAAAACACGTTAGTATTATGCCCTTTGTATGTTGCATATATATAACATACAATTCTTACATATTTATTTAAAAAAATCGCCATAGATGGAGCTAAAACTACTTTTATTTAAAAAAATTTCAAGTTTACTGATTTTGATCATAGTAGGCATCATAGACTTTTCTCTATGGTAACTTACCATTGAAAGCATGAAGGATAATATAACAGTTCAGTTTAATGACTCAATTTATAAGTGTACTATAAACTCAAAACATTAATTTAATAAAATGAATAAACTAAATAATAATTATAGACAGTGTCAGCAAGTTAGAAATTATAACCCACTTTAATTTTATTTTTTGCTCCACAACCAAGCTTCAATTTATTTTTTACTCGATAAGCAAGCTTCAGTTTTAATTCCAAACTGAGGAAAGTAATATTTACCCAATAAAGAAATTAGAATAAAGACTTTATTTTTTATGTTGCGATATATGTATTTTTTTATTCAGTTTTTTTTCGCTTTTTTTGTAATTAGTTATTTTGCATTTTTTTATATTTAATATAATGCTAAACAGGGTGTTTCTGGAGAAACGCAAACTATGTGGATTTGAAATTTTAATAGCGTATACAATTTGATTTAGACTATACCCTAAGTCAATAGTTTTCAAGATATTACTTTTTAATAAAAAATAGCCTCAAATTTTGTTGCTATTAGGTTTGCTGACATGGGGTTGGAATTTTTGGAATATTATATATAACATTGTTTAAATAATTTAATTTTTTAAAGGTTTTTCAACAAATAGCTTGAGAAAAACCACTTGAAATTAGGCAAACTTCAAACAATATTAACGTTTTTATTATAAATGTAAAACCCTGTATGTTTTAACATAATCAAGTTAAAATTTCAGAGACATTTAACAATATCTAATATTTTCAATCCTATTTTGTATCAACAAGCCTGTGAAATTCTACATGTGGGTTAATGTGACAGTATCCATGGTAACCACTTAATCTGTCATTGTTTAAAATTAATTAAAATATTTGATAGAAAAATTAATAACTCGAAAAATATTGACTTTAGGTATAGGATATGGTATAGCCATTTTACTCCTGTTTAAAATAACAAAGTTAAAGACATTTCCGGTAAAACAGGAAGTATTATTTTGTTCAAAATAATTTAGGAAAAAAGTCTAAATCGAATAATTTACGCTATTAAAATTTTAAATCGATGTCTTTCGCGATTCCCTAGAAACTTATAATGGACTACGTGTTAAAAATTTTTCATTTTGTCATTAGTAAGATCTACATTTTGGCCAAATTTCAAATCGATACGTTTTGAAATAAAAAAGTTATTAAAAAAATTAAACTTCAGTTTAGTGATATTAAGTGATACTGACGTAAAAATAAAGTATACTATAATTGT